GTCTGTCTGAACTAAGTTCAGGATTCATACGATTAATCAAACGTTCAGCTAAACTAAGCTCTGTTTGTTCCATCTTGAGATAAACCGGAATAATGTTGTCAAATTCAGGACACATCATTATCTCTTGTATAAAGTTTTTGTTCTCAACTTTCTCAATAGTTTGTTGAACTTTACTTTCATCAACTTGATTAACTGCATTAACTTCATTAGCTCCATTAGCTTCATTAACTTCAGCTTGACCAACTTCCTTTTGCTCAACTTGAGGAATGGATTCCTCTGACTCTGACCATGGCGGAAAAGATAGTTTAAGCGAATCCAAAAAGTTTTGCTTCTGTTGAACTGCTTGACTCGATGGTACCTCAGGTTTATCAATCAATTTGAGAGATTCTTCTGGAGTACAGAATCTAAACAACAGCTCAGGACTTAGCCATTCACTTTCAGGATTTTCTTTAACATTTACTTGATAACTACCACCATGATTCATCATACCAACAAAGAAGACATCAGCAAACCGATTCCCTAATACCATAACTGGTTCTAAGTTTCGCATTACCTGAAACTTTATAATCTTAGAAGTCTTCATCTTCGGATGTTTCAATATCGCATAAGCAGCTCCATCAACAGCTTGGTAAGTGTCTGCAATTATTCCTCTAACTGCAACATTCGAACTTAAAATGAACGCTTGTAGTTGCCTTGAAAACGTATAATCAATACATGAGGTACAAGCTCCAGTATCCAACAAAACATCACCGAGTTTAATGAACTCTTTATTTGGATAACACATTGTTAACCTTATCTTAGGGAAGTTTGTTATTGATGCATCAATGCGTGTAATCAATTCAACTTCATCAACAGCTTTGTCTTTCTCAGACTTTTCATTAACCATGAACATGATTTCATCCTCTGGATCAACGAGAGGCGCTCTTGCTAATTGCTTATTAGCATAAACTATTTTGCTTTGTTTCAAGCTACCATCATCTTCATCAATGAAATTTGCACTCTCCTTAACAACCGGAGTACTTGAACTCGTACTCGCACCTTGACCAAACGTTGGTGCATTTGCCATCCTCAGATTAGCAGGAGTAAATCTTTCATTGGGTTTCGACTGATTCGACGAATCAGGTTTTGATCTGCGAGGTTGTCTACAAATGTTAGACGTATGTCCAATACGACCACAATTATAACACCTTAAAGGTTGCTTTCCAGCATAGGAATTGCTATTCCTTTTCTCATCAGGTTTCTTATCCTCTTTATCTTTATCATCATTACGATCATTTCGCTTAAAGTTATCCTTTTTAACTGATTTCGATTCTTCTCGTTTTCTCAATTCAATGTTGTATTCATTGACCATTGCTGCGGTTAAATCATCCAAAGTACTAACTGATCTGGTTCTGATTAATGTATCCTTAAGTTCTGCAGGAACTCTGATTAGGATATCTTGTATAAATTCAACTGGTGAAGGCTCACCCTTAACTTTCAAAACCATTTGTTCAAGCTTACGAATAAACTCAATCGGAGGCATATTGAAATTCCACTTAAAGTTATGAAATTCAGAAGTTGCCTGAGATATACAAGCTGGATTTCGTAAAGCATTTTCGAGAGCAGCAATATAAGTTAAACTCGTATGCGTTTCTCCATCCAATTTCTTAGCAATAGGTAAGAACTCATAAGCCATCGCCTTTTGTAAAACGTATAGTTTGTCATCATCATGACACCGTTCCAAACTTAATTGGCGTTTGACTGTCTGAAGCCATCCCCAGGCATCCATATTTTGACCAAATTCAGGTAACTTTGGCAGCTTCGGTTTCACTCGTCCAGTTAAACCACCACCAACACTTAATCTGTTGTCAACTTGATTGCCTGTTTGCCTTGGATAATTGGCATTATCAGTATAACTTTGATCGGGAGGATTACGATCCTCATTTCCAACAGCATTTCGATTTGCATTAGAAGTTGAAGGTTGAAAAACTTCATCACCATCATGACCTTCAGAATCCCTCATCAATTCATTGAAATTGAAATTAGGTTTGACAGTAACTGGATTTAATTCCGTTCGACTCCATCTCGAAATCATATTAACCATTAACCGTTTAGCAGGTGAACTAACTTTCAGTTTCTCAATCATAGCTTCGGTATTCAAAACCATTGTTGGAGGATCAGGTCCAACCTTTACGATAATCTCACGAATATCAGACTCAGAAATATTTTTCTCTCGAAGCTCAGTTAACCATGAAGGCATATCTTCAATTACATCACCAACAGGAGTTGCTTCCATTAATTCTTGACTCGCATTCGGTACACCATTTAACAGCAAAATCGTTTGCACCGCATCAAAAAACTTTTTCCTGATAATTTGTTCATTACTGATGAACTTAACACCCCACTTTTTCAGGAAAACTTTAATCGTTTCAATGTCCATTACCTTTAATGTCATTGTTACCGTTTCACCAACACCATCACCTTCGACTTCATCTAAAGCGAAGCAATGTTCAAATTCACTACCATCAGGAAACTCGGGCGATCCTGCCGTGGTCGCCATTTGAAAGGAAGAGTTTATCATTTTATTGAATTAAATTTAATTTAGTTGAATCAGCAATTCACAATCAAACCAATACCAATCAGAAGATTCTTCAGTCCTCTCAAATCCTGAATTTCAGGTTCTTTTAGGATCACTCGAGAAACACAGAGACAGCAGAGAAGTTGTTTGCACAAGGATTACAATCCTTTTTAACCACAATCTTAACCAAAGATTTGAAACTTGAAACCAATAATCTGGTCAAGTCTAAACTGGACTTTGTATCAGCGTACACACGCTCAAAGTTTAACACAATATTAGCTTAAGAAAGCTTAAGACCGCACAACAAGTATTACAATACTTTTAACCTTAACTATTACCAGGCTGAAAATAGCTAATTAGAGCAAACCAAATTTACTCAGAAAACACAATCGATGAAGATTCAGAGGTAACAACTAAGAACAGTATGGCAATACTGAGAAACACAAATCAAATTCAGGAACTGGATTTATCTGAACAGTACTACAGTACTTTAGAAACATAGACAAATCAGAATTTGCACAAATTAAATGAACTTTAATTAACTCAGATTAACGTGAATCTAACATAAAGAAAAGGTTGAAAAATGTAGTCTTTTTATACTAATAAGAACGGAAGGAAAAGGTTTACAAACCTTAAGGAAAAGGAAAGAAACTGTAAGAAAGGAAACTGTTGTCTCCATTGACAATTTGACTACAAACAAAGGATACCAATAGTAACCGTAACAAAGGGATTAATGATAAATTAAAAAATGAAAAAGATATGGATCCTAAGTATTACAATACTTTATCAGATCTCTAAAGAAAAATGAATTAAATTTATCTTGGGTAACTCTACCCTTCAACTGTTAACAATCAACAAATGATGAAAAGCCATATTAAGCTGTTGATTTCATTTCTTTTTACTGGTAAACACCTAATTCCATCTATAATGAATTCATCATCATTTTTGCTCTCACCATCATTTCCTTCACAGAATGAGATTTTTTGTTTCGTTTGCTGTTTTTTTTGTCCCAACAAGGGACTGACAATGAAAGCACATGATAAACTACTTCCGAATATTTTTGATTGGCTATTTTTTTCCCATCTTCATTATCAGCAAAATTGCAATCAATTGTTACCTTGGTTAGTAAAAAAAACGTTGAATTGTCCAAACAATCAAATTCAAATGTAAAGGCAAAAGTGAATCAAGCCTTGAAATAACATGAATATTGATGTTTATGTAAGCGAGAGTTGATGGTTAATTGTAACGATGTATTGTGAATTTTTGCTCATCTGATTAAAAATGATGATACATCTAATCGTTCGTCATAATTCGAATATTTCATCCCCTTATCTCTCTCTTTCACTAACTAATTTTTACCTCCCCTTCTCTCCCTTTTTCCTCTCTCTCCGTATCTCATCTACTTGAAATTAAATGTCTAACAAATAATATTTACCTTGCTTTGATATGTTATTCTGTTTTTTTAGATCAACCCAGTTGTTAACAATTAACAACTGTTGAAATTGTTTCTCTCTCCCTCCTTACTTTCACACTCTCACTTTTACCTCTCTCTTTCCTCTCGCCATTTATCATCATCATTTCCAATGATACAGTGACCAATACTCCCTAAATTTCACTGTTTATTTTCAACCTCTTAACACCCAAATCAAGCCACTTTTGTCATTGTTAATATGAGTGTTTTAAGTCACAGTAATTACGTTTACACATTACCAAAATGTTAGTCGTTATAACCACTTTAACACCGAAAACATTTGTTAACCTTTCAACCAGTAACTTAACCTTTAACTCACACTCTCACTATTTTCCCCTTTGTTTACAGATGAAAGAGATGAAATTCAGAAGAAAACATTCACCAAATGGGTCAACAAGCATCTTTTTAAGGCCAATCGTCGAGTTGTTGATTTATATGAAGACCTTCGTGATGGTGAAAACCTTGTTTCCTTATTGGAAGTCCTGTCGCAAGAAATACTGCCCCGTGAAAGAGGACGTATGCGTGTTCACATGCTTCAAAATGTCCAGAATGCACTTGATTTTTTAACACGTCGTCGTATAAAGCTTGTCAACATACGACCCGATGATATTGTCGATTCAAATCAAAAACTAATATTAGGACTTATTTGGACCATCATCCTTCACTATCAGGTAAATGTTTAACCAAAAACACTTAAACACAGTCAACAGTTGACTGTTAATGTTTTAGGCCTAACACAGAGGGCGATACCTTGATTGACACCGGTTAGTCATTCTGGTTACTCACTTTCAACCAGTAACTGTGTTTACCAGTTAAAATGTAACCGGTTAGGTTAGTTTAATATTTTTGTTGGACAAATTTACATTTTGTTACATATTTTTAAAATTTTTAAATTTCCCTCTAATTGTAACCCAAAAGTTACCGGTAATATGAGACACCTTTAACCAAGTAACCAGTTACTATTTACCAGTGAGTGAGACCAACAACGGTTGTTACCTAACTCCCCTTTTAACCGGGAAATTGTTGTAATTTACAATTGTTTGGCTTCTTTTTTCTTCTTAACAATGTTTTCATCTATTTTGTTATCATCCTACTTTCTTCTTCTCTTTCTTCCTTTACTTTCTCTCTTGCCTTTATCAATTCTCATCCTCCATATCATCCTTGGGTTATAAACAAAAAAGTCCTTGATAGGGAGAGAGACTTACGTTTTTATGTTTTGCTTACCTTTACCTATCTCTTTCCTCCTCATCACCTTCACTGACAACCACACATGCATAGTTAACCTTAAGATTGAAAAACTTTTCTTTCCCTTTTTTGGTTACCTTCTTTTTTCTCTTTCTTACCTTTTGGTATCTACCTTAATGTATTTTTTGTGATAATCTCAAACAAAACTTCAATCTGTAACCATCAACATCAACATCTCTCTCATCATCACATTTCAGTCATTTAGTTCTGAGATATTTTTTTCAGTGTTTTTTTAGTCTCTTACAATAGTAATACCTGTTAATCAAATTGTTTAATTACCATTAACCTATATATTCCTCTAATAAGTCTTCCAATTTTTACATCTTTTTTACAACTTTTGTGCAATAATCAGCTGACTATCAACATTTTTGGCTTGAAATTGTTTTTCTTCCAATCTTCTTGATGAAAAGTTTTTATCATTTTTGTGATTCGCTTTTGTGATTTAAGCTGTTTGTGCCTTTGATTTTGTATTTTTTATACTTGGATTTTTTACACTTACCTTTAACAACGACAACTAAAATTACCTTTTAAAACTCAAACGTAAAACTATCGAAATGTATAGTTTTATCAAAGGTCCTCGACTTTTTGTCAAAGGATCTCGTAATTCGGATGATATTGATAACATGGCCGATGTCAATGGTAACGACATGATAACCACTGGTGAGGATATTTCCAGTTCAGCCATGCATGTTGATTATCAGACGAAAACTCATTTAGCCTCAGCTTCACAAGAGTCACGGGAATTTTTCCGAAGCCAACAAAACCGAAGTGGCCTCAAGACAGTTCATACTAAACGGGTTGTCCGTAAGACTACAACGGTAACACGTAATGAGAGCAAGGAACCGGTACGTGTGATATTGATAATAATATCCGAAATTGATCTAAAAATATATTACATTTCAACAGGTTAGACAATTGAGTTTACCAGTTTTCATAATAACTGATTGAAACTTTTTCATTCAATTTTCCTTTGTATCTTTTTCTGTCAGTCATTTTCTTCCGTGTTGATTGGTCATGCTGATGATGATGTGAAAAAAAAGATCTCTATAGATGATGATGATGATGATTATAATAACGATGAAATTCCCACCCTTTTCTATTCTTTTCAATTTTCTATTGAATCAGTAATATGATGCATTAACAATTACAATTTCAATTCTTTAATTAGCTCAATACAATCAAAGTTGAATGATCATTCATATTGATGAACATCAAAAAGCGCTTCTGTAAGATTATCATTTACAGTATATCCTTGACTTTCATGAAATCCCATGAAAAGTCAACTCTATTTTCATATCAATATCTGACTCTCACCATCTTTGGAAAAATGAAAATTCCAAATTCTAAAATGACTTTGTTCCATTTTCGTCTAGACTTAACTTTACTTATATAAACCTGTGAAGAAACATTCAAAAGCAAAATCTGAAAGTTCTTATAAATTCCTCTGAACAGTTAACCAAGTATCAGCTGAATGTAAATTTGCCTGAAAATTTGAACCCAAACCCAATTTTAGTTTAACCAGAAAGAACGATATTTTTGTCATTTTCACAAAATAATAGAAAACGATTTTCCAGAAAAACTTCTGTCGCTTTGAAACTAGAGGTCAATAATTTGCCTTGAAAAGTCTTCTTTGGTCAGCTTTCATTTGACCTTTTTCTCAACATCTGCTCATCAACTATAATTACCGTCTCAACTGTCTTAATTAGAAAAATTAATGATAATCTAAACATGTTTTTGTTTACTAGCGAAATCCATTTCTAAAAATTGATTTCAAGTGGGTTTAATCACTAGCTTTGAAACTCGTTTATTTACATCTTTAGGCCAGAATCTAATGAAACCTCCTTTGCAATTTCATCTGATAAAAAAATGTTCACCCAATTCATCAAGCCTTACAATTCCGTCTTTGCTCTTGAAAAAAAACAACCAAATATGGACATGTTTTGTTTTTTTACATTTATATTAATAGGTACACAGTCGAGAGACTCGGGTTTGTCAAAATTATAAATTGATATCATTTCGGATTAAGGTTCGTTTTCAATCAAATTACCTTGTTGATGATGATGTTTCGCGGCTCTGTGTGTGTGTTTCCGTTTTTTTTCAGCATTCATGTTCGCTTTTCCTTGAGCCTACTTAATTTTTTTTTCTGATTTGTTTGCTTTCAATTTCATTATCAATTTTCATGGTTAAGCTTTCACTTTGAGTTATTTTTTGTCTTCATTGTTCACTGCTAATCATCCTACCTTAAGATTCAATTGAAAGCGTGGGTATTGACATCTTGCGTTTTCAACCATTAAACAATTTTTAATATTAAGTTTGTGTCCTACGTCAATTAATTATTGATAGTTTTTTGGGTTTTTCATCAATTAGATTGATTGCTGGCTTGCCGTTGCTACGCTTTTTTGTACCTTAAATCACTGTTTGATTCAAATTTACATTTACTTTGATTATTGCATAAATGATTTGTTTTTAATTGGTACCAAAATTAAGCATTGTTTCTTGTCTTATATCAAGCATTTTGTTATGCTATTGTCTCATTGATATAATTGGTTGTAACTCATATCTTTCAAATATGTTAATGGTCTTTGTTGGGTCCTTGTAACTCGATCATTTACCTTTTAATTCTTGCTAATTCCTTAATTTCTTGTTCACCTTTTGATTGGTTTCTTTTCAGATTTCGGATATCATTCAACATGATGATAATACCACATTTAAAGAGGCTCTATTAAGATGGGCACAAAAAACAACTGAAGGATATCCTGGAGTCAAAGTAACTGATTTCACCAATAGCTGGAAGGATGGACTGGCCTTTAATGCCATTTTACATAGAAATAGGTAATTTAATATTGATTATCCAATAGATTGGTACAACCAACAAGTTGTTAGGTGAAATAAATGACGATAATCTGTTGATAATCAGATAAAAGTAATTGTTGGTTTGGGTAAATTGATTGAAACTTGGCAAAGTCTGAATTTACTTTGAACCAATAAAAGCCAGTAATAGACAGTGTTTGACTGAAATCTTATTGAACTTGGCTTCTCAAATCTTGCATGAAAATCTAAGAATAGTTGGATTCTTTAGGTTAAACTGGTTTCAGGTTGAATGTCTGTTTCAATCAACATTGTAAATGTTTTGTTATTTTATCTGAAAATCAGATATTAGCCAAAAAGGTAACAAAAGGCAACAAAAGCCACTTAAAAAGGGTTGAATCACTTATCGATGATTTTATATTACTTTTCAATCCATTAGCAACTATGCAAATATTAATGGACTTTAATTTAAGATTTATAAAAAATGTTTTCTTAAGGTTGATCTTTTATTTGTTTAATCAGTTTGAATTAGGAATCTTTGAAAATTACATTTACTGATTACTGTTTATTATTTTTCCATTGTAGACCCGATCTTTTGGATTATCGAAACTGCTCAACACGCAATAATCGGGAAAACTTGGAAAATGCTTTCCGAATTGGTGAACGTGATCTTGGAGTTACCCGTCTTCTGGAACCTGAAGATGTTGACACCAAGAACATTGATGAGAAATCGATGATCACATACATTTCCTCTCTTTACGAGTTGTTCCCTGAACCTCCTGAACGAAATCCATATCTTGATGATGAGAAAATCCGTCGGGCTTTCAAAGATTTCCAGGAATGTTACAATAGTTTACACTCTTGGATGGTTGCCAAGGATAAAATGTTTGCCGTTCTTGGTCCAATTCCCGCTGAACCTAGAACCATTGCCACTCAAAAACAACAATGCCAAGTTATCCGAGAAGAGTTCAAATCTCAAGAGAAGTCACTTCAAAGGTTTGATGATTGCGGTGAAATTTGTAAACGGCTTTTGGAGCGTTCAAGTATTGAGTACAAAGAAGTTGATGATCAAATGGCCGAAATTCATGAACACTGGAATAGGCTTTTGGATCAACTGTCTGGTCGTGAAAGGGCCTTATCTGTTGCTAGTGATGCTGCCAGTCGATACCAACAAAAGTTAGCTACTTTAACCCAATGGTTGGAGAAGAGTGAACATCGTTTGGTGACTTTGTCCTCAATTCCAAGTGACAAGGATCGTATACGACAGAGAATCTCTGAACATCGTGCATTCCATCGCGATATCTTAAACCACAAACATGATTTCGATGATCTAACAGAAACTGCTCAGAATCTCATGAGTTCAATTGGTGATGATGAAGCTAGAGTGGTTACTAGCCAAGTGCGTGGAGTTACTGATAGGTATGCTAAACTCATCAAAGACAGTGAAAACTTATCACATGAACTGTCTGAAAGTCATGATAGTTGTGCCTTCAATGAGACTCTATTAAGATGGGCTCAAAGGACCACTGAAGGATATCCTGGAGTTAAAGTTACCGATTTCACCAACAGTTGGAAGGACGGACTTGCCTTTAATGCCATTTTACATAGAAACAGGTAATTACGAATTTGACTTTTTAATAAGTCGACACAATTTAATTTAATGACTTACAAAAGGCAAACTAAACCAGGTTGTCGCATGAAGTTACTTATTTCAGATAAGAATAGTTAAAGTGTTTCAATAGAGTTATGCTTTCAATTTGGTTGTCATAAGATTGCATGCGAACTTCTTTGTTGTCAATTTAAATGAAGTACGAAATTCACTTGCTGATTATATTTCAGTAAATTGTAATTATGCTCTAAAATTTAGACTATCAAAAATTTTAGTTTGAATTTAATTATCTTTTAGTGTTGACTGCGAGTTATAATTTTCAACCTGAAACTCAAATTGTGAAAATGAATGTTTCTATCTATCAATAGTAGTTTTAATGATTATGTTAGTGCAATTAGAGTCTATGAAGCTATGTTTTATCATATCTTGCTTTATAAATAAACCAACAATTAAAGGGTTGATTAAATGCTTATAGCTATTGTGAACAAAATCAATTGTGACAATCTAGTTAAAATGTTTTACTCCTATTGTCTGACTGAACTCATAATTTGCTTTTTTGCGGAGTAAAAAGCTTTTTTCAATTCATTCATTTCGGTTAAAGTCATTGATTGATCACTTTTTGAAACTGAGAAAATGGCAGATAATTAACACATTAATAGTGCAAATACTGTTAATCAGAACAAACTTGTTCTCACAGTTTCAATATGTTAGTAAAATAAATAATAAACTATGTGGAAAATGCGAGAAATTGATTTTGACGCTATTTTGTAACGAATGGCAGAAATCACGATTTGTTAGTTAAATTACTGGGCAATGATGAGGGTATCATGAACATCTACAGTTAACTAATCACTAAGTACTTTAAAGAAACTGGTTTTGTCTGCGATTTTTGATAGATTGACGTGAAAGTGGCTTCAACTTTGTAAATGTTTTGTTGTTTTATTTGTTAATAAGCTTTTGACCAGAAAGGTAACATAGGAACATGAACAAAAAGGCAATTTGAGTTTAATATCATGCTGAGCCATGTTTTTCTTGAGCAAGTTCAATAGCCTTTACTGGCCAGTCATGAAAAAATATTAACCTGAAACTCAACTTTCGTAGCAAAAATTTGGGAATATTAAGTTAAATTGAAACTTAATAACTTTTGTTTGCTCAATCGGTTTGAGTTTGCTTTATATTTTTGCGAATCTTGATTGCTTGAAAAATTATTTACATTTATTTATCTCTTTCAATTTTAGACCTGATCTTTTGGATTATCGAGACTGCTCAGGCCGTAGTAACCGTGATAATTTGGAAAATGCTTTCCGAATTGGTGAACGTGATCTTAGAATCAAGCGGGTTTTACAACCTGAAGAGGTTGACAGTAAAAATGTTGACGAGAAAGGAATGATTAAATACCTCACCTCTTTGTATGAAATGTTTCCCGAACCTCCAAAACGCAATCCATATCTTGATGATGAGAAAATCCGTCGGGCTTTCAAAGACTTCCAGGAATGTTACAATAGTTTACACTCTTGGATGGTTGCCAAGGATAAAATGTTTGCCGTTCTTGGTCCAATTCCCGCTGAACCTAGAATCATTACTACCCAAAGACAACAATGCCAAGTTATCCGAGAAGAGTTCAATACTCAGAAGAAAGCACTTCAAAGATTTGATGATTGCGGTGAAATTTGTAAACGCCTTTTGGAGCGTTCAAGTATGGAATATAAGCAAGTTGATGATCAAATGGCCGACATTCATGACCATTGGAATAAACTTCTAGATCAACTTTCTGGCCGGGAAAGGGCCTTATCTGTTGCTAGTGATGCTGCCAGTAAATATCAGCAAAAGATATCTGCACTTACCCAATGGTTGGAAAAGAGCGAACATCGTTTAATGTCTTTGTCTGCCATTCCAACTGATAAGGAGCAAATAAGACAGAGAATCTCGGAACATCGTGCTCTTCATAGAGACATCTTAAGTAAAAAGCACGATTTTGAAGATCTAACAGAAATTGCTCAGAATCTCATGAGCTTGATTGGTGATGATGAAGCTCAAAATGTTGTTAGTCGACTTCGAGATGTTACCGATAGATACGCTAAGCTCATCAAAGACAGTGAAAACTTAGCACATGAATTAACTGATAGTGTTGAAAGTAAAGCTTTCAACGAAGCTCTATTAAGATGGGCTCAAAGAACTACCGAAGGATATCCCGGAGTTAAAGTTACCGATTTCACAAACAGTTGGAAGGACGGACTTGCCTTTAATGCCATTTTACATAGAAACAGGTAATTTTATTTCGATCATATAATAATTTTGCTCAACTGAAAAATTGCTAGCGGAACTGATTTGTTCCTAATCTTCATTATTTGAGCAATTAAATTGTTTCATGTCTACTTCGTCTATTGTAAAATCAAGGTAATAGGCAATAGTTTTTTTTGATGATCAGGTGAAAGTTATTGTTTATTTTGATGAATTGACTGAAAATTTTTAGGAGAAGCAAAATCAAGCTGTTAAATGAAAAGTTGTTTTGTAAGCTTATTGTTTGTTTTAAATTTTCAGGTTTATTTTTTAAAAATTTTACTCTTCTCAATGTTTACAAAAAAATGAAGTTAAACAGTTTGAAAAATGTTTGGTCATGAAATGCAAAGCTTCAAATGACTTATTTGAAATCAGTAAAGGAGTACAAGTTTCAATTATGAAGAGAGTTAGACCGAAAACTTTCTTACATCTTGCATGAAAGCTTAATAGTTGGAAACTTTAAATGAAACTGGTTTGGTCGTTTGTTGGTTTGACTTGAAAATGCCATTAACTTGCAAATGCTGTGTTAGACAAAAATCAGACATTGACCAAAAGGTAACAGAAATACAACAACAAAGTAAAAAGCAGCTTGTGTTGCTTTAGCATAATCATTATCATGCTAAACCATGTTTTCTAGAGGAAGTAAAATTACCTTTTTTGACGGGCTAGACAAACTTGAAACCAATTAATGTGGTAAAAATAATCTTTGGTCAGATCATATTGCATTTGAAATTTTGGTGGAAAGAAAAATAATTTCTACTTTTATGCTGATCCATTTTTAAAAGACATTTACTAACATTGAATATTTTATCTCTACTTTAGACCTGATCTGTTGGATTATCGAGCTTGCTCAAACCGTGATAATCGAGGCAACTTAGAGAATGCATTCCGAATTGGTGAACGAGATCTCGGCGTTAAGCGTACTTTGGAACCCTCAGAGGTTGACAGCAACAATGTTGACGAGAAGGCGATGATTAAATACATTGCCAATCTATATGAGCTGTTCCCTGAACCTCCCAGAAGGAATCCATATCTTGACGATGAAAAAATTCGTCAGGCTTTCAAAGACTTCCAGGATTGTTACAATAGTTTACATTCTTGGATGGTTGCTAAGGATAAAATGTTTGCTGTTCTTGGTCCAATTCCTGCTGAACCAAGAATCATTGCCAATCAAAAACAACAATGCCAAGTTATCCGAGAAGAGTTCAGAACTCAAGAAAAGGCACTTCAAAGGTTTGATGATTGTGGGGATATTTGTAAGCGCTTGTTGGATCGATCAAGTATGGAGTACAAGCAAGTTGATGATCAAATGGCCGACATTCATGAACATTGGGACAGGCTTTTGGATCAATTATCAGAACGAGAAAGAACCCTTTCCATTGCCAGTGATGCTGCTAGTAAATATCATCAAAAAATTGCTGCCCTCACCCAATGGTTGGACAATAGTGAACATCGTTTAATGTCTTTGTCTAAAATTCCAACTGATCAAGATCAAATCAGGCAAAGAATCTCTGAGCATCGCGCTCTCCACCTTGACATTTTAAGTAAAAAGCACGACTTTGAAGATCTAACAGAAATTGCTCAGAATCTCATGAGCTTGATTGGTGATGATGAAGCTCAAATGGTTGTTGACCGACTTCGAGGAGTTACTGATAGATACGCTAAGCTTGTTGAGGACAGTGAAAACTTTTTACACCTGTTGTCTGATTATCATGAAAGCTTGGGTTCTTTCGTTCTTAGTTTTGAGGATATTCTGGCATGGATTGAAGAAATTGACTCACGACTAGATCGATTCCGTGCATTAAGCGTCTACCTGGATAAATTGCGTGAACAACTTGATGAGTTGGACGAAATTAATGAAGAAATTGAAGAACATCAAAAGCAAATTATCGAAGTCAACAATACTGGACAAGAAGTGATGAAACATGCCTCTGGAGGCGATGCAATACAAATCAAGGAAAAATTGAATGCACTTAATGCCAGATATGATGAATTAGCTAACAAAGCTTCTGAAAAATTGAGACAAGCTCAAGATGCTTTACCTTTGTGTGATAACTTCCATTCAGCTCATGATCGTCTCAATACTTGGATGGATGAATCTGAGCGAGCTCTTAAATCCTCTGCTTCTCTTAGTCTTAATGTTCAAGAAGCAACCATCCAACGATTGGAAGCTGAACTACCAAAATATCGTTCACTTCTTGAACAAATCAACCATCTTGGTCCACAATTAGGTGCAATCTCTCCTGGTCAAGGTGCAGCTGCTGTTGACAACATGGTTAACCGAGCTAACCGACGATTTGAAGCTATCTGTGAACAAATTCAAATTATCAGCCGACAAAATGAGCTTGAAAATGCCTCACTTCGGTTAGGCCAATTCCGCCACGCTTTAGATGAATTCTTAACATGGATGAGTCGAACTGAAATGGCTCTTGATGAAATTAAACCAACATTTGCTGATGCTCAAGTGATAGAAGTTGACACTGCCAAACTCAAGGTTCTTATTAATGACATTGCTGCTCATCAAACTAATGTTGATACCCTTAATCGTGCTGGAAAAATGTTGATTGAATCTGATCGTGGAAGTGAAGAGGCTAGTGCCACTGCAGCTGAGCTGAATAAGCTAAACACAAGATGGCAACAACTTCAAGATAAGGCTGCTCAACGACAACGAGAACTTGAAGATATTCTCAAAGAGGTTATGGCATTTAATCAAGAGATTCAAGATCTACTCATGTGGCTTAGTGACATTGATGGTCAATTTGTTGCCTCTAAACCTGTTGGTGGGCTACCTGAAACAGCTCGAGAGCAATTGAACCGATTCATGGAGTTGTACAGTGAATTGGATGTTAATCGCCATAAATTGGAGTCAGTTTTAAAACAAGGCCAAGAATATTTGAAGAAAGCCCCTGAAAGTAACACACCTACACTTCAACACAACTTGAAGACTCTCAAAACTCGATGGGACAGTATTCTTAATAGAGCCAATGACCGTAAAATCAAACTTGAAATTGCTCTTCGAGAGGCAACCGAGTTCCATGAAGCAGTACAAGAATTTGTTGAATGGTTATCATCAGCTGAAAAATACTTAAACAATATGGGACCCGTTAGCTTGGTTATGGAGCATATTTTACCCCAAATTGAAGAGCACAAAAATTTCCAAAAAGATGTTTCAAATCACAGAGAAACTATGCTTAATCTGGATAAAAAGGGAACTCATCTTAAATATTTCAGTCAAAAACAAGATGTTATCATCATCAAGAATCTTTTGGTTAGTGTGCAACACCGTTGGGAACGTGTTGTTGGTAAAGCTGCTGAAAGAACTCGAGCTTTGGATCGAGGTTACAAAGAAGCCAGAGAGTTCCATGATGCTTGGTCTAGTTTAATCAGTTGGTTGAAAAATGCTGAAGAGCAACTTGACAACTACCAACCTGCTGGAAATGATCCTGAAAGGATTAAATTACATCTTATGAAACACAAAGAATTCCAAAGAGCATTGGGAGCCAAACAATCAACTTACGATGCTACTATTAAATTGGGCCGAACATTGAAAGATAAATGTCCGAAGTCTGATGTTCCTATCTTGAATGACATGATTGAAGAGTTGAAACAACGTTGGAACTCTGCTTGTGCCAAATCTGTGGATCGTCAAAGAAAATTAGAAGAAGCTCTTCTCTTCTCTGGTCAATTTAAAGATGCTGTTCAAGCTCTTATTGATTGGCTTGATAAAGCTAAAGGTCGCCTTGGTTTGGATAGACTTCATGGTGATTTAGATACTGTAACAGTTTTGGTTGAACAACACAGAGCATTCCAAGATGATTTAAAGAGTCGACAGAAAAACATGACTACAGTCAAGAAAACTGCCAATGATCTTCTTGATTCAGCTACTCCATCTGATGCAGCTTTGATTAGAGAGCAACTTGTCACTCTTGATTCTCGATGGGAAGAGGTTGTTAGGATGAGTGACGCCAAACAAAGATGTTTAGAGGCAGCTTTGAAACAGGCCGAGGAATTACATAAAGCAGTTCATCAAAATCTTGAATGGTTATCCGATGCTGAAATGAAATTACGAAATGCCGGACCATTACCAGATGATGAAGAAACTACTAAACAGCAAATCACTGAACATGAAATGTTTATTAGAGAAATGTCCAAACAAGAGGTTAACAAAGATTCAACCATCTCATTAGCCGAAGATATTCTTGCCAAATGTCACCCTGATGCTGTTTCTGTGATTCGTCACTGGATTACCATTATTCAATCAAGATGGGAAGAGATTTCCAATTGGGCTAAACAAAGAGAAGCAAAATTGAAGGAACATTTGAGATCATTGAGAGATCTCATGAGTATTCTTGAAGAGTTACTTGCTTGGCTCAGGAAAGCTGAAGCTGACCTTTTGGCTGCCGAATCTGAGCCACTTCCAGATGATATTGAATCTCTTGAGGGATTAATTGAAGAGCATCAAAAGTTCATCGATGAAATGAGTGCAAAACAACCTGAAGTTGAAAGAGTTACCAAAGCTTCCTCTACCGTACCAAAATCAAAATCAAGTGACGTTAAAGGAAGACGTTCAACCTCAAAAACTCGAGACTCTTCAATCAACTCTCGGGCTGGAAGTGAACCTGAAATTAAGAATCCAAAAGCTCGTGAATTGGTCGAGAAATGGCGAAATGTTTGGCTGTTAGCTATGGAAAGAATGAGACGACTTCAAGATAAACTTGATTACATCCGTGAAGTTGAAAGAGTGAAAAACTTTGATTTCGATGAATGGCGACGACGATTTTTGGGCTGGATGAACAACAAGAAAGCTCGAGTAATGGACTTTTTCCGAAAAATTGACAAAGATAATGACGGCAAAGTTACTCAAGAAGATTTCATCGAAGGATTCCTTGCCTCTAAATTCCCTACCTCACGTCTTGAAATGGAACGAGTTGCACCGATCTTTGATCGTAACAGCGATGGTTTCATTGATCACAAGGAATATCTCGAGACTCTTCGCCCTGACCGTGATTTACCAAAGACTGAGGCTGAAATCATTCAAGATGAGGTTCAACGACAAGTGGCTAAATGTACTTGTGTTCATCGATACAAAGTGTTCCAAGTTGGCGAAGGAAAATACCGAGTAAGATTGATCTTAATCAACAGCTGGTCAACCATTTTTTTGTAAATTAATTTTACTAATTAATGTTTTCATTTCTCATTCTTTCAATTTTAGTTTGGTGACTCACAAAAACTCCGACTTGTTCGTATTTTGAGAAGTACTGTAATGGTTCGAGTCGGTGGTGGTTGGGTTTCTCTTGATGAATTCCTAATCAAAAACGATCCTTGCCGAGGTAAATTACAAAATCAAATTGATTACTTTGCCAGACAAAATCGCAGAGTTGCATCTTTACAATATTTACAACCTAATCTTAACCCAATATAGACTTTATAAGACGATTTTTGTTCAACATTAAGTTTATGATTTTGCATGATTTTAACGCATGTTTTATTTTTTCATTTTTTTTTGCGTTTTTATCGTTTTGTTCATTGAAATGATTACACTCCTTCATGACAATCATGATTATCCAAATCACACCCTTGCACATTGTGAATTGCTCGTTGCTTTGAGTAGCTAAAGGACGCACGAATGTAGAGCTTCGAGAGCAATTTATCTTAGCTGATGGCGTTAGCCAAGGCATGGCTGCATTCAAATCCAAGCCCGTAATTAATCCAAAGACAGGCGCTATATCGACTGTCGGTCCAATCATCAAGGTTTGTAAATTACTAAATTAGATGAAAATGAAATGTTATCTATTTTTAATTTATTGCATCTCATTTTTTCAATACAATTTATCTTTGCCTTTAATATTTGCCTTATTTGAATTTCGTTTCTATGATTGCCGTTTTTTTATGATTTGCTTAAAACCAATAACTTCAGGAAGCTCAAGAAGGACCACCAAAAGTTGCCAAAAGATGGATGTTTTAACTTATTAAATGATAAAATTTTGTCAACAAAAAAATAATTTTGACTGAGAAACAATTTTTAACCAAATACGTTTTTTATGTTTTAAAATCATTTTCCTACAAATGACGCTTTTGTACTTAGATTTTGTAGCTTTTCTCACTTGATTTGCACTGAAAACAAACCCACCCACAAATGTGCCAAAAATTACAATTTCATTTTCTATTCTAATCACTCCAAGACTCAATTCATTTTTCCGATTGAACTTGATCTCAACCTAATCTTAAAATTTCATCATCTAAACATGCCAAGTTTGAATTATAACAAGGTTGCTTTAGCATGACATAATTGTAAGAGTTGCACACTTAATTGTTATGAATAATCTGATAATAAACAGTAGGTTAAACAGCTGTTATAATTCATAACTAATACCATGACTAACTTGATTTGTTGATTTCTTTCTCTCTCTCTCTCTCTCATTTCCTCAATCCTTTTCATTGTCAATCTTATTCAATCCTAAATAAAACACTAAACCAACCAAATGTTCAGATTGTCTGGACTTGGAATACTTTTTACCCTGTCCAAGATGCCTACCGGTCCAGGGAATTCCTGCATTCCCAGAATATTATCGACCGTTGGCTCCTGATTACAATTCAAAGATTCCCGTACCCATACTTTCATTGGTAACTACCTCTAAGAATCTAACTCATTAATCAAGTCTTCATTATCAGCCTTTAATGGCAAATTTCGGCATTTCCTGGAAACGTTATTCTTTGACAATTTAAACGCAATCTTTTAAACCATTTTAGAGACAAAATTCTAATATTTTTTTTCTTTTTTCCAATCAAAATTTAGATTCGAGAAAAAACCCAACTCAGTGTGCCCATGTCGCGTTCATACCGTTTTGGAGGCTCTACAAGTGATTGTAGCTTCAGTGACACTGACAGTGGATCCAAATCTCGACCAGGAAGCCGAATGGCCGTTGAAAAGTGAATGAATCAACGTCGTAACCAAACCAAAACTCTAATGCAAGCTATTAACAACAAAAAAAATGATCTACTAATAAATGAAACGATGGCAGGCAAAAAGCGCAATTGTATAGATAAAGAAATACCTCCAAGGAAAAGTTCACCAACAAATATAAATACTAATCTTATACTAAATGTAATAAATTGTACAACCCATGAATGTGTACACAAAGAAAGCAAAAAATGCACGAAAAAATAACTTAACTTTACAAAAGTTAATCAAAAATTAAAACATGTACCTTAGATTTTGTTTAATGTATCATCTTTTGCAAAAGCAAACCTCAACAACAATTACCTAACAATTTGACAATAGACATTTTGTAAGCTCTCACACACAAAAAAAAACACCAAATCAAATTGTAATTAAAGTTACCCCAAAAAAACACTAAACACTTGTCGATGTAATGTTCATTTAAATGGTGCAAAAGCTCGGAAAGGTTTGGGTTACCTTTAGGATTCGGATGGAGGGGATGAAGATGAACAAATAAAGAGTCCAATTTTGGCTTAAATGCAATTCTAACGTGATATTTAATTTCCATGAGCCATGTAATGAAAATATTATTACTTTATATTGACTTTAATACCTTTGAGAGTAAAGTGACTTGTTGTTTATGAGTTTAATCAATAATTGATCAGTAGACATGTAAAGAGACTCACAAAAGTCACCTTTAAACGGTCTTCAGCTTAAATTGATTCACTTTTTGTACAATTTACAGCAAAATGCTTTTCAATGCTTTTCAACAATTATCATTACAGTTGATCATTAGTTGATTAAATGTCTCGCAGTGAATCAATTATTTAATCATTATTAATACTCAAATAGTTGGTTGAAAATAAAACAACAAAATAAAAGGCAAACCTGCAAATTAATAGGCAAATAGTGAAAAACAAAACCTAAAAAAGCAACTTTGAGAAATGATTGTTTGTATATCTTTGTATTTCTGGGTTTAATATTTTGAGGTTTTTTTTCAATAAATTTATGGTAATTACTTCGATAACTGTTAATGACTATTCGAATGTTGTTTCATTGATCGTTTTATTGAAATGGATTTCAAGTTGTCTCTTTAATCATCATCATTATTAACTACATCACTGGTATATTCATCACTGTTGTCAACCATTAACTTACAAACCTTGGCTTAGGAAATGTTTTGTTTTCCTTTTCTTTTCCAAGATTTGCTTTAATCAAGATTAACAAGTTATTGATCTGCGGTCTAATTGTGATCAAATAGTCAAGATGATCAGGATAATGATAAAGAAAAGGCGATTGTTTCAAGCTGAGTCTGGCTAAGTTTACCTTTTGCTTTCAACTTGTTGGACTTACTAGGTCTTGAAAAGGTCAATAAATAATTGGATGAAATATTTCCTTATAATAGCTTCAATTATTGACAGTCACTGACTTAATCTGTAAATCAATGAGAAGATGAAACTTGGTTAAAGTAGGAATAAGTTGTTAGTAAATGAATTCAAGTCGACTTCGGTTGACGAAACAGGATTATATTGTTTAAGAAATCGAGAAATGTTAAGTGACGAGCCGATGATATAAATTTATTCAGAACAAGCTTAATGAACGGTTTGAAATGACCTTAGAATCCAACCCAATGAGCTGAGTATTCATGGAAATAATCAGATAAAACTCGACATTCAATAGTGAGAGTTGATTTGTTTTCACTTTAAATGTGGTGATAATTTGAATAAGTTGATTGCTTCAGCTTTTTTCAAACCTCTAAATTCAACACCTTCACAGTGATCGATCGACAAGGGAAGCTGATCATGTTCAATACTAACCGTGGTTTGGGTTGCTGTGTAGGCCTTAGACTCGGTATTGGCCTTGTCCATGCCTTGCTCATGCCTTGCCATACGCCTTGGCTATACCTTGGGCTTAGACCTTGCCTTGGTTCAGTTTGGCTTAGGTTTTGCTCATGCCTTGGCTTAGGCCTTGGTTGGGTTTTGCTTGTCAATTTTGACACAAAATAAATCAAATGATGATCCATTTGATAATGTAATCAACTCTGATGGAGTTGAGATGATGAGAATGAAAAACAACTACTATTATGTATTTGAAAAACTTCACAATCTAGAAAATTGATCTTTCAATTATTAATCATTTTCACTTTCACCTTTCAGTTCATCTCAACTTTTATTGTATTTTACTGGGTAACCATTACATGTCTATATACCAACACATTACAAATGTATTATGTTTCATCTTGTTTATGCATATTCAATTGGGTTTATAATGTCATCTTTTAATAATTATAACAAGCTTATATTATAATATGATTTGACATTCTCAAGTGATTTAAGGCCAACCAAATAATGATTAAACTTTAATTTGATTGTTGGAACACAGTAAACCTTTCCACTGTTTAATAGTTAAACTCAACTCAATTTGTCAATGGATAATATATTCTTGAATAATGTTCATTTTGTTTCATTTTACTTCTCAATCATTTGAAATTTATATTCCTGTAGTTTGATGGTGAAAATATGCTTACACAGGATAAGATTCAAGATTTAGTCCAATCCAAATTGGGTTTAGGTTCAATCATTTGAAAAGCTTTCCTTCATTGGTATTCAAAATGTTACTTGACCAAATTTGCCTCTTTTTTACGCTTTTTACGCCTCAAGCTTTAATCTTAACAATTTGCAAGTTCAATTGGATCATTTTTGCCAGTAAAATGAACATCAAAAGTGACCAAATTTATGTTAGTAATCATTGATCAATATTAATGGTTAGAGTAAAAAGTACAAAGCTAAATTGCAACAAAAGCAAATCAACATTTTCTTCATCTTTCCCATTCTGTTAGCCTTTTGATTTATTCAATCACCTTTATAAGATAATTTAAGTTAATCTAATTACCGTTGTTTGAAATGTCAGTTTCAAGTTTAAATCAGTTGAAAAAGACTGTCAAGAATTGTCAAGAGTTGACCAGAAACAGTAAAGTGTTTGAAAGCTGTTGAAAAGGTTTAAAGATTTACTGTTAACAGTTCAACTTAATGCTGTTAAATTGTTGAATCAAATGGTTAAGACTAAATTGCTAGTTAAAATTTGTTGCTTTACAATGAATTTAAAGGTTTGTCAACGGAATTAATGGTTCACCAAATCAATCAAGGAAACAAAAGGTTGACAAAATTTGTTATTGATTAACTTTACTGTACATTTGGTGGAAATGAGTTCATGCAAAATTGACTTGAAACTCAGTTGAACAACATAATTGATCTCATTCCCTGTTAATCTCATCTTCCCTCGCCCTGTTCACCTTGTCATCAACCAAGTAAAAACACTCAACAAAAACGGTTTGGTCAATGATTATCCTCAAGTGACCACACAATGGAAGAAGATGAAATCTGCTGACAAAAACTCAACTCTTTTTTTTCGCTCGCAACTGAATCGAGTAAATTTGTTCAACATGAACATTTTTGTTCCCTCTTCATGTTAATAAACCTGAAATTGCAACTGTAAATTTACCACTTCGTATTTCCAGCTCATTGAACTATTATATGTTTTCAGTTGGAATGGGAAAGAAGATTAAGAAAACATTAAAGTAACCATCAAGTTAACATGATTGATACTTACAATGGTGATCATGTTTACTGTGCTGATTTGACATTCATGAACAGGGAAAAAAAGAAACACAAAAATTGAATAAATCCAGTTTTATCCTTTTAATATCTCAAAGGAACCATTCACTTTCGCTATCTTCATCATCTTCATCCTACTTCTTTCTTCTTCTTCCTCCTCACTTGCCCTAAACACTTAACCATTTAGCATCAACTCAACTACCTGATCAGGCTATTTACACTGATCCTAAGTTTCCCCTGTGAGAATCAATATTGTCAAAATTATTATCCTTTTATAGCAAGAAAAAAAGGAATCAAGTTAACATCAAATCCTTTCCATCATCATCATCCTCGCCTTCATCATCAAATTTCTCATCATAAATAAGTCGAAGGTGAAAAGATCACAATAGATCTCATGTCTTAAAATTCAATCATCATTTATGCTAATTTTAATCTTGAATAATCTAACCCACACCACAATGAGCCCGGTTAAGCTGATAGTTGAAAAAATTTTAACCCAACAATGTCGATGCAGTCAGGTCAAATTCAGCACTCATTGCAGGTAGTTTTTTATCAAACAATTTTCACTTCATAATCATAATCATCATCATCATCTTAATGACTTCCCAATTCGGTCTCGCACAGTCAAGCTAAGATGATGATATTTACCACAACCTAGCAGTCGATGTCACTGCACTAAATTTAACCTCCTCTCGAGACTATTCACGAATAAAATTTACCGCCATTTTCATGTTGAATAATCTTATCCTCGCCACAATGAGTCTGGTTAAGCCGATAGTTTCAAAAATTTTATCCCACAAAGTCGATGCTGTCAGGTCAAATCAGCACTCATTGCAGGGAGTTTTTTATCGTACGATTTTCCCTTTATCATCATCATCATCTTCATCTTTATGACTTCCAACATTGGTCGCGTACAGTCAGGCCAAGATGATATTCATCTCAACCTAGCAGTCGATGTCACTGCACTAAATTTAACCCTCACTTGAGGCTATTCACGAATAAATTTTATCGCCATTTTCATCAAGTGATCAATGATCATTTCATGTTATCTTTTGATTCTTTGTTGAAGCACACAAAGTTGCTCAAGACCGCACATGAACCTTTCGATGTTTAATCAAATGGAATTGATTTGTATCAATAATTACTTTCAACTGCATTATCACAGTTCACACACAAATCAATCAACTTCAATTGTCACCTTTCTCTCTCTCTTTTTTAAATTGTCACCTCTTTTCACCATTACAATCAAATTGTTTTGAGTGAGTGATTTTGTACATTCAATTGAAATAAAAGTTTCCCGGAAAAGAGTCGCTACAAAAAGCATGCGATAAACTGAGCAAAGAAAGATGGAAAATCAAATATCAAATTACAAATCTTTATTGACAATAAATTACATTTTTGCCCTTCTCAATGAGTAACTTGATCTAGTGAGAATCTAATTGACCCATTGAAACCAATAGTCATATATAATCTGAAAATGCATAAATGGCCAACAATAATAGTAAACTTTCAACTGCCAGTAACATTTTCAATGTAATAATAATGAAGATAATGTTTACTCAATCTGATAATATCTGTTATAAAATATTGATACATAATCTGTAAATTTTTAATATCAATATTTCAAATAATAATTCAATAAACCAGTTATTAAGATATAATTAAACGTCAATTGAAAAGTGAAAAAACATGAAAAATATTAGTCTTTTAATAATAGATTCATAGCAACATTTGAAACAAAACAAAAAACCTGGTCAATAGCAAGATGAATGTAATGTTAGCATTTAAGTTGACAGATGAAATGAAAATGATCAATTGTAATCGTTTTCACCGTTAAACAAATTAATTTGGGAATCAAAATCGAAAGGTAAAAGAGTTACAAATTGAACATGAAATGATTTCATCAATCTCATTGAAAAATTGATCAAGTAAACATGAACATTTGAAATGAAAACATGAAAATATTGGAAGCCAAAAATTTGACTCAAGTTAATCAATCATTTCATTTTCATCTTAAACATTTAACTCTCAACCTAAAAGATGGAAACAGCAATAAAGGTAATTGACATTCAAGTTAATTGTCATTCTAATTGTTCCTCATCATTACCGAGTTAACTTTCAAATCAAAATCTATTGAAGCATAGCCAGTGGAACATATTGATCTCGAGTCTTGATTATCATAATAACCATGATATTTGGCCTCGTGGTTAAGGTTATTTGTTTCGCTCTTTCCTCCACTGACTCTACCTTTCACCCACCTAACCCTCCACCACCCTCACCCTCTTCCTTCTTTACACGTACAGAACTGTAAATAACTGTTGCACGTGGCAAACTCTCATGGTGATAGCAAGTCACGGTCATTTGTAGTTGACTATCAAGGCTTTTTTTTATACACAGTTTGGAGTCATGTTTATCAATCATCTTTATACTCATCATCGCTATAATTTGTTTTTATTACAACTACAATAATAACAAGATGATAAAGATGAAAATAACTAAAGTTTGATTGCTTTTGACACGCGTTTCAACTATTTTCACTCATTTCCATGTTTACCTTTTAACTTAACTTCATTTATCGAGAGTCAAGACAGGAATACAGCAAAACACCAAAAAATAAACAACACTTGAAAGCACAACTATCCATTTTTAATACAATCAATCAAATTGTAGGAAATGAATAATAATCATAATGAAAAAATGGAGCGAGAAGAAACAAACTTAAGGTTAATAATTCATCCTTTCCTCAAATCTATTGATTAATCTGATTGACTTTATTACCCGACTGATTCTTGTTAATGTTAGCTTAAACTTGGTTTTTTACTGTTAGCTTTTTTTAATATTAAAATATCGCTGTTTCCCAGCATTCTTATTGTTTGTTAATCTTTTAATTTTATATTAGATTTTTTATTTCATTCCCAAATTTCAGCTCATAATTAATTCTTATATAATTATTTGCACTTCAGATTGACCTTCAGTGGCATTTAAAGAGTAGTTACAAATTTGTTAAACCTCAATTGGGGAGATGTTAATCTATATTAATAACAGTATTATATGCAACTACTTTTCATGGTGGGAAAGGAAAACAAAATTATTTGCTAATTAGTAAATAAGTGTGGAGTTGATTGAAATTAAGAAGAGGCTTTAAATTATAAAATGTAACTGTTGGATGGAGTTATTAAATATTAATAATGAATGCTAGTCAAAAACGCATACAAGGAATCAAATGATTGCTTGATGGCAACAAGGAGATTTCACCAATTTCAATTGACACTTTCAGATGGTAATCAGAATCTGACTGATTATGAATTGTAGCTGCAATAGGACTGTACTTGCTAGGGAAGATTTGGTAGACAAAATAAACAATCGCTTCACAGCCAATTCCTCTCCTCTCGAATGTGAGCTTTAATCAGATCATTCATTGTTTCTTTAAATCAATACCGCTCTTCTAGACCATCATTCATAAATAAGTCGTAGTTAACCATCATCAGCTGGGAGGCATTTGATTGTTGAGTATAATTCCAGTCTTGGTAAGCTTTGATATATCTTGAATAACAGATGAAACAGGCACAATCATAATCTTGAATAAATCATCTAGAGTGGAAATAAGAAAAGAGTTTAGTGTTAAAGGTTGAGATTATCAAAATTAGTGAAATCTATCTGAAAACAGGTTAAATTTAGATGTTCAACAAGATGTGAGCATAAACTATAATGAACAAGTACTTACTTCAATTTGTTACGATTTTCCACTTAGGTTTAAATTAACATAAAGAGGATGAGGATCAGAAACTAGAAAATTTCATGATTAGGATGAAGTGAAAACAAAACAATTGAAAAAATTAACAACAAAATGTAAATGGATTGATGAAGACAAAAAAGAGCGGTTAACATGTGATTTCAAGGGGCCGTCCATAAATTAAGATCTTCCCAAGTTTGGCTTGAAAGAGTGAAAAATTGAAAATGAAAGTTTACAACTAAATTTACTGAAACGATTATTTAATTGAATTTAAATTAGTTTGATTGAGTGAAAATGCGAGTAAAAATAAAAGATTAAATAAACCACCAACAATAATGATAAGTGATCAGTTTTAGTGTATGTTTCAAGTCCAGTGAGACTTTAAAGCTTTGCCAAAGACATACGGTTGAAGATGAGTGATGATCCTGGTTTAACAAAGCGACTCAACTATTCATCTTAATATGTTGTTTTCACCATCTTTCTCCATCATCCTAATCATCCTAATAATAATGGTGATCATCATAAAAATCATTGGTGATAATCTTGGTCAAAGATGAAACAAGTGAAACCCTGAAACAAACCCAGAAGATTATTAAATTATAAACGGTGAAACAAAAATGGATGGCAAGACAAAAGCAACATGAAAATGGAGTGAGGAACAAAAACAACAAATGATTTAGTTTTTTCATTTTTATATCCTCAAATCATTCAACCAACAGTTATCATCATTATTATTTGTTATTTATCTCATGCCTCACTCAGACTCACTTGTTTCTCATCTGATTTCCTTAATTCCTACCCTGTTATTTATTTATCATAGCTTTTTTTGTGAATGTCTATCTCTCACTGACTGTGAGTGTTATACACTGTCTTGATGCTCGTCTTGTAATCATGTTTTTATTTTCCCATAGGCAAAGGGTAACCATTGAATGTGCTCAAAGTGCATCAAACAACATCAACAACAACAGGAACAACCAAGAAATTTTGTTGTCCCCGCCTTTCATGATGATGAACCTTTTAACCTAAAAAAAAACTATTTAAATGATCCAATGGGAAATCAGTTGCAAGGCGGAGAGTAACAAATAAGGTGGAGTTAACAGATTATCTGTGTGTTTGAATGGGAATCAACAATTCTGAGTTTTTGCTGGCTGAAATGAACACACACAGAGTAAAAGAGAGAGAAAGAGATTCAGATTCAGAATCACCAAATCATTGGTTGAAAATCATTGAAATGGTTAAACAAGGTGAACAAGTTTACAGTTGATGATTGATATAAGTAAACCTCAAACAACACCATATCCAGTCTCTAACCATTTGACACCCTTTAATAGATTGTTAATTGTAAAAGTGTTTTATAATTGTCCAACCGTTTTTACATGTTGTACCTGTGTCTGTGTGCTTATGTGTTTAATTAATATGGAAGCCAGCAATTATCATTAATTCAACTGCAACTCAAGGTAAGTCTACCACTTCACTTCAACATTTCAACCCACAAAAAGCAATTTCAACAATACTGATGAGTTGATCGCAACCAAACATTAGCAATTCAACTTGATCCTCGACAAAAATTCATCCATTAAGAAACAGAAAAAAATGATTTAATCAGTGAATCATGAATATTCATTGAACTGAGTGAATTTAAAGAAAAATTTCCCTTCAAAGTGACTAAATGAAACCATTTCTAGCTTACAAGTCAAGAGGTTTTGTCGAGTTTTAGATTGAAGTGCATTTTCACTTAATTTTGGTGATAATTTGTGGATGAAATTTTGTGATTTTTGTTCCAAACTATAACTGAATTCTGTATAGGATAATGGATGCTCAGTATTAATGGTTTCAAGGTTTGCATGTTTCAATGTTTTGCTTTTTGTTTCCTGTTACTAGACCATTTGTTATTGTGTTTGTCAACCTGAAAAGTGTTTGGTTACAAGTTTAACTTGAATCCTTCATTGAGCCTTTCATTGAGTGTGTAAATCCGTGATCAAAAGTGTTCAGCTTATGGTTTGACTTGATGGTTTGAATACAAACAGGCAAAAAAAAGAAGCTCAATAAACCCTTAAAAGCTTCTTTAATGAGCATCCAACCATCATCTTCACCCTCCTGTAGTTGTAGCTACAAGTTCATTTACTCATTGATTGGCAGCTTAACGTTTTTTTTCCAGTTCATTTTGTACTCTTCCTATAAGAAACAGCAGCCTTTTGAGCACCTTTCAACATTTTTTGTCTTCTTTTCATTTTCTTCATCTTCTCTCTTCCCATCTGATCCGTTGTTTCATCCCTTTTGTTGTTCAGCTTAAACAATCAATGATCTTGATCGGTTAACATGAAAATTCATCTTTTGTATATTTTAATGGATCAAAGTTAATTTTGTTCATTCTCACTCAGGCCTTTCATGTGATATTAACATTTGCCATTTTCAGGTTTTTTTTGTTTTCAATTTTGTTCCCATCTAATGATCATGACTGTTTACTGAATCATATTCAACTTATAGTTCATTATAGTTTCAATCATCAGGCTCATGCTCATTGTTGACTTTACATTTTTTAATTACTTTCACTTGAACCAATCAATCCAATTGTGTTCAATATTTTCCTCTCAATTTTGTCCTTTTACTTCCAAGTCAACACCAACTTTTTGTTCAGGCAACAAAACCTTAAATCTCAAGTGACTTATTAGTTTGAAAGGAAAAATTATTTTACATGTTTCATGATAACACCATGATAATACATGGTTCCATTACAAGTTGAAAGTCTGTAAAGTTACAGATTACAAGTTGATTAAATTATAAATGAGACATTTTTTTGTTTATTGAATAAAATGAAAAATTAATGTTCAACTGTTGTAAAACTGTCTGAATTGAAATTGCTCATTTTGTGTTATTTTATTATCAATAGAAGGCCAAAAAAGCAAATAACAAAGGTTATGAGTTAAGCTTATAATAATGTTATGAATATTGAATTATCAGTGGAAATGTATTACAATCATAATAAAAGGGTTTAAATGACACTTTGCTTTACTTCAATGTAATTGCTATTAAAATTGTACAACAAACTTGTGTGATTGTTGGTTCACTTTCACAGGGAAAAAAAGTCTAATAAACCCTGAAAATAACCTGATTGTCTGAACAGCCTTTTGAACGTTGTGTTTGAATAATAGATATATCTAATTGTAATGCAAAAGGTTAACAAATGGAAACGCTTAAAATGTTCAACTTTGTATTTTGGAGTTTTTTTTATCTACTTTTTTTTAGTTTTTGGCTCTTTCAAACAAATCAAATTAAATTACAAGTTGATTTTGAATAAAGGAAACTCTTCACCTTAACTTGACCCTCACAAATTGATCATTTCTCAGGCTACTTTCAATGTTTCATGGGATTCCAATTGGAATCCCTCTGGTAAATGTTATAACCTTTTCTGTTGTTGCCTACCGAGTCTCACTGGGAGTTAAATTGTATCTACATTCAGTACAAGTTAAACATTGAGTTCACTTAACTTTCAAGCATAAGCTTTTCTCATCCTCATCTTTTATCATCCTCATCAGTATTATAAATTGTACATGTAAGTCTTTTTGTGATCAAATCCCAATAGAGTTGTAAACAAGACTAACAAAAGTCTAACAATATTGTTACAATAGCAATGTTTAACGTTTCAATTTTTTTCACTTTTCTTCCTCTTCTTCTCATCATTTTACTCTCTCTTCATCTTTCTCCTCCTCCTTCATCATTACCATCATCTTTGGCCTCTCTTTGCTCTCCTCTGATCCCAATCATTAACACCAATTTAGCATTTGGTTAGTAAATCATCAAAGCCAAATACAAAGGAGTCTAAAGCTGGGAAGGGAAGGAAAAAAGTAAATTATTGGTTTTTATTGTTCAAAACTTGCCTACAATCACAATTAGCTGAAGACAAGTTACTTTGTTATTTAATTGGAAATCAAGGAGACAAATTTAATAACATTATCATCCTTATAATCATCATTATAATCACCATTACCATTACCATTAGCATCATCGTCATCACCATCATCAATACCTTTGATAACATTAAACGTTAAACCAGGAAGGAGAAGCTGTTAATTGTTGTTACTCTTTATTGTTTATTGATTGTTGATATCGGAAGGCCACAAAAAATAGACGTCCAGAGCATTTGGCAAGAAACCATTGAAATGTACAGCCATTCAGCTCAAGTATCAAGTCAATCGCCAACGGTAAACTCAATGCCTTTCCTTTTATCACCAAATAACTGTGGATACAATTTAACAAGTTATTATCAAGGGGCAAACCTAGCCCTTGGCCATTTATCACTGCCCAGTTCCCTTTGGGCTCCTCGTACAAGTACAGCAAATAATCGTAACACTAGTGGTAACAATAATAGTCAACTGCGATTAGCAAGTTCACTTCGTGATCAACCCTTGTTGAGTCGCACTTCAATCGGATCAACAGGCCCAACAGCTTTATCCATGTCAACCGAGTCAAGCATGGCCACTGCACTGGCTGCAGCAACAGCAGCGGCCAAACTAGAGATGACCAAGCAAACCTGGAATCCATTGCAATTGATACCTTTTCTTAGTGGTGCTGCTGCTGCTTCAGGTGTTCACCACCCATCTCATCATCCATCCCACCATCATCCCCACCACCCTCACCATCAACAACCCCTTCACCATCCTCACCATCATCATCAACATTTAATTGAAAATCTTACCAGTGAATCAATTTCAATGGTAATGCCAACAAGTGAAAATGGATTAACCCGAAAGAGTCCTTCATCTACCGTCAACTCATCACCATCCAGTTCACCACTAGTCAAGGGAAACACCGTAAGAAACTCTGAATCATCATCTTCCTCTTCTCACCGAAATCATTACAACAATTTCCACCTAATGTCACCTTCATCTCCATCGACATCATCATCTTCATCGTCAACCTCATCCCTAGTAAACAGCAAACAAAATTACCAAGAATCTAATAGCAAAAAATTGACTCCAACAATTTCAATAACACCAACGACAACAGTCACATCAACCTCATCTCCATCAACAACATCATTACAGGTAAACCGTAATCAAACAAGTAAATCAAACCATTCTCATCACAATGGTTCACCTCTCTCTGCTTGGTCTGCCGCTGCAGCGGCGGCAGCAGCAGCTTATGCCTCTTTACTGCCCTCGACTACCTCAAGTCAACCAAGTAAAACAGCAATGTCAACAAACAAAGTTTCATCTTCATCTTCATCATCACCAAATGTTGCAAGTTCATCACAAAATGTTTCAAGTCAAGAATTAAAATTAAACAAGGAAAAGGCAATCCAAGAAAATGGTTATCACAATGGTAAGCATTTTCACCAATTTACCACTTTTTTTACCTTGCAAACCTTTTCTCGCTCATTTTTATCACCAACCAAACACACATTCTTTCCTTCATCATCACCATCATTATCATCATCATTTTTTCTCATCCTCATCAATCCAGTATTCAATTGGTGTTCCTTCAACTCTCGAGCTTTTCACTCCCAAGATTCAGCAGAAAATTTGTTAACCTCTCATGGGTATTTTGTTTTCAAAGAATCTTCATCATCATTCTTTATCTTCTTCTTCTTCTTCTTTATCTTATTCCACTAAATCATCAGTCACATAAACCACCTAAGCAGGATTCCATGTCACGTGATATTTTCCATCATGGGATTCACTTTTACTTCTAGATAATTTGTTACCTTTACTAATATTTTATCCATCATTATTTTCATTCATTTTATACTGTAATCACAATGAACAAAAGAGGCAACAGCGCAACAAAATAAAAAAACAAAAACAACAAGAATCATGAACAAAAAACTTGGAAATTCTGAAGTGAACAGAATAAAAGTCTTAACATTTAGCCTTTTCTTTGCTTCTTTTTTTGCTCATCTCAAGGGTTTCATCACTTTGCTTTCTTATTATCTCTATCATCAACAGTTTCTATCCATTATGAACATCTCATCATTATCATCATCATCATCTTTTGTTATCATCACTCAACCTAAACATCCTATATTGATCATAACTCTCAATAAAAACCATCTTTTGATTAATCTCAATTCTGTGTCAATATGATTTTTTTCATATTGCACTTTTCATCTCAACTGACCAATAGCTAGGTGAAGAGTAAAAAAGCAATTTGAAGATTTGGCCAAAGTCTTTTTTACTTTTTCATTTCTTCTTCTCAAAAATTCTATATAAAGCCAATGATTAAAACACACATTAAGCAAACAGTTTATCATAATAGTTTTCATCAATTCTCATAAAACCATCCACAGGATAAACGATATGTTACCAAAATACTTTGGTTAAGCATTCTTGAAATTCCCGAAATTGCTGGTCACCAGTTTTTTGTCTCCTTAATTTGAGGTCACCAAAAGCATATTTTAAAATAAACTGGTCAATGTCTTCTTCTGCCAAGAAAAATGTTCACAAATTGTTGTTGGTCACTTATATTTGACATTTTACAGTTTATTAAAAAACCAATAACTTTATCAACAGCCAAAATCGCTCAATTCTTGTCTCCTTTTTCCAATGAAATATCTGAAAGAAAAAAAATTATTAAAAATGGTGAAAATATTTTTATGGTCAATAGGATTAATACGTTTCTCAGTTTTGTTAATGTTATCATGAAATTGATTATCTTTTTGTTCCTTATTTCGTTCAACAAAATGCTCACAAAATTGAAATATCTACTGATCCATTCTGTGCAATTGCATTCAATTGCGTATCCCTGTTAACATGGTTAGCCGTGAATTGGCGTAGTCTGAGTGCTGGATAGACGCTCAGACTAATTAAGAGTGGGCTGTACTTGGGTTTCAGTAAATGTCAAAAATCGAATTGGATCAATCCTAATCAATAATACATTTAAAATAACACTAACAATAGAGATATTATTTGAGAATAATTTTCTTACTTATATTGATAATAAAAACAGTTAACAGTATTCGTGACAGTTTAATAGTAAACCTTACCATTCACCAAAATATCGTGATTTTCAACATCAAAAATGATCATCTTAATGTTTCTTTTATTAATTTAACTGAATATTTTAACCGCTACAATATAAGATATTAACATATTTTAATAGCTTAAATAGTAGCAATACAAATTTTGTCACTGCAAGGCTGCTAGTTTCTCTATCTTTTCATGGTAAATCATTTTATATTTGATTTCATCATTTCTCCCTCTTTATCTCGTTCATTTACGCATACTACAGATATAGGTTGTTAAACTTGACAAAAAAGTTCAACAGAAAATCTTGAAATTTCAGTGAATGGTAAGATGTTGAGGTGGGGCCAGAATAATCCAAGCCAAAAGTGATTACAAACCCCATGACAGTAGTGGGATTAACAGATGATTCTTTGACACTGACTATGAAGATTATGGTGTTAAAGGTTGAAAAACAAATCCAATATCTTTACCACTAAAAACTAGTAAGCCTCATTAACTGTGCCATTAGCTTTCTGAAAAAAAGAGGTAAAAGTTAACAGCTTTTAGTAAACCAATCAGTCAAAATTTTTAAACTATAGAATGCTTCTTACCTGTAGAGACCACAAGTGAGGTCAATCTTGAGCGATTAGCTGATGAACAAATGTATTATAATAAACATATTTAACCATAAGGCATGGTAAATGTTAAAGGTGATTAGTGAAAAGCAAAAGGCTCCAGCCTATTGGGTAAGCATTAGCAGCTTACATGTTAGTCGTTTATCCAACTTGAACTAGAGTAACTTTTTTCAAAACGAGGGTCCAAGTGATGTTAGCCATTGAGTTAACTGTCCAGTAACTGAATTGAGTCCTGTTTCATGTTGATTAAAACAAAATTAGTTAACAGTAAAAAATTAAAATTTGAAACAATGAAAAAAACGGTTAAACAAAGAAGGATTAGTAAGAGTTGAGGGGTCATCCATAAATTATGTCTGCGACTTGAAGACAATTTTTAGCATTTAATTGAAATCATTTTCTGCCTTTTTTGTTGCCATTCAAGTTATAATATTGTGATATTTTGTTGCTTTTCAGGGTAAAAACTCATTAAAATTTCCGTTTTTACTCTTTTCTTTCCAGTATTAATTGAATTTCACCAAGTTGGCAGAGTAAGTTTATAATCAAAATGAATTGTTTCCCATTTGATTATGATGATTCAATTTGGTTGTGAATTAAGTTGAAAAACAGCAAAAAAACACCAAATAAGATGAAAACAATTTATTAATGAAAAAAAAACTTATTAAGGTTTACATTTGAGAATCTTTTTTTCCCATTGAAAAGTCTCTTAAGGTTATCTCATTTTTTGGTTCCCATTCAACTCTTTATTACATTATTTGCTTTCTCTCTCTCTCATTTGAATATTTTTTCATCAATTTTAAATATTATTTCAAGTTGAAGTATACAAGAACCCAAAAAATAGGAAGAAACGTATGATTAGGAGGGAAAAAAAGTTTGATGTAAAAAAAGGCAAGCAAAAGAGTTAAATGAAAATAAGTAAATTGCCAATTGATATAAAAAAAGTAAAGGTAAAGTTGAAAGGAATCAGTTGAATGAAATTTCATTCATTTCCATTCCACCAAGGAATTGACAAAATGTAATTGAAATATGAAACAAAGATATCAACCTATATTTAAAACGAAACGATAAAGTGAATTGAATTAAATATGAAAAAATCGTAGGAATCAGAGAAGCAAAAAAACAAAGATTAGCATGATTGGTGAACGAGAATGTTGAATGTTACTGATGGATAAATGGTTTAAAATGCTAAACACCTTTCAGAACTAAATATAATTCTGTATAGAATTTAATGGCCGACTGATTTTGACCAAAAAAAGCTCATGAATAATCCTGAAATTTGCCTTCGAATCCGTTCTGGTTTGAGTTAAAAATCACTAAAAACAAATGTGAAATGTGTTTCTTCAAGCAATCTTGAAGGTTTAACAACTCTTAAGACTAAAGATGAAGTAATCTTAACCTTAATTGTCTTAAATTGTACTCGATTTAGTTTAAATTGAATATGCTCATTAGAAGGTTGAACAATTTAAATTGAAAGCAACTAATTAGGATTGACTGCAAGTTGAATAAATGCTTGTTATGAGTGATTATCATGATGATAAAGAAAAGGTTTTTTTTCAATCAGGAAAGAATCTTGAATGACATATAAGTCTTGGTTGTAAAAAAAAGATGAAGATAAATGCTCAAGAGAAATGAAGGCAAAAAAGAAGGATCAAGATGATGATGATGATGATGGTGGTGGTGGTGGTGATGATGAAGACTGAGCTTATAGGAAAATTATGTTGTATCATAAGAGTAATGGAAAGTGAATTGAGCAGAAGCTGGTGAAGATGAAGATGAAGACGGTATAAAAAAGCCAAGATGATTGGAAGAGGAAAAAATGATGTAAAATTATTTCTTTTTCCGGTTCAACTGAGTTTCCTCCTTCTTTACCAATCATGTTTCCACTTCCTTAGACCCATGCTGTTACACGCCCATACTCAATATATTTGATAACCACTCAGTGTCCACCCATTATTCAGTTGAACATGAGACAACATGATAACATTGGACAGCAACTGGGAGTAAACTTCATCCCTTATCAACTCTATTTTTTGTTCAGGCAAACATTTCCATCTTGATCATCATTTTTTTTATCATACTTTTTTTTACATCATCAACTTTTCCCTGCTTTTCAATTCAACATTTCATTTCATCTGAAAATGATATAAACAAAAATAATGCCAATAACTGCTTACCAAAGCATTTTGGGTTATAGATTTTACTTTTTCCCATCTTTCCCATTTTAAAGCTTTTAAACATTTTCAGTTTACTTTGATCGTTAGATCGTTTAATTGCATGATTAGTTTGATTGTGAATTAGTATTGTGGTTATTGATTCATTATTTGTCTGGTTTGCCTTTGTGTTTGCGTTTGTTTCACCAGAAAATGGAAATGGTTGCGAATATGATTTTTGCTGCTTGTTTCCACTGTTGATATTGATTGTCTTCTGGTTATTGATTGATAAATTTACAATTGATTAATGTTCCAATGAATTCATTATTGATTGTTATTCTGATTTATTTGCAATTAAAGTTAAATCATTGAATAAAAAAATCTAGAAACTGTTTTAAATGGTCACGCAATTACCAGCCATTAAAAAATTGTTTGTTCATTCAAATGATATTTAACAATCTAAACATTGAAACATGAAGACTTTTCATTTCAGATTTCAATATTTTCTGTACTTTACCTTTGCCTTTCATGATCAGTAAATGATCATTAAAGGAGCAAAAATATTGTTCAATTGTAATTTGATTTGAATTATTATTGTTGTCTTCCAGTCAAGGTAATGACAAGATATTCATGTTATTCACTGACGAAGTAGATTAATTATATTGTGTGAGATTGAATTTTAATATGGGAATTGTTTTATCTGTCTTATTGTTGAAACTTGCGGACATTTTGAATAACCAATAATATAATCACAAATCGATTCAATTGCCATTAACTTGAAACATATCATTTTCATATGTAAATCAGGTTTCAATTTTTGTTTTATATTTTCATTGAAAATTATGTCTGAAAACACTTTTCAATTGTTATGACTTTGAGGTTTACAGCAACAGAAAATCAATTGAAATCAATCAAAATGATCTATTAAAAGACTAAATGTGAATCAACTGAATCAAATTAGATTGTTGACTCTTCATATGAGTAACTCAACAATTTAAAGCAATCTAACGAAAAATTTCCAATTGTTTAACTTCATCTCAAGGCAAAATCAATCAACAGTTGATTGTGTTAACATGTTAACATTATTATTAAGGTTTGTCAATATTAATTAACTTTAATTTTTCTGCTTTTTCCTCTTTTATTTCAACCTTTTTTTGCTATAGTTTGAGTTGACTTCACTTTTGCCTTTTAATGCTCCATATTAGAAAGTAAATTTATTATTAATAATGGTTATCATATTAAAATAATGATTATTATAATAACATTTTAACGCGTGGTTTAGTTGAAAATTGTTAATTTTGATAATGTGATGTTTGACCATGTGAAACAATCAATGGTTGTGTATATGAGCTTATAGTTAATAGTTAGTTAACTCTGTAGTTAAGTTCATCAATTATAATTTTTGTTTTGTTTTACCATATTTATTATTATTGTGATTAACTGTTAACTTTTAAATAATATGTTTTGAGGTTGCAAAAAAAAGGTATGGTTGGTTAGGTTAATGATTTTTTTAGTGCGGTTTGATTGTGATGATGATAACAGGAAAAGTCGAAACCATTGTAAAGGCTCATTAATTGTAACTTTTTAAGTTCGACAGCAACAGCAGCAAACAGCAGCAACAACAACTGGTCATCGTTATTATTGACTTAACAACATTTGATTGTCGATCACGCACCAAGTAAAAAATGTTTAATTAAAATTACTGCAAAACAGTAAGTCTATCTGGTTTGTTGATATGCACAACTTGAAATGTTGTAAATGATCGGAAGAAAACAAATGGCAACATTATTGAGTCAATCATTGACTAATTTTGATTAACCATGTTGTCAATGCACAAGACCAATGGAGACAATTAAAAAGCCAATACAGAAGAAAGCCATTAACCATAACGACCAGTAAAACAGTTGAAATTGACTGCTGGATAAATGCACCATCAGATTGATCTGCTTGACAAACATCTTGAGCTTTAACAGATTATCCATTTGACTAGATAAAATCGTAGATTTGATGCAATCAGGTCCATCCTATGCAATACAAATACACAAAATTGTAGGCAAAGGCATCTGGAAATTTTGACATCAAATGTGAAGATAAATGCCCAAGTCATTGAGTTCCTTTGTCATCCTAATTACCAATCGTGACTGTACTTGTACAAGTGTAAAATATAGAACCAATGCAGAGGTGATTCGTCGTTTAATTTTTAGTTTAACTGGATCATTCGCCAGCAAATATTAAAATCAATAGTCGAGTGAGAGCATAAGTCCTGAATTTTGAATCTGCTCATGGTCCAAACCGTGGTCCAGTTGAACTAAAATGAAAACACTATAAAGTAGAAACAGAATTAATTAGACTGTTAAGAAGTAGATCAATAATTTATGATAATATTTACAATAATTTCAAGTTGACTTCTGGATCATTTGAAAAAATTTACTCACCTTAAATGTTTTGAATTACAAAAGCAAAGCTATCGACCGAAATTAGATTACCAACCCTTTTAGATAGAGTGAATGTTAATAGATCCAACACTTGAAATACAGAGACAGAATTAAAACACAATTACATTAATAAATTAACCAGACTAAATTACAATAATAGAAACAAATCGTTGAATAAAAAGCTTAAATTGTCATGTGATATCTCTAACAAAGAAAGACAAAGCTGCGCTTGAATTAACCAATGAGTTAATCGGGTTAATCCTTGAGCGCGTTATTCAAGAGCCTAAAAATAACTGAATGATGAAAAAATATTTACCAGAAAATTGAATCTCTATTATTAAATGAAATTAAGTTTAATCATAATTGTTAATAAAAGAAGAAAAATTGTCCTGCTTTCTTTCATCAAAAAGGGTAAGTGGAAAGTGGAAAGTGAATCAAATTATTTTGCTTGATAGTCTAAATTGGTCACAAGAGGATATTATGATTAATATTGACCCAGTTATTAGCATTTTAGTTGCGAGCCGAGAAAAAAATCAAATAAACAAATTCCCTGTCTTGTTCATTTGCTTTCATCATTTTCTTGCTTCCATCTTTTTCTGGTCCCTCTCATCATCACCATCATCATCCTAATTATCCCAAAGGAATTGATATTCATCAAATTCATTCTCAATGGTTTCATATTGCCTTAACTGATTTATAGTTGAACAAGTTTGATCCCAGTAAAAATATATATTAAAATATATTAATTTCAATCATGAGTTGAGAGTTATTATCAAGTGAAACATGTGATCAGAATTTTTAATTTCCATTCCCAGTAGAATCAGATTTTCATCATTTTCCTGCTTGGGTCGTGAAATCTTTCCAATCGAGAAAATCCTCTGAATCTGAATTTCAGGTTTTGCTTTTTGTGTTTAATCGTTCAAACTAACGACAATTTATTCATTTAGCTGATTCTCTTTAGACTCATCTTCATAACATTCACTGCCATTTACATAATTGAAGTAATCAAAGGGAACGATTAAGCCAATTAATGAAAGTAAAAAGGCAATTCAAATCAACAGATTCAGCAATAATCAATGTTCAACCATCACCATCATCATGACTATCATTATGAAACCTCCTTTGAACTCCCATTTCAACTTCACTTCAACACTTAATAATCACATATTACATGTCAATTAATGAATTATTTTTTTCTGTTTTTTCTCCTCTTCTCATTAACAGATTCAAATAGTAATGATAATTTTTATTCAAGCAAACATTTTGTCCCACCTGATGTAACCTATTCAACTGAAAGTTTATCCTCTGTTAATGACCTTTCCGTTGACTCTTATAAGTCTCACCTTTCAACTGGTTCAGGTGATTCCAACATGTCAACTTTGTTTCCAACTCAGGTTGACTCTGAAGAGGATAAGCCGTATTTCAATGAAAATAACCTCAACAATAACCATGTAAATCGAGATGACAATTTCAAGCGAAAACGAAAGCGAAAACAAAATTACTTTAAAAATGGATCAAAAATGGGAAAAGTGAGCAACAGTGATAACAATGAAGATATAAATGAGGATAACAATGATGAGAATAATGAAGACAATGATATTAGTAGGAATGGTGAGGAAGAGGATGAGATTGACTTGGAAGATGAGGAAGAAGAAGATGATGAGGAAGATAAAGATGAAGACGATGAGGATGATGAAGATGAGAATGTGGACATTATTGGAGAGAGAAGGCGAAGACGGCGAAGAAGAAGATGCCTGGAAAGGGAAGAGAAGGATGAAATTGAATCAATTAATTTGGATTCTCTGAAAAATCGTAAATCATTGGAAAGTTTAATGAAAGAGAAAAGTGTTGATCATTTTGGTTATCATCATCACCACCATCATCGAGTGGACACTCATTCAAGGCATCACCATTCAAGCACATCATTGACCGATTATTCAATTGATCAACTGTTGAAAAGTTCAAGTAAACAGTCGACTCGAGATAAAATGGGTTCACGGTTGATTACATTTGATTCAGGTGAAGGTGATCAAAGTGATGGCCGTGATGAAGCCACTTTACCGGGTCAAACAAGGCAGACAGGCTCATCGTCAATCTCACCAGCAACCGTCTCGGCATCAGCAGCAGCAGCAGCCGTAACCTCAGTGGCCATTGCAACTGCAGCCGCAGCACGACTCTTAACCAGCAACTCTGATCAAGTTCGTAGTCAAGTCTCATCTCAACTTTACCGACCCTTTCAAGTAAGTTTCCTCAACCTTTGCTCAACCATTTTAGTCCATCAAAACCTCCCACTTACATCACACCTTTACAACAGCCATGCACTTAATGTTGAAACTCAATCAACCATACGTAACACGTAACACGCGCATTTATAATAATGCACGTGAACTGCTCACGCTACAAGAGTAAACACAAGTTTGCCTGTCTATTATTATTATGATTACCATTATTGGTGTGATGTGAATAAAATAGTTTGCCCTTGAGGCCATTTTTTCTTACTTTTTTTCCTCTTCCTTCTTCCATTGTTACACCGATAATAATGATAATTATTTGTATGATTAAGTTACTCCATTCACTTTTTTTTCCTGCTTATTTTGGCTTTCTTTTTTTCGCCTCTTAAGCCGATTTAAGGTCACTTTTACTCCAAGGGATTTAGATGAGATTTAATCTCATCTTGAGATACCTTTTTTCCTCTTCTTTGCTCTTTTCCTACTCTCTTTACATCTTTTTTTTACATCATCATCATCTTCAGCTTGGTAAACCTGAAAAGGGCAAACTCTCATAGAACTCGTATTTCATTTAAATCCGATCCTAATTAGGATAACAAAGGTTAAAGGAACTAAATAGACTATAAAAAAGCTGATGATGATAATAATGGTGATGATCAACTGTATTTAGGTACAATGTTAATTGACTCGCGGTTTTGTTGTAAACCAATGTTAAAATGTAATACATAATAATATCGTATTCAAAATGGAAGCTTATTAAGCTTAACGGAAATTGATCAATTGATCATTCTTACAATGACCATTGTTACAATGGTTATGATTATTGTTATAATGGGTGAACAATTGTCTCAATTTAAACTACATTTTTGTCAAAAATATTTATGATTTACTGGAGTTTGGCTGTTGGTGTTGGGATTGATGCTAATGGTGCTTACAAAGGTGCTTTTAATGACAGGCCTTTATTGCTAGTTGACCTCTGTTAATTTAGTGTTAATTAAAGATTATTTTATGGATCATTTGATTATATCTATTATTTCATCAGTGATCATTTTGATATATTTTTTATTTTCATTCATTAACTCCTGTTATTGTAGTCATTCACACTTTTTTTGAGCCTTTTTCCCATTCACTCTTCGTCTTTTCATCTTTAATCACATCAACCCTTAATGGTTAATTTAAAGTTGTTAGATGTTTATCTTACTGTGAATAGTTGGATAATAAAACTTAATGGCCAAATCAAATTACCATGTAATTTCACAGTTAAGATAGGAATCAAAATTATCAAAATATCAAAATAATTTGAAAGAGGCTAAATCATACCGACAATGAATCAATAAATAAGATTACATCTCTGTTTCCCTCACATCTCTTGATTTTACTATTTTTTTGTTTGCTCGCTATTGAAAGTCAACCCTTTTTAAAATTATTATCAAAATTGAAATTAGTTACTTTTCACAGGTAATTATAAAGTTTCAAATTTTTATGATTTCTTTCAATTCTCATGATTTCATGATAATGTTAAATAATAAATAAATGAGGTTGTTTTATCGATCAACACTTTAAAAATTTGAAACTTCTATAAAATATATCGAGGGTTAGAAAGGTAAACGATAACAGGCCATGTAATAGGATCGATCGACTTCTTTGTTGAATGCAAATACATGCAAATGTAGTAAATCCGGTGAAAGGTGTATATAGAAAAAAAGGAGAAAAATTGATGAGTTATAAATTGGTTGAATTGGACAATGAAAATGATTATTTCTAATTGGATGACATACATCTTATTATCTATTAGGATATACCTCGTTACATAGGATTCCCGTTCTGTGGTTTAACTGGTCAAGGTTTAACATCATTGATGGGACAAAAAGTCAACAATTTGGACAATAGTTCGTTAGTTAGTCGACTTTTTGGCCCTCACCTGGGTCCAAACGGTCCTAATGGTTTCTTTTCCCACCTTCACTCGTTTTCTCGCGGATCACCCATAGAAACAAACGGAACAGCCACCACTGATGGGGTTGTCTTTTCATGTGTTAAATGTGATAAAATGTTTAGCACTCCACATGGACTTGAGGTTCATGTACGTCGATCACATTCAGGTAAACGTCCCTTTGCTTGCGAGCTGTGCAACAAAACTTTTGGCCATGAGGTTAGCTTGTCCCAACATCGAGCTGTTCATACGGCAGAGAAAACATTTGAATGTAAACAATGTGGGAAAAGTTTTAAACGATCATCAACCCTATCAACTCACCTCTTAATTCATTCGGATACAAGACCTTATCCATGTCAATATTGTGGCAAACGATTCCATCAAAAGTCGGATATGAAAAAGCATACATACATACACACAGGTAAGTCAGCCATTTTACATTTGCTTAAATCCATATTCTATCAGAAGAAAAATGATCTGTTAACAAATTGTAAGCATGAACTTGTGTGAAAAAAATACTAACCAACAGTTATATTGACCAACTTCCTCCCAGCAAATGATCCAAATTACACAAGAAACAGTAAAACAAACAGTGACGATGGTCAAATTTTAGCCAAATAACACAATTAAAGTGTTTAAACAAATCAATATCACGATCAAAAACTCACAATTTAAAAACAATATTTCTTAATTTATTAATAGCAAAAAACAGTTGAAACTTGCAAAACCATTTCTCTCCCAATCAAAATCACATGATAAGCAAAAAGGCGCGACTCTTTATTTTAGAGGCGCGATGTTTAACTATTAACAGTAATATTAAATATTGTTATTAAAATAGCTTATCGATATTAGAATAGAAAATACAATTAAAATAATTCTTTTAATTTATTCAATGAGCAAACTGAGTAAAATATCATCTCAACAAGAAACAATTGCTTTGCATTTGGATAAATGTTGCTCCTTTTATTTGTAATCAATTTGATTGAAAGTAAAAAACAAAATGTCCATTTATTGTCAACAGATGAGAAAAGCCAATAAAAGGAGAGAAATAGTTTCATCAATTTGAATATAATCAAATTGTCATTTAAGAGGAACCAAAATTACACAGAAAATAACAAAAATATTGAACAACAGATAACAAGATTTAGATCATCTTCATCCTTGTCTGTTGATTTTGGAAATGTTAAAAGGTTTGATATAAAAAAAAGGTTGCCTTTTTTGATAGTTGCAAATAAAATTTGCGGTTGTTTACATTTGCTTTTTCAATGTTTCATCTTCATTAAATCATCCTTTCTCCCTCTTTCTTTTCTCTCTCTTTTCCCCTTCCTTCATCCTTATCATCATCATTTTCAGTCAATAGTCACTCAAAGCAATCTTAGTCTGTTTACATTACCTTTATAATACAGTTTATATTCAATCTTTCAAGCCTAATCTTTAAACACTAGTTCAACAATTCCCTGTTGAGTTTCAATTCATCTTCACTCAATAAGTCCAATCATCATATTTTGGCCAAATATTATTCTTGATATTCAACCATTTCAATGATAACACTTACCAATACTTACAAATCTCATTTCAATCTGTCATTGTTTACCAGTAAAAACATTTGTCCTATTAACCCTTCAATCACTTCATTTGATTTAACCCAAAATTAATCAATCGTCATGAAAGGGAAACATTTTCATCTCATATTTTTCCATGTAATCTCTCTGTTCCATGTAATCTTGATACAGTTGATGAGATTAAAGCAAGCAAATAAAGCAGTTTAATAACTAATACATGATGATGATGGGTGATGATGAGAAGAGATGAAAATATGAAACTAAAAGATCAGTGTGCTTATTTACCCTGGATTTGGTGGAAATGGTTAAACTGAACAAATGAAATGATATTGGGTGAATGAAAAGGATAAACATGATCTTGAAGAACAGGTTAATTCAATTACTTTTTGTTTGAATCAAATGTATCCAGCGATTGTTTGTTGGTTAAAAGGGAGAAAACCCGAAAAAAAAGAAGTAATCATTTTCTTAACAAGAAATATAAGTTGAGGATGATGAGAAGGATGATGATGAATAAGATGAAGATGAACAACTATTTTATTCCCTGTTGATGGTGAATAGGATAAGCCTCAAGCTAAATATCACTCCCTGATTCCTAACCAATTGTTAGTCCTACCAATCAGTTGAACAAATGGTTAACAATCAATCTGATTTTCTAGCAACTTTCCCATTCACAAACCCAAATAATGAACCCTAATAATGATCATCAAAATCATTGTTTTCTGTGGATGAAGAACGTCATTCCAGAATAAATGTCAATCCATTTCAATCAAAGCAAATTTCATGTTCAGATATTTTCCACCAAAAAAATATTCCAATAAGAAAAGAACATGAAATTTCCTTTGAATCTAAACTCAAGACTAAATGTAAATCTAAAGCAAAGTAGCCTTTTGTTGGTTGAACCCAAGAGTCTGAAGGTAAAGTCACTTATCATTTTAGGTTTGGTGTTGAACCAGAATCGTTCATTTGGCTGATTTAGCTGAAGTTATTGATTATTGATGAAAAGGTTGATCTAAATTGTCTTGAGTCAGCTCTTGTATCCTTTTCAACTGTTTGCCTTTCACTAATCATTGTAAATCTAGTGTTGATGTTTTCACCTTTTCATTGCAATCAAAATGATTCACATTTTTTCACAACTTTCCTCAGTAATGTTAACAATAAATCCGTGAACAATTTGCTGATCACAAAACGTTAACTACTTTTGAAACCATTAAATGGCTCAAGATAAATGACATTTTGTTTGTTGGCTCATCCAAAAGGTTCACATTATTGTCAACCTTTTTTCCTTGTGTGTTCACTTTTAGCTTGCGTTAAATCAATGTGAAGACAAATATCATTAAAATACCAAAGTGATTGGGTGATAAATTAAGATGAATGAAAATATCTTCTTGTGGCCTTTAGTTTATGAATTGTTCAGCCAACGAGTCAAAGTGATTTACCAATAATCATTATATTAATCAATGGGTGAAACCATTTTAATCAGTTAGAGCAAAGGTTGAAGGAGATCCAAAATTCAACTCATCTATCCTCAGCTTTCCATTATTAACATCGTAAATTGTCTTGTAATTAATTTCTTTCCCTTAACAATTTATTATTGCATTAAATCAACAATTGTCAATTGCTTTATTTACATCGTTTAATGTTTAACAAACAAACAGCTTTTATGGATCCATTTGAAGCTCAAGATTTACCCAAATTTTTGGCTCCTCGCTTTTTTTAACCTTTTGTTAAAGGTTCATTGTAATCAACTGATTGAGTTGATTAATAGATACAATTTTCATCAATGTTTATGTTAAGGATGAAACTGATTATGTATTGTTGAGTGAATAACAAATGCTCAAGGCAATGAAAAGATTACATTGAGTTGATTTGTAACAGCAAGAAAAAAGTATCTCAATTTTTTCATCATTATCATTATAATGATGAGATTTGTTGGTGTAAAACATTTGAGCTTTTGCTTGAAGAATGAATTTACAATTTTGTGAGTTATTCAATTATCTTGCAATATTGCGCTTGGTTAACATTAATCTGGTTATTATTAGGTGAAAGGGGAAAGTGAAATGTTCAAGATTATCTGACTCAAAGGTTTCCATCATTGATCAATGTTGAACATTTTAAGGTTGACAATGAGAAGGACCGAGCATTGTGTTGGGCTTTTGTGGGATCTGTTGATAATAATAAAGATAATTTATCATAATTTAAGACATTCTTGATTCTCATTTTAACAATGGTTCCAGAAGCAATTCAACAAAGATGATCATCAAATTGAGCAAGACAATTGATTGAAGGAATAATTAATTATAATCAAAGTAAAATAGAGAAAGGTTTAAACTTGATTCACAATTCATTATCTTCAGTTTGCTTTGTCATGGGAATGAAATTGAGCTCAATTGAGATCAATTTTTGTTTCGCTGTTTTTGTTTTCCTCACCATCTTGAGATGATTGATTGAAAAAATCAAGGTTTTATAATTACAAGTGGATAGGAATCAAAGGAGAGGGAAAAGGTTTAAATCATTGATCGATTAATTTCATTGTCAGTTGTCTTCCCTATTGCTTACCTGTGGTAATATATGGTACATTGTATATCAGTTTATAAGGTTAACTTATTCATGATATAACAATTGAGATCTTTCAGTTTGCCTTTTCCAACAAGTCCAGAAAAATGATTAAGAAGGACAAAAAAATAATGATGATAATGATGATAATCAGTATTAACTCGGTGAATGGGAATGGGAAAAAGACAGATTGTGATTGGGAAGAAATGACTTTTAACAATAAGAGTTGTGTTTTGTTGCATTATTTGCTTCTGCAGGCGTAACTCTGTGAAGTTAACCCAATGTTCAATGATAGCGTTTTTACTTGGCCTTTTTGGTGACTTTAACCATAACCATTTGATATTACAATGTTGATAATCAACTGTTAACGGTCTACCCTAGAAAAGAAAGAGAAAAGAAAGAGTCAATGTAAGTGAGAGATTAACATTGTAAAATGTATTGTTTGTTGAACACCAAAAGTCAATGATAGTAATTGAGTTGCAAACCTTTATCCTTTGTGTCTCTATGCTGGGCTTGAGTTTTTGTCATCAACAAACTTTGTATTTATGGCCAAACAATAGAAGATTGACTTTAATCTGTGACAAAATAAATATAATAATCACAATTTAAGGTGAATAAAAAAGAATCACAAAACTATATTAAGTTACACAAAAACAATAGCCATTTCCAATTAAAAATAAACATAAATGGATCATTTTTAACGTCGCCATCTATGGTTAATTATTAAGACGGCGTCTACTAATTGATAATAGATGGCGACTTAAAGAAAGCAATGCTCTGAACAAATCCATTGTTTGTCTTAATTTGTAAATCTTTGTGTTTTCATTTTGATTAATTTTTCTTTTTTTTTCTTCTATTTACAGGTGAAAAGCCTCATAAATGTTCAGTTTGTGGTAAAGCATTTAGTCAATCATCCAATCTAATTACTCACAGTCGGAAACATACTGGATTCAAACCATTCGCTTGTGATGTTTGTGGACGCGCCTTTCAACGAAAGGTTGATTTGAGGCGACACAAGGAGACTCAACATTCCGAGGTTAAACCATTGACAAACTCAGTGACTTCACCTTCAAACACACCAGGAACAACATCAACAACTAGTCCAACAAGTCCTCATAACCATCATCACCATCCTCATCATCCACATCATCATCATCTCCCGCCTCCTCCACCGCCACCAACCCTTGCTTTGCCTCCTCCTCTTCCTCCTTCACATAGTCATCATATTACCAACATGACGATAACAGGAATTCCTGAGAATCAATTAACACCATCTTCATCTTCATCATCATCATCATCTCAACAAGCAACTCAGCCATCTTCCTCATCATCATCAACTCGTTCAATACGTTTACCAACTGATTATCGTGTTCATTCACCAACCACTACCATCACATCTCATCACAATATTATTTGATTAATTAACATTAATTAATCTTCCTATCATCAAACTGAAAAGGACATAAAAATTGTTTTCTTTTTCTTGTCAAATTTCTTCAATAATTTAACCAAATATCATGAAAAAATAACAAGGTTATCTTTTAATTGTCCCATTATCAAGTGCAATCTTTTACCAAATTGTATCAAGTTGAACACAAACACACTCACAAAACTGAGTAATATCATATTATTCAACTATCTGTGGATCATGTAATTATGATTAATAAATAATAAAAACAAACCTAAATCCAATTCGCAGTATAGCGTGTGTATTTAGTTAATTTCACTAATCAATTTAGTTTACACCTCACCAAAAGAAACCATTGAACAGCATAAACTGAAGATAAAAATACAACATTTAATAAATACAAGTCTCTGATCGTGATAATACAATTTAATCGTTGAGAAGCACCCAAAAACAATTTAGCGTGATTAATGAAAATAAAAGAAATCTTACTAATCATTTGATAATAGTTTCATCGCATTTGATTGATCAATACTTGATTGAAAAGCCATTGAGATTATTTTCAATTGCAAAAAGGTAATCACAATTAGCCATACAATTCAACTTGAAAATCATACTTTTATTGAATAAATCGAGCAGCTAAATGAAAAGCCAATGTAAATTTGAAACAAAAAAAAGAGCAACTCAATAATAGTTAAGTCAGTTAATGGGCAATCAACGTTTATATTGTTATTGTGTGTCTGTAGTCAGTTGATTGTTATGTTTAACTGACACGGATAAGCAATAAAAGGACAATAATGATTAAATATAAAGCACCAAGAAAAAGTAACCTTTAGGATCGACTCTTTTTGGTTCCAATAGTTAAGTCAATTGTAATATTTAACTGTTTTTCAACAACCAAAGGTAATATCAAATTGATTCAACTGATAGTTAACCTTTTATGTGATTATCACAGGGAATCATGATTATCATGTCTATGGTTAAAGGAGACAATTGAAGAGGACAATTAAACAGAAACAAAAAGAGTAAAAAATTGAAATTTAGTTTAATCGTGGTTAAACACTAATTCAATCTATAAGGATGCAAATCAGTTAGAGGTTTGTTTTTCCAGTTGATTGGATTGCCTTTGAGGCTTTTTACAATGATAATGATGATGATTAACCTAATCAAGAGTTTAACCAGTTTAAATGAACAACAATTGAAAATGTTTTGCTTGAAAACCATGAATTGAATGTAAAAAATGAAGTATTAGTTGAGTTGATTTCAAAGTAAACCAGATAAGAGATTGTTGATGAAGTAAACTGAAACTCATGACGATATTGATGTTTGCAATTTTGATGAAAATGATGTTGATGAAGATACTGATTAAGATACTGATGATGATTTAGGTGGAGAAGGCAAAAGTCTAATGAAATCAGTAGCTTGAGTCTGATGGTTAAGAGTAAAGCAAACAATGAGTCTATGGTTAGGCCTAAGGCCAATCTAATCATTTTATATTACTGATTGGTAACAAGCTGAATACAAAAGATTAATGTTTATTTGGTGGTGAAAAGGCTAACATTGAATAGATTGCAATTAATATTTACAATTAAATCAAACAGTCAATCAATTGTTGCCGTTAATAATGAACAATTTGTAACATATTGGAAACATTAAACAACTGAAAAAGCACAACAAGACTGAATCCCTTAAAGATGAAAATTGAAATTTAAAGTTGATTTCAATGATCATTTGAATGATGTTAAATCACGAAAAGTCAAATTGTGTTTTTTCATCAAAAAGGTTGTTTGTTAAGGCTTAAGATATCATTTTATTCAACTTCAATTGTTGCAATGAGTTGATTGCTATAATAATCAATATCAACAATTTTCAAGATTGTTTTAAATCATCATTGCGTGTTTAAACAATTGAACAGCGGTTATTAAAGTCAATGACAATTTATTTGTACAAAAAACCATCTAATGAGAGTACAAAAGTTGAGTATCATTTGAGTTTCATTAACTGCTAACCCTTTTGGAAGACAGTTAAGTCTTCAATTACTTATTGATTGGTAAAATACAATTTACAGTCAATGATTAACACCAAATTTCTGGTTAACAGAGACCCAAAACAAAGGTAATACTAACATAAAAGGTTGAAAAAAAGGTTGCAATATGAGGAGAAAAGGTAAAAAATATAAAAGTTAATTGAAAATAAATGTCATCAAGTTAATAAAGAGAGTAAAAATTGATGATAATTTGGAATCAACATTAGTATTTCATTATGGTGATGAACATGATAATCATAATAATGATGATAAAGATCATTAATGAACCAATGAGAGGCACACCTAGTCTATTAATGTTTGCTTAGTCAACAACAATCAAGATGATTTTTCATCTTCATTGTGATTATCATGAAAAGATGACCCGATGTTCATTATAAACAGTTAAGGTTGGGCCTAACATAAATCTGATTAGTTTGGTTCCTTGTTCATCATCAACATTAAGGTTGGTCTTTTTGTTGATTCTGGGTTGTCTTTCAACCTTTTATCATCACTGTTATTATTATTATCATCATCAACATTATTATAATCAGTATTACTGTTATTGTAAATAAACAGCAACATTGACCATATGTTTTTATCAACAGATTGATTTGGTATAATGGTCCTGCTTAGGCCTTTCCTTTATCAATATTAATCATGATAATCTGATGATTATGATCATCGAAACTGATCAAAGACAATCATGATGGTTAATGATAATCGTAATAATGTTTATCGACTTGTTTCCATCAGGATTTCATCAGTGAAAATCACTCAAACCATTATGAGACAATGAATAAACGAGACAACCTTTTTTTTATGGTTTTGTTACATGTTCAAGTATTGCTTTAACTGACACTTTTGTGTCTCTAAATGATACAATCAAGACAAACTAACTGTTTACCTTTAATCATGATCAAAGTAAACCAGAATTGTCATTGACCATTGAGTTGAACCAGAAAAGCAAAAAGACGTTTTGTTTAAACCAGTTTCGCGTATTCAATCAGTTATCAAATTATTATTTCATGATTGACCAGTTTTTATGATCATCAGGCCTAGATTAAGATAACAACTAATCTAATAGTTGACTTGATTGAGGATTGTATTGAATTGGACAATCTAATTGTCTGAGTAATGGAAGCTACTAAAAATGGTAAAAATGGTTTGATGACAGTGAAGAGGAAAAGTATCAAAGCCATTGTAATAGATTAATAACAGAGTGAATTTGGTTGATAATAGATTAGCACAATTGTTGGCTTATGATTAAAAGATGAGGTAAAAATGTTAGGTAATGAAAGTTACAGTTGCTCGGAACAAGTTACACCAAAAAAATAAGGTAAAATTGATGATTCTGTTCATCAATTTTTCAACACAAAACCTTAACAATGTTGGAGTGTTTCACTCCCAGTATCACTATAGACATCTGATATTGTATGAAAATAAATATTAATTGTAACAAATGATAATCTGAATGAAAGTCAAGATAATTGAATGTGAAAACTGGTTGGCCAATTGGTTTAATTGGTAGAAGCAAATTTACAGCTTCAAACTCAATTTACTTATTCATATCAACTATTAACTAACCAAGTAATAAAAGGTTTCACTTTTCAGTTTTTAGGTTTTGTTTTGTTTTTCTGGCAATTTGCTTTCCAATCAATCTAATTGAGATACAATTATGATTAATTGTCAAGATTTGTTGTTCACTTTTAACGATCAAACTTCATACTTGAAAAATGTTCATCATTCTGATTCCATTCCTATTCAGATGATTGATTGGTGTTCATTTGAAGGAAAGATTGAATTCATTTTCTTCTTTTTTGGTTAATTCTGGTTCAATCGATCAGTAAATTTACATAATGATTAACAGATTTGATTACGATTACCTGGGAAACCTTGGTCAGTCTCTTGACTCTCTTTGGACAATGAAACGTTTAATATGAATTATCATGCAAACCTGTCACCAAATCATCCAATAATCAAACCAAGAAGTTTAATCACAATGAGTAACTGGTTGAGTTGAGATTTTCATCTGGGAATTGCAGGTAAATTAGCCTTTGAATATGCCAATCAGAATTTTGGGTTTCAATTCATTTGGGACATTTTTCTTGGTTAATTATCCATTATGATTAACCTTAAACCGAATCAAAAGGTTGTAAAAAAGGCAGAAAAGGTAAAAGCCAGTTTTAACAATTAGATGTTAATGGCGACTTAAACCTTGCTCTTAAATCAGTTGAAATTGAATTGAACAAAAAATCAAACAAATTGTCTTTTAAACGAAAGGTTAATAATTGAATTGAAAAGAGCAACAATAAATTGGTTAAAGTCAATTGATTTGGTAAAATTAAACTAACCAACAAAAGCAAACAGAAACGAGATGAAAACCATTTTTTTGGGATTCAAGATGAAAATGGTGAAAAATATTGAATCAAAACTGGAAGACAAAATAATATATATAAATACAATTAGCCTAAAGGTAATAAACTTGAATCAAGTTTACTTTTTTTGCTGCTCCAATTTTGTTGTGTTATTATTGTAACAATAATAATAACAACTGGGAAGGTTGAGTTTACAATTGAAAGGTGTCTTTGGGAGTAAAAAGATGAACAACTTTTCCATGTATCACCCTATTTGATCAGATGAAACAAGTAACCATAAGGAATGGGAAAAAGATTGCGGATTTAAATTGTGAAACAATTGAATTACACTGAAATTTTGTTCATTTTTTTCGCCATATTTTCCTTTTCTCTTCGCATTTCTCTGTTTGTCTTGTTTGTTGATTCTGCTTAAGGTTGCTCTTCAAATCATTGATTTGTTGATTACCCTGGAGGTTGAGGTTGTTGATAAACAAGGTAAACCCTTTTTTTCATCATCTTCATCATAACCTGAAACCAAATGTTGAGATTCATTATGTATTGGTTTGAGCGACGGCAACATTCCAAGTAAAATATTAATTTCTGATAATTGTGATAGCTTTGCATGATGGCCATTTATGGTGATCGGGCTTGAATCCATGAAAATGGTAAACTCTCATGAGAAATGGATTCAACTGTAGATTGATTGTGAAAACGGTAAACAGGAAAATTGTGTTTTTACCATTGGTTTGGGTTATTTGTACAAATGACTTGGAAAGTGTTGAGCTGTTGATGTTGACTGGTAGTGCTGTCAATGGGAGGAAAAGGAAGAGGAAACAAAAGAAGATGAGAAGATGAAGAAAAGGATAAAAGTATCAAATGAAGGGTAAGAAGATAGGAAGATGAGTATAGGTTAAGAAGGTTAAAGACTCATGGGTATTAAGACTGGGTTTGGAGTAACTCTTGAACAGAATCACTTCAGCCTTGGAACAGCTTTGCTTCCTTCATTGACTTAACTAGATTCCCGATTCCTATTAAACAACATTTCTGAAGGAGATGTAACCAAGTTTACTTTTGACTCCAGTTCCAGAAAAGCTAACGAAATCACTGATTCTCGGTGTTGCTCCATTTTATCATTCATCTCTTTCAGTTGATCGTTGATATTGCCCATGAAATAGCTGTAAAACCAGAGAGAAATGAAAAGATTAAAATATTGAAACATTTGCTTTTTATATTTACCTTTCTTGAGGCTTGAAGTTATGGTCAATATGGTTCAATGGTGAAAATTTACATTTTTTCCCCTTCGATATGGTTTCACTTGAAGTTGAGCTTTTTGATGATGGCAGCCTTTTTAATGGACCTTTGCTGGTAACAATCTGACTTTGCTTTTCCAGTTTCATGAGTTTCCTCTATTCTTATGTTTATCAGGTAAAAAGACTGAATAAGAAAGTTATTCAATGGAGGATTCAACGTGAGTTGAATACACATCATTATTTGGTTAAATTTAATTTGTCTTACCGTTTGTTAAATGGCAACATTTGTTTCACTTCTTGTTACTGTTGTTGTTTCAATCTATCATGTTCATCTTACCTGATTATCATCAGTCATTAATTGATTTCTTGTTGAAGGGTTGATCAACTATTAAGTCTCTATTTAAGTATCCATTCAGTTGTAATCTGTAGTTCAGTGAAGCTATTAGATGAAATTTGCAACTCGACAAGCTTTTCACATTTGTATCTCTTTACTCTAGTTTAACCAATTCATCTTATTGATTTGATTATTGGTTAATATTTAATTTGATAAATATGTAACCAATTAAGGTTTTGACTCATACAGTCATCTGGTTACTGTAAATGGTAGCAGCTCAACAATACACAGTTACATTTTACATTTAAAGTAATCATCTTTTCCTTTGTGTCTGATACATTAATAATAAAATGATTGAATTGGTTGTTAAGCACAATCAGTCAACCCTCAGAATTTGATTCTAACCTTACCAGTAATTAATTAGTTAACTAAAAAGGTGGCCACACCCAATTCATCAAAATTAGGATTCAGTCTATTCTTGAATAATATGTTATTATAATAAAATAACTATACTCTGTATAAATGGATACAAAACCAGAGGTTTTTGGTTACGCATCAACAATCAAACTAAATTAATGGTATGAAACGAGCAACAACAAAGGCACAGATAACCAACCAATCAATAGAGACAATTAACTTTCACCGTCTTTAATAGACAAAATGATCAGGGAAATTAGATGATGATGATGATCAGATGATAAGACACATTTAATGTAAATGAACTTGTTGAGAATACATTTTGGAGATTAATCCAGAAAATAAGAAACAATTCTATGGTCACATTGATATCTTGGAGAGGAGACAATTTAAAATAGTCTAGATTAATCCAAATCAGTAATTATTTAAACTGTGAATAGCAATTTGTAAATTAACTGATCGTCTGATCGTTAACGGAATTGGGAACAAAAAAGTTGAATAAATCAAAAATCAAATGAAGCAACTGCTTATATAGTTGGAATTGTGCTGCCATCTGTTGTTTTGCAGGTTGACTTATCTAAAATGTTTACAAATTCAAGTCGTGCTTGTTTTTAGCTTCAAATCAACGACTAAAGGCTAAAGTTGTTTTGCTCTTTGCTCCAAATCGCGTGGTTTTTTTGTTTTCGTGTTAATTCTTTTAGTTTAATTAATTGATAGTTTTATTGTGTCAGTTAATTGTTAAATTGTGCTATGAAAGTTGCTGTGGTTGGATGTATCCATGGAGAATTGGATACCATTTATCAACAACTTGCTGATTTAGAGGCTCATAATGGGTATAAAATCGATTTACTTTTAATTTGTGGAGATTTTCAATCAATTAGAAATGAAAATGATTTTAAATGTATTTCCATTCCGGTCAAATTTCGTCAACTTGGTACATTTCATCAATACTATAAGGGAGAAAAGACTGCTCCTGTTTTAACTATCTTCATTGGTGGCAATCATGAAGCATCGAATTATTTGATAACATTGCCCTATGGTGGTTGGGTTGCCCCTAACATCTATTATATGGGTTATTCTAATGTAGTAAGATACAAAGGATTAAGAATTGGTGGTATTTCTGGGATTTATAATAAATATCACCGAAATTATGGTCATTTTGAAAGATTGCCAATGACAGAAGACACTAAAAGAAGTGCTTATCATACCAGACACCTTGAAGCGTATAGATTTATGAGTGTTCAAGAGCCATTAGACATTTTTATGTCTCACGACTGGCCAAGCAACGTTGTCCATTATGGTAATTTAGACCAACTTTTAAGATGGAAACCTTTCTTCGCTCAAGATATTCAAAGGGGATCATTAGGAAGTCCTATGCTTGATTCATTATTTAGTCACTTGAAACCTTCACGTTGGTTTGCAGCTCATCTCCATGTCCGTTTTGAAGCATATGTTCGTCATGATCCTGAAAGAGAAACCAGATTCCTAGCCTTAGACAAGCCTTTGCCCAGGAGAAAATATCTAGAAATTCTTGATCTTAATCCCACTAATAATTCGGAAAATAATACCGAAGATGATGACGGCGCTGTTGACAATGACGATAATCTTTATTATGATAAAGAATGGCTCGCAGCATTGAGGGTAACCGATGAGTATCTTTCAATTGAAGAAAAGCCCGAAAAGCAGGTTCCTGAATTGTGGGTTTCTCCAAGATTATCTCTGCAAGATGAATTGGTAAAAGTCGAAGAGATTTTCAAGGGTGACTATAAAATTGACAAAAATTTTTCACCAGTAGAACCAGTCACCTTGAATGGCGACTCTGATCCCGACAGGATTCGTAATTTCACAAATCCACAAACTGTAGCATTTTGTGAAAAGCTTGGTATTCGAGATCCTATGACATTAATTGTGAGTTTGTACAATAAACCACATAATCCGGCAGAAATTTCCCTTTCTGATGAAGATGATGAAGAACAAGAAGTCGATGATTGTCAATCTAATGGTGTTTTTGTGATCGACCGAAAGCGAGATAAAACACTTGTTATGGAACAAAATACCTGCAATACAACAGAAAAATTGAAACAAGACAACAGAGAGGATATTGAAACAAACTCAGTGAAGAAGCTAAAGACGGACGATGTCAATTGTTAACAATTAAAATTGGCTTTTTCATGACTTTTCAATTTCAGTCGCACTAATAGCTATTTTTAAAGCCTGACCTGTACTATAATCTTGTTGGTAAGATTTTGGCTTATTTTGTCTTCTACATTTTGACAAATTTCATCTTGATCTCTACATTCATTTATGACTTAATCATTCAATTCATCGTTTATATACTTATGACAAATTGTACAATTTAAACTTCAATTTGTAAACTTAAAAGCAATTGTAAAAATTCAAAATTAAACTTAATTTTGTGCTACCAAATAAGTTAATTGATTCTTTCGCTACATCAAATCCAGACATATGACTTATAATTTAATCCTAACAATAGCCTTTTAATGTAGTTGTTTAAGTGCTTTGGATTACAGATTAATTTAAAATCCGAGCTGAATTTCATTGTGTTTCACCCAATTAGCCTAACGGTTACACTCGGTGAAACAAGATAAATCTGCATATATACGCAATTTTATCGCTTTGCAGCTTGGCCGACAGCTGAGAGTGGCAAATTCATGTCGTGTAATATTTAAATTATAAAACAAATTAAAACAAATTAGAAAAAAACAAAAGGAAGAATCACAAAAATTGATGTTTAACAAAAAATTTAGAAAAGCATTAGATTCTAACTGAAATTGAATATTTTTGCCCTGGTTGTTCAATAGCCAAAGTGAGCAAATTTGAAATCAATTAATCACTGAATCAAGAAAAATTAAAAAATAGAGCAAAGTTAAATTATTAAAGAAAGTAAATGTTATAAATTATAACACACACTGTTTGATAACATTGAAGTCTGAACCTGCACATGACTAAAAAATTTTTCATTCAGACCTAAGAATTTCTTTCTCTAGTTTTTTAATCATGAATCGAGAAGAATGAAATTGATGAAAAATCTAATCCAATACATGTACAAAAGGTGATCGAAGTTGGAGCTTTGAACTTAATTTTCTTGAAACCCGTTGATGTGAAATTCTGGTTACAATAAATTTTTTGATAAAATGTACAATGATTGATACAATGTACAGTGGAGTACCAGATACTGTCAGTAACTGGAAATAGCTTATATGCACAGCAAGTCTATTAATCGAGCTAAATTTTAAAATTAATTACAATGAATAATAAAATTAAAGTTAGTTGCTGGAAAAGTCTAACAAATTAATGTCATTGTGCTGAGGATCGTTAGTTGAGTTGAATTTTCAGAAATATTCAACTTTTTTGATAATTTCTTTATAATTTCAATTAAAACTTTCCTTATAGGGAATGTAAACAAAGGGTTTGAGGGGCTATTGAATAATCTACTGACATTATCTGGTACTGACACTATCTGGTACTCCACTGTAGGTGATTGGAAAGAAAGGTTTACATAAATGTTATGAGAGACAATCGGTTAGATTTTCTTTTAAAGGTGAGTTATGAGAGAGAAGTGGTTGAGTTGTCTCATAAAGGTATATCATGAAGTATTCAAGAGCAATTTAAAACACAAATGATTAACAAAAAACTAAATAAATTGAACTAAATTTAATTTAATTGTGCCGGTGAAACCAAGTTGCATCAATGGATTAATAGTGCTGCCATCTTTGATATAGTTTAGCGTCTCAATTGCATTCTCAAAACAAAAAATACTAATAAAGTGAATACGAAATATTGCTTATTTTTATTACGATTGTTATGCTTACCAGCCTATTAAACTGTTGTTTACTAATTTGATTAAAGTTTTATCTACTCATTTTTTGCTTCAAATTTTCATTAATCAGGTAAAGTACAAATCTTTATGTTCCGAAACAATATATTTCTCCGATTTCCCCCCTTTAAGCCTGTGTCTTTCTTTCTCTTCAGTGTATCCTCTGACTCTCTCTCTCTCTTTCTTTATATCAATCTCTTTTATTCTTTTCTTTACATTTTTTATCTTTCTTCTGATTTAGTTTGACTCATTACTGGTTTCTTTTCTTTTCCTTAATTTCCAAAATTATTTAGAAACACTTAAAGACCAAGCCAGAATCATTATCAACTTTACTACAGTGAATTGGCCACAAACATATTACACATCAACAACAAAACCATCTATTTACACTTACACACCACACATTTATATATCATCAGCTTGAATTTTCTTCGCTCTCCCTGTTTCTTGTCTTTCTCTTTTTACATTTTTCTATCTCTATCTTTTGTCCATCATTTATTCTCGTAATCTCAATTTATCCTTCTCTCTTCCTCATCCTGTAACAATCATTGCAAGTGTATCACTTTTTTTAAAAACATCATTGAAAGTTTAACATTGGGATCAACACCGGGATATGTTTTCATCATTGATGGCTGATGGAGAAAAGGAAGGCTCCTGTTCATGATTTTGCGCCTTCTTGGTTGAAGATTAATTCTTATGATAAAGATTTAAACAATACTAACAAAAAGCTAGATACTAAGCGATCTGCATCCTCTGGTCTTGTTGGGGGAGAAGACAATTTTGACCTTAGGCCTCAATATTTAAAGCAACGTGATATCAAGGACTCAATAACAAGTAGTAGTCAAACCAATCAACAAAAGCCTGTTAATCAATCTCAAGTTAATACGCTATTTGATACTGATAGTGATAAAATAAGCGAAGAAGCTTCCCGTCTTAACAAAGGTTGGTCATCGAGCATCACAAATTCTAACAACTCCAATAGTTGGTCCACAAATCGCCGTTTCAACCCAAAAGGTAAACCCACCAGTAATAGTGTTTCAAGTTCAGTAACTGCCGACGATTCTTTATCAAGTACGAGAAGAGTATCTAGCAACTCAAGAAGTAATGACATTGGTGTAGCTAATATCAATGGAACTGGACGCGAAGATTTAACAAAGTCTAACATTGGTTACCCTCATCATCATCAAAATCACCCTCATAATTTTCATCATCACGGTAATAACAAAGTAAGATTAAGTAACTCTGCGAGAGATGAATCACCACCAGTCTCTGGAGATGTAGTGGGAGAAACTATCAAAGGCAAAAGCAATACCAAAAATGGTTTCGTCGACAGCAATAATTTTCAAGAAGAATTTCCATCTTTAGTTGATGAAAAGCAAGTTGTTGAGAATAACAACGGAAGCAATGTTTGGGACAATGTTGCTAATAAAGTTTTCCGTAGTGGCGTCGGTAAAGTCAGTTTGGTCTCAAGACATCTTCATGGCTCATCACTTTTTGATGAAAAAAGTTCCCTCGTGCTTAATGGTGAAAAGTCAATGAATGGTGGAAGTTTGTTTCGAGCGCTTGTTCCAGTTGTGCCAAGAAGAAAAAATGTTAACTGTATTAATGGAAATAGTAGCGGATCTAAAGAGAGCACTACTCTTGTTAATAGTCTGTCCAATTTAAGTTTAGGCTCCACAGGCAAAATAATGCCAGTTTTTGCTAAACCCTCGAATCATTCTTCTGCAGGCCATTCTATGGCTATACTTGTTAAAAAACATCCAAAGATGAGAAGCAATAATAACCTCCAAAATCAATCCGTGAGATCTTCTTCGAGTGACAGTCGACCTGATCCAAATGATGAGCAACGATCAAATGACCCTTTTGATGAAGATGATGATAGAACAACGAACAGCTCAGGATTGGATGAAAGTAGCATCGAAGAAGCTGGAAAAAAGATCAAAGATGAACATTTGCAAGGAGATGGTTTAAATGATAGAGCTGAAAATGCAGAAGTCCACTTATTGTCCAGCTCCTTGGAGGCCGAAGAGCGTTTATTGCGAGAAATGGGTTGGAGCGAGGAAGATGGAGATAATGGTTTTTATGCTCCTCTCACAGACGCTGAAGTTAAAGAATTTAAAGATCTCATTCGCGCAAGGAGTAGTTCGAAGCGCCACATAAGCCCTAAAATCAATCGGGGACAGTTCAAATTCCAGATCAATTCCAACCAGCTTCCTTTGTCTCAATTGAATTTTCTCAACTCACTAGCCACAGGGAACCAGGACAATGATTCTGACTCTACTTCCGAAGATGAAAGTGATGATGACGATGGTGATGAAAGATGATGGATTCTATAAATATATAAGCAAACATATATATATTATAAAAGTAAAATTTGAAGCTTAAATTTTGTTGAGATTCAAGATTGATCCGATAAAGAAAATCAAAGATCCTGAGAATTGGAATGCACATAATAAAATATGATAAAGCTTATGGTGAATTAACCGAGACAAATTAGGCTTATAACAAAACAAACCACAATGTACACAACACTGCGAAAGACTCTCTCTCTCTCTCTATCTCTTTCTTTCTCTCTCATGGCTAATCAAAAAAAATAAAAAAGAAACAACTCCTTGATAAAATCTTAGGCCTTCGTCCAAATTTCCCTGATATCCGCTGGCCAAAAATCAGAAGCTTTTTCTGAAATAAGCAAACATCAAACTTTTTAACGCAAAGCTTTATCCTTCTCTCGGCTTTATCCACTAAATAAAGAAATGAGCTCGTTCTAAATATTGTATTTCTATCGTATTTTATATATATATTCAAACTTTACCTAATACAAGAAACTAGCTCTTAAAACATTAATTTCTTACTATTACCGATGACCTCATTAAGGCAAATGGCAGCGAAATCAAAATTGCCGAATAATTTCATTACCAAACAACAGTGTACTTTACCGTTCTTTAATCGTTGCCTCAGTCCAAAAATTAATTTTTCATAGTAAATATAATGATTAATACCAACCCTTAAATCTTGAGATTTCACATTTTTCTTTATTATCTCATTTACTCTCATTGATATTCATTTTATTTTTACGTAATTTTAATGGTTAAACATGAATCAACAAGTTGTCGGAAATTTGATCAGCAAGATTTCTTGCAACTACCAGTTATATGTTATTCATCTTGAAGAGAGGGATCAATGAATCTTTGACCTATTTTTAAGTGGTCGTATTAAAACATCTAATTGTCCTTCATCCCCCAAATCAGGTTGTTAAATGAGCATCAACTATTTACAATCAACAACTTTTCAATGCTTATCTCATTAAAATGACTAATCTATCTGAAAAAAGGCTTAAACCATTGAATCTACAGTCAAATAAGATTCATTAACACCATTATGGGAGCTAAGAGTGATATTAATTAAAAATAAAGTGTATCGATATCATCCAAATTAATTTGTATTTTTCCAGATGTTATTCAAAACATTTGAGATCAATAATCTTGCAAGTTTCCCCTTCAGTTTTTCAAATTATCAAACCAGCTATCATCACAATTATTCAAGCTGATTCAATATCATATACTCAAGGCAAAAAAACCAAACGCGTTTCCTTGATAAACAGAATAATAAGTTATAATAAAACAGGTAAGTTGAAAAGGGAAATCACAAGAGAAACAGAGCTTGTACTAGATTAACGGTTAATAGTATTAACATCAACCTCATATTGAGGTTATTATCGTCAACAATTATACATCATCGAGCGATAATTATTGGAAATGATAAAACTCAACCGCAAAACAAAGCAAAAGGAATCACAAGAGAGCAAAAGATCAGAATAACAAGAGAAATATCCCAAACGATAATCAGTATCATCTGAAAGCTGCAAACCATCAACTCAACCGATAATCAAAAAATGTTGCACAGTCCACTTGAACATTCAATAATAGTTATTAAGCTATAAATAATCATGAATCTTAACACTTACAACATAAATCCTCAAACACTAAACAACAAAAGAAAAGAAACAACAGAAATTTTGAGCATTACATTAACAACATAGGTCAAAAGATTCAAAACAAACTGAATGAAGTCGAAATTATCGCTTCAGAAGAGTCACAATACAGTTAGTAATCATGTTTACCAATCAAATTGAAACAACCCGATAATAAACAAGAGTAATTGGTGAAAAAAATCAGACAATAGTTCAAACACGAGCCATGAAAAGAACAATAGATTAATCAGTTTTCCAGTTGATAAATAGTTATAGCCGAAATCGGTTATAGTCGGCCTGATGGTCTAGGGGTATGATTCTCGCTTTGGGTGCGAGAGGTCCCGGGTTCAAATCCCGGTCAGGCCCGGTATTTTTTGTTCGCAATAACCGACTCTAGATCCGTCAAAGTCTAGTAATTTTTGGTAAATCTTATTCAAGAGACTCTCGCGTTTCTTTTAAATGTTTAGCGTTAGCTTTCAACTAGATTTTTCCCGTTAATCGACGATTTTTGGATAAATTGGAAATCTTTTTTTTTATCATTTTACTTCATTCATTTTTATTAAATAAACTTGTGTTCATCTCTTTCATTACTTGTTTTGATTGTTGGTGTTTTTTATTATAAAATGTTTGCTATCAAATGATTTCTATTCCAACAAAATATTTTTGCATCTTTTTTATCAAGGATTTTTCTTCTAGTATTCTGATAGTGTGATGCTTAACAATGATTTAGTTTTTTTTCCGCTAATTAATGTCACTGTTGATCTCTCTCCTTACTTACTTTTTTTGTGACAATTGATTTAAACACAATTACATTTATTACATTTACTAGAATAACTTGCTAATTTCCTTAAAAAACATACAATATCCTCGGGATTTGATTTTGATTAATTTTTTTTTGTATTGTTTTTCGATACTTTTTCTTTAGCAGGAAATATTGTTAAATTTAGTAAAAGTAAATTCTTTCTCAATATATATATAAGTTAATCTGTATCTGTACAACGATTGCTAACTAATAATTTAGATAAATCCAATCATTTTTTAACCCAAATAGGAAAGGAAGGCTCTTTGTAAGATCCGTAATTAGATAAAGTAATAAGATGAAGAAGGAGGTAAATCGACTAAGATTTAAAGTTGGGAGGAAAGAGAAGAGAGAATTGGTGGTTTCGGTCATGGAGGTGGAAGGAAAAGATAGCAAAGGATAACAACAGTTTCAACAATTTATAATCTTATACCATCTTCAATATTGTCTTCAAAACTCATATTAGCAAAGCCTCCAGTTGGATTGATGTTTTTGTCCTTTTCTTTTTTACTTTTTTTCTTCTCCTCTTTTTCACTTGACTTGATTTTTTCTTTACTTTTCTTTTTATCTTTTTTGACCTTTTCTTTAATTTTTGATTTGTCCTTTTTGTCTTTCTCTTTTTTTGACGAAGACGATGATGATACAGTTACATCTTCCTCTTGGTCTTCAACAGACAATAAACCATCTATATCATCATCTACCTCCTCAACCTTGTAGGCTTTGACTGCTTTAGACGATGCTGCTTTGGGTTTGATAACTTGTTTTGATTTAATTCGGTTATCGACTCCGGTTAATGGTTCCCTAGTATTATTACCAATTGATGTTAAATTAGATCCAGACAAGGAAGGATTGGTGTTAATCGTTGATGAGCTTGATACCACTGTTGAACCAGAGAAAGCGGAATCATTATAATGAGGAGCAAAACCAGCTGAAACTGATTGATTAATTAATCTTTGAGGAGAATGACTTTTTTCAGAATTCGGTCGAATTGTCGATGATACAGGATAACAGGGGAGTACCTTGGAGAGCGGTTTAATTGGTGCAGGAGGTTTAATTTTACCCAATTCATCCAAATTTAATCTTTCATCTTGATTTGTTGATCTCATTTTTGTGTTCGTTTCATGATTTGACAGTATAGGCAAATTTATTGGATTTGTAGGACCAGGCAACATAACATGATTATCGTTAGCAACAAAAGGTTTAGCACCAAATAAATCTTGAGACTCCAAAGCTGTTGATGACGATGATGTAACAGGCTTAGGAGGTAAGTTGGGTTTGATTACATATGATTTCATAAGTTGTGCTGGTTGAACATTATTCTGTGTATGATGATGATCAACTTGGAACAACAATGATTGATTGGTTTTATTTGATGGAATAGGATGATGTTGAGTGAGATGATGGGGCCGTTGAGACTGTTGCTGTTGAGACTGAATCTGTAGTTGTCTTTGTTTTTGTTTCATTTGTTGGTGATGCAATTGATCAGCTTGTTGTTTCTTTTCTAACATGGTGGAGTGAGCTTTAACAGTTTGTTGGTCAAAAGGAAGGCTCCCAAATAGGTCTTGATTATTTCGGTTATGATGTTGACTTAACTCAGTATCCTTGAGAACTTGAGCCAGAAGATTTCTTTCGACTTCTCGATCCACATCACTATCATCTTCAACATAATCACTTCGACCACTACTTCGGCCTTCTTGATCTTCATAAAAATCTCGCCTTCCATCACTCAAATCGTCAATTATGTGCTCTTTATATGGTATGCTGTTTTCATTATCTGTTGAAGAATCACTATCCTCGTCTGAATCCTCAGTTTCGTCTGAGTAGTCATCATCATCTGAGTCATCTTCATCACAATCAGAATCTTCCAATAAAGGTCGAAATCCATCTGAATGACCGATTAAAATATCTTCATTTTCAGAGGAGCATATATTTGAAGAGTTGAAACTTTGTGAGTTGGACATGGACTTCGAGATTTCAGGTGTCGGTGAGCGCGTTGATGGAGGGGCCGGAGGAGGCGGAGGTGGTACAGTCAAAACAGGTATAGAAGAGGCATTATTAATAGATATTGAAGTCACTTTTGGTCTGGAGCGAGGTACAACAGACGTACCCTCAATGGAAACTACTTTGGGTGTACATTGTTGTTGATGTGGTGGTATGGGCGGTGGAGCTCCGGTTGGTAAAGATGATGTCGATGATGGTGCAAGTTGAGAGGAGCTGTTTTGGTTAATCGATATGATGGTGGGACCTGAAACGTTTACCAGTTTTCGATCCAAGCTCGAGTATAATTGTGATGTATCCTGGTTAAAAGGCATGCATCCAAAAGGATCTTGATGACGACGATTACATTGAAAACTGAGTTCAGTATCTTTCAAAACTTGAGCCATCAAATTCCTTTCTACCTCTTTATCAACATCACTATCATCTTCACTACCATTTTGTGAATTAAATAATTTATCGGATCGCTTAGTAACCACCGGAGTAGATGCATTTAAAGGATTATAAGGTTTCATTTCATGCGTATTCAATCGATTAGGTTGATCAAAATTTGAACTAGTTTGAGCTATCTCTTCTTCATCAGGCTGTTGATTTTCTTCATCTTCATCATTACTATCTTCTAAGAGAGGTTTATAACCATCTAAATGACCAATTAAAATATCATCACTTGGTGTAATGTGCAACGTACTTCCAGATGTAAAACTCTGAGAACTAGACATATTAGATTTAGGGATTTCTCCTGAAGGTGTAGGAGAACGGGTTAACGAAGGTGGAGGAGCTGTTAACACAGGAAGTGAAGTAGCATTGGTTATGGTTACTTGGGCTGGTTTAGGCCGAGATCGAGGTGCAACTGACGTGCCCTCAGCTTGTGCTTTAGCCAGGGCTATTTGCTGTTGCCGCTGTTGTTGTTGTTGAAGCTGTTGCTGTTGTTTCAACTTTTTAGCTTCAGTTTCTGTCAAAGGTGAAGGCAATCGATCAATTTGGGGTAACAATGAGTTATGTATATTATCAACTGGACAATCGCGATTTGAAAGACGAAACGCCATAAAAGACACTTGGAAAATGTCCGGCCTAGTATCCGGATCTGGTTCTAACATGTAACGAATGAGAGAATGTAGACTGGTAGAATAAGGTGAATTATCTGGTATGGTGAAGAAGCCATTTTGAATGGCTAATGTTGATTCACCAAAGGGCAGAGAAAAAAAGCAAAGTTTATACAATAAGCATCCAAGGGCCCAGATATCTGATTTTGTCGTGATTGCTTTACCACAATACAAATCAACCATTTCAGGTGATCTATATGAAAGAGTGGTATACTTTTTAATCTCCTCTTCCATCTCTGTTCTGGCACTCGTCGAATAGGTATGATCAACAACTTTGGTTGTTGCACTTCCAAAATCACAAAGGACATAATTACCAGGTTCAGAAATTAAAATGTTTTCAATCTAAATATGTCGATGTTTTAGAGAAAAAAAGAAAAGAAAAAACAATTGAAATTGATATTGATATTCTTAAAATAAATTATAAAAAAGATCATCATAATGGTGGGAAATGATTATTATTTTGATGGCACTATTTTCTATTGTCAGGTTAATGGTGTCGTTTGAAAATGATTGACAGAAATATTTGCGTGCAATACTATCAATATAATGTGCTTACTTCCCTTGTATGTGTGTATGGTTGCTAAGTTAATAAAGAATACTAAAAAAGGTTTACAATGGAGTGAGGGGTTCAAAAGTGAGTGAAAACTAACATCAAAACAGCATCATCATCTGATTACTTACCTTAAGGTCTCGATGAATAATGGGAGGGTTATTATGGTGAAGTTTGGCTACAGCTTCACAAATATCACAAAATATCTTCAAGACTTGTTTCTCTGTAAAGAGGCAGCCTGGAGTTGCAGACAACGAAGATGTGTTGAAACTAGCAGTTGTATCTTTAAGTTTTTCATTCATAGATTGAAGAACAGAGCCTCGACAAAAGTTCATCAACATCAAAACCTCGTGAACTCCTTCACCGACATAGTTAATTGCAGATTCGATCAGGCCAACACAGTTTTTATGACCAGATACCATTGATGCAATAGATATCTCAGATTTACAAACATTAAGATCATGATTGTTGTTGACAAACATTCGTTTCAGCGCATATCTGGTCCCATTAGAAGCTTTAACTAAAAACACTAAAGCAAAACCACCTTCAGCAATAACATCTTGCACGGTAACTGTTATCCGGCCTACATTAAATACTTTACCAATATAATCTTTACCGGTGGAAGTTGATTCATTTGACGTAGTTGAAGGAACCGATGAGGTAGTCCTTGAGGAACCAACAATACCGTTAGTATCACGAGAGTTACTTTGACTGTTCTCCAATCGTTGGAATAGTTTTCTCATTTTCTTAGGCTGATCAGGGTTATTAGAGAAAATCTAACTGAGTATCTTTTGATTTCTTATTAATTTTTGCCCTTTGTCTTTGTCTTTTTTTTGTGTTAATCAAATGGCGTATTTACTTGATAACCAAAGTGTGACGATCTTGTTAATTTGACTATTACTTGTGATTGAATCCTTGGTATAATGTTGCTTTAAATATTGAGGTCTAAGGACAAAATTGTCACCTCCTCCACTGAGACCAGAGGATGCAGATCTAACCAAAATCATGAACAGGAGTCTTCCTTTTCTCCATCAGCCATCAATGATGAAAACATAGCCCGGTGTTTATCCCAATGTTAAACTTTCAATGATGCTATTGGTAAAATGATGCACTTTGTGATGATTGTTACAGGATGAGGAAGAGAGAAGGATAAATTGAGATTACGAGAATAAATGATGGACAAAAGATAGAGATAGAAAAATGTAAAAAGAGAAAGACAAGAAACAGGGAGAGCGAAGAAAATTCAAGCTGATGATATATAAATGTGTGGTGTGTAAGTGTAAATAGATGGTTTTGTTGTTGATGTGTAATATGTTTGTGGCCAATTCACTGTAGTAAAGTTGATAATGATTCTGGCTTGGTCTTCAAGTGTTTCTAAATAACTATGGAAAACAGTGAAAACACAGAAAAAGGGTTGTAATTAAAAAATGAACTGAATCCAGAAAATTGAGAATGCAAAGTAACAAAAGAGAGATTGAGAGAGAAAAAGAGAGACAGTCAGATAAAGAGGGAGGAAGAGAGATAGACAAGGAGAGAGAGGCTTAAAGAAAGGGGAAAAATCGGAAATGTATTGTTTCTGAAGTTTAAGATTTGTATTTTTACCTGAATTTTGAAAATCCAAAGCAAAAAATGAGTAGATAAAACTTAAATCAAATTAGTAAACAACAGTTTAATAAGCTAGTAAGCATAACAATCTTAATAAAAATAAGCAATATTTCTTACATTCACTCTATGATTTTTATACATTTTGTATTTTTTTCTCTTACTCTATTTTACAAAGAAAGATGGCAGCACTAGAAATCAGTTGTTTTGCGTGTTTTTTAATTTACAATTGTAACTCAATTTGATGTAAATCAGTTAATTTTTGATTTCGTGGTCAGTAAGCAATTAAAATCGCAAATTTTTAACAAGAGACTCATCTAAGAAGCTTTCGAAAACATGGAACCATCATGGGATAGTTTAAGTCATCAATTCCTTCATTGGACTCACAAATCTAACTCTTTAACCATCTAAACACTTTAGCTTTGTCATTTAATTTCAATTTTATTAATGTTTTGCCTGTTTCATGCTTTTATCAATCCATCTTTAAGAATCTCAAATTTCGTTCAGTATTTCATTCAGTTAGAGCTGGATTTATTTTCCATATTTACAGTGAATATCATGTATCTTTCTCGAAATATCGGTATCTGTAAAAATATCTGTAAGTAGGTGAAATCAACAAAATAATGATTAATGAAATTTTGCTCAACTTTACTTCATAATTGTAGTCGTAATAATTAAATCAGTGGCCAGTTAAATTAAAAATGACGTGTTTTCTTATCAACATCCGTAAATAATTTCATCATTGAAACAACCGTAATGTTGAAACAGTTTCTATTGAAATTTCATCTAAATGATTTAATATCTTTCAACTCACGGGTTTTATCAATCAATTGTGTATTCGGGAGGTAAATAGAGTCGATAATATTACCCTTTTTGGTTTATGATTTAACCACAGATTCCAATGATAATACATTATATGATTAATAAAGCTTAATAAAATCATATGATTATCAATGATTGTGATGTCTGTCTCAGTGTGGGCAACAAGTATCAAAAAACTGCAACTGTTCAACAGAAGGATATTTCCAGATCAACAGCAACAAATATTTTAGCTAAATCTTGTGACTCATTTTACAATTAATAAACAGAGTGATTAAGTGTTAATTTAGGTGGAAATTAACCTTAGTAAATTGTTGAAAAGCCAATGTCAAAGTTCCTTAAGGTCTTGATCCTGTAAATAACCTTTGATGCTTTGCAAAAACATGGACACAATGAAAATATTTAATAAAATTGGCTGTAACAATGAGATTGTCAAAGGTTAAAAACATATTAACAATAATTATGCGAAACAATTAGCTAATAATAAACAACAGACTTGATATAAAACATGGTCAATGTGTAAGTGTGTTGAATGGCCTAGAGGCCTTTGAAGCTTGAAAAACAAGGTTAAACCAAGGTCTAAGAAAAGGTTGAATAGGTTGAGGTAATGGGTCAAATATAAGACATAGACTTGCCCAAAAAAAAGGTCGTGTGGCCCATCAACATCATCATCATTATCATTATCTCTGATTACAATAATAGAAGTAATAATAGTATAATAAATATATATATGAATGTTATAACTGTTAATCTCTGGGCTGACCGTATGTCAATCTACTTTTACTTGTCATAGTTGACTTATTTCACCGTTTAATTATTATCTGTTGGCCTTTTATAACAATAGTCATAATCAGTGACTCGTAAACCTTGGTAAGGCCTGAGTTTAGTGTCTTGAGTCTGACCCTAGAAGCTAGAAGCTGTAGGCTTCAGGTTTAAGGCCACAGATGAGACCACATGTTGTCTGTTGCACACTTTTTTGGCTTTACTTGCTGTTTAATGTCATTTTCAAAACAACAGCAACAACATTCAATCCATTTATTATTAATATTACAATAATATCACAATTATTTCACTTAAATCTAATCACCCATCGACCCACAAGTTTTTCAAAAACAAAATTAACAACAATAACAATAAAGGTAGACAATTATTAAAGCAATTTAAAATCAAGAAATGCAAGAAATACCAGAAATGTATTTCACCATTTCATAAAATACAAAATTATGAGTTATTCCTCTCCTCTTTATTTTAATACAACTAACTTCAATTGAGAATATTAAATTTATGTTTTTTAAATTATTTTACAACATTCATTAATGGTCAACATTACATTTAAATTGTGCATTAACATTGAAAATTTAGAGTCAAATGGTTGGAAGCGCAATTTGCTGGTTATCAAAACCATTGATGGAATGAGACTTTTTGATTGAATCAACATTTAAACAATCAAACAAGGCCAATTGCATGGTTAAAACCAATTGAATGATGATTTACAAATCAAACTTGAGAAAACTGCCAATTAGTTAATCAGCTGCAATTAATTGAAAGCAAGCCTAATTGTAAGGTGTAAGACGGTAAAATTTGAATAGAGATTTTGAGATGAAAATGAAACAAAACCTTTTGTTTACCCTTAGACTATCAGTAAATTGTGTTGTTAGATTCCTACTCTAGTTGAATACTAATCATCTTATGTAGATCCATGAATAAGTTCAAGATAATTTAGTTTCATCTTGTTACAGTAAAATTTGTTGCTATTGTTGGTCGGGAAGACAAATTATAGGAACATTAATAAGATATAATTTGCGGTGGAAAACAATTTGTTATTTAAGTGTTGCCAATGTGGTTAATGGTTAACTGTGTTAATATGATTTGAGAAACGTTAAGGCCATTAATGGAAACGGTTAAAATGTTCATATTGAAGACGAGGATTCCTTTGACTATCTAACTGGACCAACCCTCCTTCAAGATATAAAGTCAAATCCAACCTTCTTGGCTTGGCCTCTTTAACTTGCCTGGCTCCGTGTATAAGGTTGAGTCTGTAGGTTACACCGATCAGAGATCCAATGGGGTTCAAGCTGTAACAGTGAGTTGGAAGGTAAACAAAAGTGCAACTTCAAGAGTTGATCATAAATTGTTTATTCACTGTTTGTTTCACCAATCAAATAAGTTAAATGTCGTTTACCTCGACCAGAGCAACTATTAACCATCACCGTACTCTGGATAGTTTATGTACAATCAACGGCAATCAAATCATTTAGTGTTTCATCTTTAAGCCTATGGTAAAGCTACGTTCATCACATGTTATCATCGGTATAATACTGCAAATATTGTCTTTAAATCAGCCACTTTTTTTATCCAATCTTTGTGTTTAATTAACCGGACTGGCCAATGATTAATTACATGGTGACCTCGACTGAATTATCTTGTAAATTGAACTTTTGTATCGATGCCATTCTGGGGAAAACAATAACTTCATTAAGAGGACAGCAAACAGCAGCAACATCAAGTCCTTTGGATGGAGCTTCCAGAGTTAATTGTAGTGTTGACCGGGAAAATACAATTCCAAATGGATTTGATCGTTCACCTATTAAAATATCAAATTATTCAATTGAAAATATATTAGATTTACAATCATCTTCATCGGATGAACCCTTGAATTTAACGCGCAAATCATTGACCAATGAAACTAGAGGAGTCTCTTGTTTACCTTTGCCCTGTGATAAGGATCAACATGAACCAGTCGACTTGATAGCCACCAGTAAACCAACATTAATTAAAAGCTGTGGTGAACGAATCTTCAAGTGTCATCAATGTAGTAAACAGTTTAAACGATCGTCCACCTTAGCAACTCATCTGTTAATCCATTCCAATATACGTCCATTTGCCTGTCCTTATTGTCCCAAACGGTTTCACCAAAAGTCAGACATGAAAAAGCATACTTATATACACACCGGGGAAAAGCCTCATCAATGTAATGTTTGCGGTCGATCGTTCAGTCAATCATCTAACTTAATAACCCATTCACGGAAACACACTGGATATAAGCCATTTACATGTGATTTTTGTCCTAAAGCCTTTCAACGTAAGGTTGACTTGAAACGCCATAGAGATGTCCACCATTCAAATGTCAACAACTCTATTCATCATTTAATATCATCCAGTTCATCTCGATCATCTTTACAATTATCATCACAATCTTCGTCTTCGCTGTCACCGACATCATCATCATTGCCTTCACCTTAACCATTAAGCATACGTAAATTAATGCCTTTGACCAAAAAATATGAACCTCAAATATTTGGATTTACAATTACAATTTAGTATTCTAAATTTTTTACCAATATTATTATACAATGAATTTTAATTCCTTTTCTTTATTGTCTCTTTTTTAACACTCTTTTAAACCATGTTCACAGTTTTAATCAATAACACCTTTAGTATTATTTAATAAATGCCTACAAATATTATTAACAGTTAACGAACTTTAAATTGTTGACTTTAATACACTCACAAAAATCAATAATCTAACAATTAATTGAATGGTTGGTTTGTTCAGAGCATTGTTTGCATATTTTAGAGCTTGAGCTGTAATTGAACAATCGTAAATATAAATTAAAGGTTGAATGATTCACTGCGATGAAAATCCCAGTTTAATTATTAACTTACAAATATTCGGTTAAAATTATTTTAATCCTCACCAATGATGCTAAAACATCACCTGTTGAAAGGTAAATATAACTCAAACACGTAATCAGCAGAAGACAAAGAAACAGAAACAATTTGAATAATCAATTCAGGCAAAAGGGCGACCTGTTAGTAGAGTCCGCATTTTTGAAGCTTAATTGTAATATCATTGAATTATTAAATCTAATTTTTTAAGAAAATTAGAATAGATAAAAGTCTAAAAATTGATATTTTTCATTTGATACATGAAAATATTCCTCTTCTACTGAATAATCTGAGTTCTTGCTTGAGCCCGGAAAAATAGTTTGCCAAGAGTTTTTATGCTATTTTATTCGATAAACTCGTCAAAATTTTTGGAATGAATTCAAATTTTTGCTCAATTCTGTCTTCTTCAACGCTGGATCTTATAATGAGTCCAAAACTTTTCAGTCGACCTTGCTTGCGGTAGAATAGGTTGCGAGCGTTTCGACCTTTTGTCTCATCTCACCTTTCAAGTGAAATTATTATAAAAATTTGTATTATTGACAATTATAATAATCGCAATAGTTTTAAATTACAATACAATAATCTTGCTTGTTTTGATTTTTACAGTGAAGATAGCAGAGGAGTGGAGTGAAGGTTCAAAAAAAATAACGATGAAACGTTAATAAAGATGTAAAGTTTTCTTTCCTTCGAGTTTTTAATCGAGCTTTCAATGACAATAAAAATTTTACATAGATAAAAGATATAAAGTGAAAAAAGTTTTATGGATTTGATAGATTGACATTAAATATTGATTGTTTAAAGGAATAACAATTGCATTTTGACATTCTTCTTTGAAACAATAGTTTCGGGTAAACAGAGAACTGGGTTAATAAAGCCGATCGAATTTTTAACTGATTCAAAGTCTATTGGTGCAGGTTTATCGCTTTGATCTGTTGAAGTTTGATAAAAATGAGTTAATAATGATATGCCAGCAATACCAAAAAGTGTATGAAAAGGATCAACCACGTTTCCCGGGCGATCAGAAAATCCACCGGTTTCTTGATCTTGACATGCTAAAATGAATTCAGCCAGCTTATTGCGATCAATCCAATGCAAACGACCAATCATTTGTAATGAAGCTAAAACCCACCACGAATAACACAAATCAGGAAGCTTTTCTGGTCGACCATTAAGACCACCGGAGGGAAGTTGCCTTTCACAGAGCCACCAGCCAAGAAGATCAGCATCAATCTTGTCTAGAAAACCTGTCAATGCCAGTGCTCCTAATGCACAATACACAAGACCAGCATGGGATTCTGAACCAGGCCTAGAACCAAAACTTCCATCAATTAGATTATTACATTTCATAATGAAATCCACAGCTTTTTCCACATTAATTTCATCTAATTTATCGAGAAGCGAAAGAGTTGCAATGGCCCCAAAAGAGAATCTGACATCAATTTCACCCCATTTATCTCCGAAAAAACTTCCATCTTCCTGTTGCAAGGATTTGACATAAGATACAACTTTTGAAATGTCAACAACATCTTCCTCCAAAGCATCTAGAATGGTTAATATCTGGATGGCACTCAAGGTGTGAAGAAGATGAGGATCGTGATTTTCAGATGGTCCGATTCCCCCGGAGGAGTGTTGACATTTTCTGATTAAGTCCAAAATTTCAGCGCGATGATTAGCCAAGTACTCATCGCCTTGAAGTAAATTAATTGCAGTTAGACACCAATAAATGCCACTCATTTTCAAATGTTCACTCATAGTTTGCTCTAAAGATCCATCGGTGGGGGCACAATTCATAATGAAGTCTTTATGCTTATCGAGAATTAGAGGAGGTAAAGTTTTTGGCCCACTCATGTTTAATAATGATTATGACTTGGTCTTTAAATATTACCAAATAACTGTGAGAATAAGTGAAAACACAGATAAGGATTGTATTTAAAAAAATGAGCGACAGAACCCAGAAAATTAAGAGTGAAAGATAGTCAGGTAAAGATAGACAAGGAGAGAGAGGATTAAAAAAGGAAGATATCGGTAAATTTATTGTTTCTGAAGTTTAAGATTTGTATTTTACCTGAGTTTTGAGAATCCAAAGCTAAAAGAGAGTAGATAAAACCAAATCAAATCAGTAAACAACAGTTTAATAAGCTAGTAAGCATAATAAAAATAAGCAATATTTCTTACATTCACTTTAGTATACGATATTTTATTTTTTATCCTCACTCTATTTTACAAAGAAAGATGGCACTGGTAATCAGCTGTTATAGCTTTAAATTACAGTGATTACTGACTACAGATGGCAGGATCGGCGAGTTTTCAGCTCGATTTTCTGATCCTAAAAAATTGAAAGATCGAGCACAAGATCGACCTGGAATGATAAGATCAAATAATGTGCCTTAAAACATGTGTCTTCAAGCCAAAAGATAATTTTTTTAGATCTGTTGATACTTTTTTGTGTTGAAAATGTCAAGGAAAAGTGTTTTTAGCATTTTTTCTGATAGGATGTTGTTTGTAAAAATCAATCTCACAATGATCTTGTCAGATGAAATCGGAACATTATCTGCCCCTGATGCACCATTCAAAAGGCACATAATTTTTTCGATGATCCTTTTGAAGTGAGGTTAGTATCAAATTTCAATTTAATGATTTCTTATGAATTTTATTCAACTTTTGTTATGAAAAATTTAATTAAAAACTCATCAGTTTAAGTTATAATCTGAGTGAAACTTTGTCTATTAAGCAAGATTGTGAAGTTTTTCCGGAGTCTTACTAAGCAAGGTAAGTATCGCCCACGAGTATATTTTTGCCTAATCCACCGTTCGTCAATCGTTCGTCTGACCTCTAAAATTTAGACAGAGAAAAAGAAAAAACTTGATTCTGTATTTACTTGATATGCAGAAACTTCAACTACAATTGGGAGCAAGAAAGGACTTGGAATAATCTCGACTCAACCAAAAGAAAAGTTAATTCCTTCAATCTCATTCCAACAAGAAAAAAACAAATGAAGTAGATTGACTCACAAATAATCCTGCAGAAGCTAATAGAAAAATAATATCTAAAGCCAAATCTAACCAGAATCTGTAAGAACTTCGTAAAGCTAACAATGAGACAGACAATATCACCAACACCACAGAGTCCAAGAAAGATACGGAATATTGCAGATTTACTGAATTTTTACAAGGTTCATTAACGATTCTTCAATGATGATAAATAAATAACCAGTCATTTAATTGGACTAAATGTAAAATTTATTGTCTAGATGATTATCCACTATAAACAAAGTAAGTTTTTGGGTATCACACAATGATTGGGCACATTTAGTTGTCAAACCAAGATCTTTTTGATTATATTTCAAAACCAAATTGAAATTAATTTTTTCATCTGGTTATCTGGTTATCTTTCCAACAGTTACCATAATTTCAGTTCATCTACCATTTGAAACAAATCAGATTTTTTCTTGTTTGGTTTTTGTCAGGCTTTTGATAAAAAAAACGTAACATGATGGAAACATAAACTGAAGAGATGTTAGGCTTTGCTTTTGCCAATTTGCATCTTTGTTTTTACAATTGATTGTCAAAAATTAATGATTAACAAGTTAATGATCGTATCTAAATGACAACACTTTAACTGAATTTGTTGTATGTACAATATCAATATTTCATTCTCTAATGATAAGTTAATGGTAACAAGGAATGATGAATTTAAATAAAAACAATTAACATAATAACTCAATACAGATGGATCTTATTCAATCCAAATACAATTTTTGTATGTAAATGTTACATACAGAGAAATAATAGATTGCAAAGGATAATGAACTTGGCAGACAGCATAAAACTCAACAATAATTCAAATAATACACATGAATCATGTTAGGAAAGGTAATTAATAATGATAATTTACAATGAAAGTTTATCATTATTTACAGGTTAATCTTATGCGAAGGAAAAACCAAGATTAAACCAAACACTGTTTCGCAAACAGCAAATTAATCACTCCTTTCACAGTAATTTAAACCAGATAAATGGTTAAAATTTTTCACTATAATGAACTTTTTTACATTCACTAAATATGTATATATTTATACATGTGGCTATTAATGTACAAGTTTTAAAGTTGATGTTGGATAGATTCAGTTTTGTTATCATTTGTAATGATGATGATGTATGTTACAAGATTGATGCATGGAGAATTGATGATTATTGCTGATTAAATGTCATCCGTGTTGAGAGTTGGGTCAAAATCGTCGTTCATGTCAAAGAAAAATCGCTCCCAACGGGTTGGTCTATGAGGAGTTATTCCGTGATAAACTCGTAATTCCTCGGCTGGAAACCACGAAGCATCTTCTTCAGGTAGTAAAGGCCTTCCAATGGTCTTTAAAAAGGCAATTAAAGGAATCCAAATAACCGAAATGAGTACCAGAAAGACTGCGAAAAATTTAGCCCAACTAGGCCATTCTTTAACAAACACAGTTGCCTATTGAAAGAGCAAAATAAAAACGTAATTAGATATCAAATGATCACAAAAAACGACCAATTCAACTATTAAAAGCCAAATACAATTAGAAAGAAAAGTAAAGTCGAAAAGCTCTTGTTAATGTAAAATACATTTCCAATTCAATTATTTCTCTATAGAAATTGTTTGTTCAATCAATTGAATCAAACCTTTCAGTTGTTAATGGTACTTTTTTAGTTTACTTTCAGATGGATCAGACTCAGATTATATTCAGAATCAGTATCACTTTTTTTTCTTGCATCAACAAAATGATATTAAACAATTTAAACAGGAAAACAGCTGAAAGCGAAATATCTAATTGAAAAAAAATCATAATTAGATTAAAATTTAATATATACGAGATGAATTAAATTCAATGAAATTTATATTAAAATTGTGGCTCCTCCAAAGTCATTTATCATTGCCTTTCCTGTTAAACCACCATAAATATAGTAAATTGAATTGAAAAGGTAATACACATTCATTTCAACGTATTTGACTATGAATATGAATGTAAAATATAAAATGTAAAATGTTTCCCATTGAATAATATTTCTCATGTAAACATGTTACTCAATGAACAAAATGTTAATTAGTGAATAATGAAAATCCATTGTTATTACCAATTTACTGTCCCAAGCATCATAACCACTTTCATGAGATAATCTGATTAAACTTGAAACAAGGATGACCGACATGGTGAATGGAGCAGCATATCTCCAACAAAATAGCATGTAATTGCTGGGACGTTTACCAGTCATTAATTCGAGATCGTCGCTGAATCTGTTGGAAAACAAAAACAATAATTTAGTTGAGTGAAAATAAATAAAGAGTTTAATAAGTTGAAACAAAAGCTATTTGTAAAATTCAACATAAAAAAGGATGAAGCTTGAGGCGGAACAACTAATTTGAATGTTACATTATTATTAATAATAACACTTTAAATGTCAAATTTTTTTGACAAATTTTACTTTTTTTACATTCTACTCTTCTTATGAATTAATTTTGTAAATGAAATGTCAATAAAATGGATGTTTTTACCCAATTTTTACCTTAAATATAGAGGGAAGAGTTGGAAGAAGTGAAAATTTATATTAGAATAACAATGAAAAGAATCAATTTTTCATTGTTGTTTGTGCTAATTGAATGTAACATTGATGGTGAAAGTAAGATGAAAATGTATCATTACAATAAATTAATTGTTGTGTTGATTGATAAATCTGGTTATTAATAGGGAAACAAATTGTTGACCTGTGAAAATTATTGTACCAAAGTTGATAATACAATTTGAGGGATCTTTTGATAAGAAATAAAAAACCATTAATCAAAATGTTTTTTGTTTGGTGTTATGTTGTGTTGAGAATCGTTTTTATTTCTGCTTAATCGTGATTAAACTTAAACTTTCAATCTATTAATATTAAAGGGCATTATTCAAGGGAAAAACAATTTTTCTTGCTTTGTGATTCTGAAATCACACGGAAAAACTGTTAAAAGACGATAAAATGAGTTTTGTTTTAAGTTGCAGTGATTAACTTTGATTACTTGTAAGTGTACAGAAAGTATTACAGCTAGCATGGTAATCAATATCAACTTTTATTTCAATTATTAATATAATATTAACCATAAGTTAATAAACAAGAAGGAGCTGGGAACAGCATAAGAAAATGAGAGAAGCAAAGGAAATTAGAAAATGTCTCAACTTGGAAAATGATGATTATCTACTGATGATGGTCACCATCACCATTATTATCATCATCATTCCTAACATCCATTAAGATTGGATATGTCTTGTATGATTCTAGTCACGCAGCGTAAACAAGTGCATTGGGGTGAGAAAAGTGAACCAAGTTGAAAATAATAAAAGTACAAATCTGAAGTTAAACTATAACCTGACTGTACAATTATTATTACCAATCCTGTGATTACTAACAATATTACATGTATTATTAGTAGGAATAGCTTACCTTTTCAGGCCATAGACAAATGCAATGGCAATACATTCAAAGAAGGCAACAATGAGAAGAGGAAAGTTTCCGGCAAAATTGTCGAAAAGCGTGAAAATGTAATTCCCAGCGCCATGAGCAAATATTAAAGACAAAAGAAATGAAACCAAACAAATAGAGCCTAAAATAAAGTGGAGTAAAAAAAGAGAGAAAACGTCAAAATTAATAAATAGCAATCCATATTTGTTTACTGGCACTGTCTTTGTTTCAGATTAATATAAGTTATAATATCAAGCATGTAAGGTTACTGGGTGAAGGTTGAAAAAGAATCAGGTCAAGGATAAGGAACTAGTATCACTTTGACTCTATACTTTTACACCATAGTAAATGTATCAAGTTGGATAGGATTAATAAATTTGATTCTGTAAATCAAGCAAAGCTAAGCAACTAGAGAGTAAGTGGGTAACATACGCTGTTGAGATACATTTACTTTTCTGTTTTATTTTTATGGATTGGCTGAGTTTCCCTTGAATTTTACTTACCAGTTAAAATTTCTTTCCTTAAATTGGGAAACAATTTCATATCAACAATCGAGGTAACTGCTCCTTCCAAAGTACCAAATTGTGAATCAATCCCAAGTGTGAATAACATCAAAAAGAAAAGGATTGACCATAAAGGAGCAAACGGAAACTCGTTTATGGCTTGAGTAAACACAATGAATGCTAGACCAGTTCCAGAGGCACCCTGACGAATTAAAAAAATATAAAAATCAAAAAATTAATAAAATTTTAAAGATAATTAATTTAAAACAATAAAATGTAAGAAACAATTGAAATTGAAATTAAGACATTTTCACAGTTACCAGTGTGATTCATTATTAACCCGCCATAAAGCAATGGAGCGGTCTATTCAAATTGCAAGCTTTAAATAAAAATTAAACATTTCATTTTAAAATTTTGTCCGATTAAAAGCAATTAGCTAATTCTGTTCAAATTGTATTCATCTACTTCTTAATTTAGTTAAGCATTTTAATATGATAAAAGAAATTTAACATTAACTGTTTTCCTTAAACCAAAAGCTACATTTTTTACTCAATGAATCTCATTTCCTTGGCTAAACAAGAAAAGGGTTGAACAAGAAGACAAGTAAAGAATGAGAATTTGTTTCAAGAAAATATGGAATAAAGAAGATGATGAAGATGAAGAGGAAATGGAAGATCGATAGATAATGGAAGATGTAGCTTCAATGGATTGTGAGCGAATGAACAGCTACATGAAAAGTCGACTTATATTTTTATTTTTGCTTCATCATCTGATATCAAACTGTATTGATGATCCCATATTATTATGAAATCAATTTGCCATGAAGCTTGATAAATAACAATAATTCATCGGATAATTTGATGACGAACACAATGAAGGTCTCAAAATAGGAACCAATATTGAAATTATCAAGTTAAAAGCAATTTTGTAATCTTTAACATTGACAAAAAGCCAAACCTGAAAATCATTAAAATAGCTGATTTTGTCCGAGCTTTTAAGTAAAGGTCAAGATTATTCTCCATGAAATCTCTTTGGTCAATACATTATTGACTTTAGTTACTGTTTGATTTCAAATTTCATAAAACATTAAATGAAAAAGAAACAAAAAAGTCCAAAATCTTGAAAACTTAAATCCCTTCAGCTTTGAAGAGTTTCAAGAAAAACAAATTTGAAGAGAAATTTCATTTCAAGAATTGTTCATTTCTTTATAACACGATTTTGTACTCTCATGTTAACTGATTCACTTGCTGATTAACTTGTCGTTTAACATTGAATCACTTTCAAGCGACTCACATTACAGGATAAAATGGTCAAGAATAGTTCATACCTTGTCCAGTTCATCTTGGATATCACATTTATCTAATTTAATTGTGGTTGTTGAATTGATATAAACGATTCCATCGTACATTGGATATCCTTTCAGGTCATTTGATTCAATAAAAGCGGTTCGATTTTCAATGCAACGATGATTTATCTCATGTGCTTTAAAACCTAAAACCCAAAAAAGAAACCAGAATTAATATTAAAATTGAAAAATTATATCAACCAAAAGCAAAACATTTGAAGGCAATTCAAGCTTTCAACTACAGAACCAAAGATTGATTAAAAGCATGAAACAAATGAAAACTGTAAAGTCTAAATTGATATTTTGTTGTAACAAAAGTAAGAAAATGAACAGCAAATCTTGCTAATTAACCATTAAATTAATTACTGGCAAACTAACTCATTTTAGGTAAATGTGTTTAACCAAAATTGAGTTAAAGTAAAGTCATTTTAAATTGCCTTTCGTGTTTCATTTTGCTTTCAATTTACCAATGCCAATGGAAACAAACCTAATATTGAAAAGACAACAATTCCGGCAAACATGGAAGTACCACAATTGGTTAAAGCAACAAAAATTGCATCTCGATAACAATTATTGTGAACCGGATTATAAGATGAGAAAGCAATTAATCCACCAAATCCAAGGCCCAATGAAAAAAATATTTGAGTTCCAGCTTCAAGCCAAACAATTGGATCCAAAAGCTTTGACCACTGGAATAAAAGAATTACATTTTAATGGTTTCAATCAACAAATTAACCAGCTTAATCAACTCACCTTTGGAGTAAATAGATGGGTTATTCCGGCTGACATACCTGGTAATGTGATTCCTCGGAAGAAAAAGATGACCAAAACAAAGTATGGGAATGTTGCAGTTACATAAACCACCTTTAATGAAGGAACAACAAATCACGATTAATTTAATGTTAAAATACAATTGAATACAATCTGAACAATTTGATAACATTTTGGGTTTTTACTGTTGGATTGAAATTGAATTTGCTTTAAACAATCAGATCAGAGTATAATTATTAGTTTAAATTGAAAATTAAACCAAAGATTTTGCAAAATAAGTTGAAATGTTGGGAATTAAAGTCAACTTTGATCAATCTCAATGTTTCAACAAATGTAAGTTACGATTTTGGTAAACATGTTTCATGTTAAGGATAATGTCCAAAGTGCAATCCCAGCATCTATTGAGAGGTTCAATGTTGAAATGGATTTCAGTTGGATTTGGAACAAAGTAAACTTGAAAAAAAGAGGAAATTCATTCTCATTTGTTTCCAGTGTTTCAATATTTACGAGCAAAATATAAGCCAATTTAAGCCTGAAATGTTTGCAATGTTCAATCTTGGACTGATTGATGAAAACTTGATTCACAATTACAGTTAGAAGCAAACAGATGCTAGAGAATTTCCAGTTTTAAGAAAATTCCCAAATCGATAAATATTCCAATTCCCTTCAAAGTAAGTTTTCATCTTAAGTTTCATTTCAACAAAATTTTCAGCCTTCAAAATGAACTAATCTAAGGTTACATTTGCTTATGTTTCTGAATATCTGACAAATCAAAATTAATATTTAAACGATTGAGTTGAACATTGAGATGTTAAGGAGTGAAAATTGTGACAATTGTTTGAGTCAAAAAGCTTCGAGTTACAATCGAGTTTTGTTTTCTCGTGAATTTACTCGAAACAGTATTTTGTTTTTTCTGTGTTGCTACACTGACAAAATTGATTCCTCACGAGAGACAACAAATGCTGAGCCGCTTTTCATTTAGGTTACCATGAAGATGTTCATAAATAAAAAGACTGTCAAAATAAATGACAAACAACTGAAGCAACATTGTAAATATTACAATTGAACAAGACTCATTGCTCAAGGTGATCACAATCAAAGTAATTGCATTTACTGTAATCAAGGTACAATGAAAAAGTGCAATTGAAAATGGTTAGGAAAACAATCGACAATGAAAATGCCTGAAACATGTTGAGAGTAACTCGTTTTGTGTACAAAATAACAAACAAATCATGTTAAACTCATTTCTCTTCTGATGAATTTTGATGAAACTTTTGGCAACAATTGAATGAACATGAATTATTTCATCGACATCTTTTATTCATCTTTTCTCGTCTCAACAATTTTCTTAGTATTTTCAATAAGCCAATAATTGCTTGTTAATGTTTACCATTTTACACCTTTTTTTCCTGTTCAACACTTGAAAATGAGTTTCAATCAGTTCAATATGGAAATGAATTTTCACCATTTTTTTCGTTCTACAAACACTTTCATATTAAAATGATTCTTTATCATGTTTTTCCCATTTTTTTCGCTCAAAAACTCAAGTTTATGATGTTTATGATGTTTAGGAACAGAAAAAAATGACAAGCTAATAATACAAGCTTTCAGAAGGAATTCATTTCCATGAGATAATTTGGTTCAATTTTGCTTCAATTTCAAACCCAAACAAACAAGTTTAACCTCGTAAAAATCAAATTTACTTCAATTTAAACTGAAACAAACTTGCGATTCCAAGCATTACAAAACAATTCAAGTGTTTTGTGATTAACATGAAATTAGAATCAACTCGCAATTTTCATGTTTGCTTTTCATCTAAATAAATTGTTAATTAATGAGATACAAAGTGTAAAGAAAATTGTTTCAACTACTTTGCTTAAACAGAAACAATTCATTTGTAAATTGCTACTTTAAGTATTTTGTCAAGTTATAAGTTATTCAAACTGGGAATTTCCATGTTTTTGGATTTTGATTTTTCCTGGAATTTCAACTGTCAACTGATTCACTTGAAAACATACTTTAGAGACTAAGCAAAGATCGTTGACAAATATTGAAATCTTCAACTGAATCGAACGATTTTCGAACAGTTTTCATATGAACTGAACGAAAAAAATCTGTGATTTTCTTCGATTAGATCACAGATATTCCTTGTAATGGACTGAAATCTCGATTCGAAAGATTTTGGAAGAAATTTTTGTTCAAAATATTATTTTATTTTGGAATGAGAATTGACAGAGTAAAATAAATTGTCGGTGATTGTTGGGATTCTGAGTCTGATTTTGCATTTCAAGATTCTTCTTCGAATCTGTTTTACTGTTTTATAAATTATGAATTTGACTTGCAATTTGATTGACTTTTGTTTTGACAGTTTGAAACTCATTGGATTAATCTTGTTCAGTATTAATGAGGAAGATTATCAAAGCATATCAATATGAAACTGTGAACTTTATCAGGCAATTGAAATGATTTTCATCTTGAATCTCGTCAACTGATAAGTATAACTTTTCTTGAACAGTTTACTTGGAGTTTTTGCCTGTTCAAGTGACATTCATTTTGTCATTTTGCAGGTTATTTGTGGGAAATATACAACTTTTAGAGGTCATCAAAAGGTCAAGTTATCATTTTCATATCTGACTATTATTGTGGCTCAGATTCCAATGGATGAACAATTTCAAACATGTAATGGTAAAAAGAGCAGCAATTCAATCGATAATGACTAGTCTCTTGTAAGTTGTCAATATAATTGCTCTTGATTATACAATTTATCGAGTGAAATGATTTTTATTAAATTTGATCAACAAAAATTTTCCTTGAAATGGTGTGAGATAAAACATGAAAATATCCGGTTGAGAGACCATCAGTTATGTCATTAAATGATGTTTTCAAGTCAACATTTGGATAACATGAAATCTCGGATAATGCATTTTTTATCCCTGAAAGGTCACTCACTAAACAAGACTGAACCTGAAAAAATCAATGCTTAGCCAAACGATAAAAGAATCTTGATTTTTTTAATTTCACCAAAAAAACCTTCAGTCATTCAAACGGTTTCATCAAGTGATGTCTTTATGAGAAAAGAATGAAAATGAAACAAAAATATTGTTCTGATGTGTCCTGAATAAAATGGTCCACCAGATAATCAATAAATGAAACAAGATGAGGAAAGAATGAAATTGATGGATATTCAGGTGCAAGTGAAGCGTAACCTATGCAGCGAAATTCTTGGACAGATAAGATCAAGATTTTTTCAGGAACTAAAGGAGATAAACGACTGAAATTTTCAGCAATTATACATCTTATCATGATTAATGTCCAGTAGAAATTTGAAAATTTTGCAAGAAATAGTTAAGTGTTTATTCGGCTGTTTTGAAATTCGCGCGTCTCTGTATTTTTTCGAAAATCCTTAACTCTAAATTAATAGCTTATTTAAATGTCCTCTAATCCGCTTACGATTCCTAAAATCTGGTATATTTAAGCATTTTATATTAATATGAAACCTCAAGTTTATGCTGATGACTTTGCAGCTCGAAATTATAACGCACTAATTAATAGGATCAAAAATAAGACAAAAATTATGCCAAAAAAGTTAGACCCCCCCATATTTTCGAGCTACATGAAAAGTCCTAAATGATCCTGTATGAGAAAAGAATGAAAATGAAACAAAAATATTGTTCTGATGTGTCCTGAATAAAATGGTCCACCAGATAATCAATAAATGAAACGAGATGAGGAAAGAATGAAATTGATGGATATTCAGGTGCAAGTGAAGCGTATATGAATAAGGTAGAGACTCAATTATCAATGAATAGTTACATTAATATATTATTAAATAGGAAGTGAATGTTAATGTTTTTGTCTTATGATAACGGATAAAACAAGAAGCAACTGAAATATCATTTTCATTAATAACAGTAATAGCAATGGAAACAAATAAAAGCCAATCAACCTGATATTATCATTCAATTAGTTTACATTTTCCCTGATTTTCATATCAACATTGTCAACAGGGATTTTCATTGTAAATGTTACAATGGCTTTCAGGTTGTCATAAATATTAACAAGGTTCACATTTTTCAATTCAAATCTATTTTTCAACCTTTCATGAGATGCTCATCTTTTGGCTTTTTTTGTCACTCCATTTTGATCGGTAAATTAACCTTTATCATTTATCGAACCAACCATTTACCGAATGGAGCAAATTTTTCATTCAAAATTACCTTTTACATTGGAAACTTATTGACACCTGAAATGGATCTCAAGAGAAAAGGCAACATTCAGTTCAACTGAAATTGTTATCATTTTTCACTTCTAAAAATAAAGATTTCATGAAAAGTCATGAAATCAGAATAATCAATAGACAACTGTTTACCAAATAATCAATACACGATTCAGCAATTAGAATCATTTTCATGGTGAAAATGTTTCAAATACTTTTCTTTACATTTCCATTTTGGTTAAACTTGAATTCATATTTATCACCATTATCTGTCCAATTATCAATGTTATCCTCAACTTTAGCAACATTATTATTGTCATTATTGTGCGAATTAAGTTGACATTTTTTGTTGCTGGAATGACATTTTTTCATACAAAAAATGATATAAATTATTGTCATTAATATTGTGTTATAAAATTACAATGCAACTACAAATATCTGGTTTTATTTGAAATCTTGGGTAATATATTTTTACGATTCTTGATTCAGATTTTTTCCTCTTTACTGATTCTTGGTGAGGCAAAAAAAGTGTAAACAAAAATCAATATAAAAAATGCATTAGTGAACAGAATCCAAGATTTATCATTTTCTTTGCTCATTGTTGAATAACTTTCAAGAATAGCTTTCACTCCAAGCTTAAGGTGAGAAATTGAATTATGTAAAAGGTAAAACAAATGATCAGTTTTGTGGTCAAAATGGTATGAAATGGGTTCAATGTTTACACTGATTATGATTAATAATCATGTAATATGCTTTACTTGGTGAGTTTCATGAGTTAATTAGAAGTTATTTGCTACTTTGGCTTTGATCAAATTTTCAAAATCAAATTATTTATTTATTTCATCAAATTTATCGTCTTTTCTGGTTCAACTTTTCATCTCATTTTCAGGGTAAACACAAATTTTGTTGACAAAAAGAGCTTTATTTTTACCAATTTATCCATTTTCAGGGTAAAATCTTCAAAATTTCAGTGTCAAATTGAAATTAATATCAGACAGTTTTGACGATATTACTTTTGACTTGTAATATTGATGGCAAAAATTGTCCTGATTCAAGTATTAAATTACTTCTGAGATTGAAATGTTGAATATTTTAATTTAATATTTTCAAATAAATTTAGCATTTCAGTGAATTGTAAAGTTAACCTTTTGACAATTAACCAGTTGTGACACTTTTATCATGAAAAAGTCAGTTTATGAATTCAGTTTTATTAAATTCATATCAAACTGAAGCTTTTAAAATCTTCAAGTGTAACAGTCAATGTCAATGTCAGTGTAAACAGAGTGAATTATCAAATTTATTTTCAACCGAAAGCGATTTTGATTGATTATCTGGAACAAGATTGACCTAATAAATGATAAATTAACTTGAGACAATCATTATCGATTGTTAATGACAGGATAGACCAATAAGTGAATAAGTAACATCCTAATCCCAAGTAACTCGCCACTTTTTGTCCTTTTTCTGGACTTTCTCTCTTGAATACTCAAAGCATATTGACCAGTCCCAAAGATGTCCAAGTCAATAAATGATCAAAATTGATGAATCTAATGAATCTAAAAAACGAAATCGTTTGAAGAATATCAATTTACGAATTTACATTTTCCAATTTCAGTGATTCCAATGTAATTTAGTTCAAGATTCATCACAATTAAACATCAAAGTCTAAACACAAAAATGGGTTCAACATCAAACTGAAGCTTTGACTTTGAGATTGGAGGCAAATCTGGACTTGAATCTGGTTTGGAATCAATTAGTTTTTTCTCATCATGAGTTTACCATGAAAGATTAAATGGTTTAAATATTTAATAAGATTTTAAGCTTCACATTGAACAATCCCATGATTTTGGGCAACAATTTTCAAGATTAAAGAGATTATTTTTGCTCTTCTTTTTCTTTCTTTTTGTGTGTTCGAATGTGATTTACTTTTTTTGTTCATTCTGTTATCAGGGAGACAAGTTTCATGATGATAATGATCAGAGAGAAGGGTTTCGATCGATTGAATGGTATCATTTCTAGCATCATCAGTCAATTTAAAGTTGAAGTGATGAAAAGGATGAAAAGCAATCTGAAAAGATTGAGAAGGGAAAATGGAAACATTTGAAATGGAAAAAGATTCATTTCAAAATTCATTCCCTGAATAATTTAGATTGTGTCAATTCGTTTTCAAGGTTCATGATCAGATGATTAGAAGACAAAGAAACTGTTGAGAGTTGCCTTTAATTTGAGTATAAATATTGAAAAATGAATCAATTCATTGACTTACAATAAAGACGGATTAATGTTGAATGAAATACTCTTTTGGTTTCTCATTCTAATCTTTATCCTTTTCTTCCTGAAAGTTTACTGAATAATACCTTTTGTCATCATTCTCATCATTGGGAACATCAATATTATCATGTTTAGTTTCTTAGAAAGTTGCTATTTTTAATCTCAATTCCTTATTCTTTATCTGATTTTCCACTTTAATCTGAAAAGGTTTTCTTTTCTTTCACTGGTTTTTGTATTATTTTTTTCCTCACTTTGATCATCTTGTTCAGTTCATCTTGCTCCAATTTCAATTCCCTGGGAGATTTTCACTGGAATCTTGTTGATAACCGAATGTGATTCGACTTTTCTTTTTGTAAATGGCAAACTCGATGACAACAGATTCATTTGAAGCTTTATTTCACCATTCACTTTACACTGTTAAATCTACAATCAGATTATCTGCTCATGGATATACACAATAAACTTGGATTCACTGATTCAAAAAGTGTTACCATTCAAGGTGGAGAAATGATGATTCAAATTAAATCAAGAGTTAAACTTGACCGATGTTTAGGGTTGAAAAGTCTTCAAAATGTTATAGCTTTTTGTACTTCAAAGAGGTCGATAACAAATAATAACAGGGTTAATCTGCACAAAATTGAAAGGTTTCCATGTTTGCCTGTTTTTTCAGATTAAAATTACTTTCATGCTAGTAGCTCTCATTGATTTACCATCGATCATTGGTAACCTAAACTCGACGTTAACCTAAAGTTATTAAATATTTAAAAATTTGTCTGTTTGTTATCTCCATTTTGTGGTTCCTGGTAGACCTAGTTATCATTGAATATCCTGCAAATTTCATTGAAATTTTTTTTCAAGTTGAGGTTAACATGGATCATGTTTCTCTTCTGGTTAAAGTATATTAGCTAAAATTTTGTACAAGAGCTCTTTTTAACTGCTTCTGGTTTGCTTTGTGTAGGGTTGGAAGAGGCATTAAGTTGAAGTCAGGCTTTTTGGTTTCTCAAATATCAAATTAGGACTCTTCAATTGTATATTCCTGGTTGTATTTCAAATAATCATTTAGTATCATCATGATTTCAACAAGAGATATATTGACGATGGATCTTTGAATAAATCTGTGGAAGGGAAGAGGAAAAATCTCAGTATCAAACATGCTTGTAAATGGAGTGTAAAAAAACTATTCAGATTATCATTTTAATATTAATAAATTATTAATAATGTCAATCTATGTAATGATGATTAAGCTAATTATTCTTTGAGAATAATCTGGCTTAATTGCAAGTGATATTTAATTCTAATTATCAATGGGCATACCCTGGAGATTTTACTCAATGAAACATCAAATCATTTTGGTTTATGTTATCTGACTTTTTGATGCTCTCAAAGTCAACCCTTGAAAATTTCATGCAAGCTTAATCCCTGGTTAGCTTACAGATTACCAAAATGTTGAAATATTCAAATTGTTAAAGATTTATTCCATGGATAAATTGTTGATTACCTTTCCAGAGGATGCAATACCTTTGACCATACAGAGATAGCACAAAACCCAGGCAATTGCAAGTGAACCAGCAATCCTGTAATTGAAGCCTTGAAAATCCTCGATATCATCTGATATATCAAGCGTCCTTCGGTACCAAAAATACTGAGTAGGTGAGCTTCGCTGTTGAACAAAGATGAAAAAACAGAGTTAAAAATAAAACAATTATCTAAAGTAAAATTTCATTTAGAGACAAAAGCTAAATCTGGTTAAACCAAAGAGTAAAGTAAGGGTTAGAGTTAGAGATGTGCGATTAAAACAAAATCAGCGATTTTTATCGATAATTTTAAGTCAATTTCATATCGATGATTTCAATGATATATCGTTTCGAAAAAACGCGTTTTTTCTTATCACTTCCACCTATTTCACCAAGTTTTGTCTTAGTTTTTGGCTCTTTTCTTGAAGTATCAACTGCAATAATTTAGATAAATCAGTCAAATGGACATTAACGATTAACTCAAATAAGTTCCGTTGCAGTTATTTTTAATGGTTAATTTTTAAAAATCAACAAAAATTCACATTTTATGATTTTTGATTTCCATTTTGATCCATTGTGTAAATGAAATGTTTCAAACGGTACAGCTTCCAGCACATTTCCAGCAAGGATTACAATCATCTTTCGAGCTGCATCTAACGTAATTATAATCTTGTGATCGGCCTCGAGTGGTATAGCACCAATCGTTAGTGAATAGTGAAGTGACCGTCATTTGTCCAAAGCCAGCACAATTGGACCAACAGTAACCATTATGGCAACCGTAAGCGTCATCTTTAACACAACCAAAGTTCCATCGGTCCTTCAATTTGTCCAAAATCTCTTCACTTCCCAATGCCGCTCCAACCGCACCTTGGTGACTTAGGTTAACGGAGGCACATAAGATGATCAAAACACTCGCAAGCAAATAATTCATAATGTCAAATTAAAATAATTGAAATAAAGTCACAAAGTGAACTGAATTATTGAAACGAAGTAAATATCAACTGGATAGAATGGGTGAAAATCATATAAATTTTATAACAAATATCATCGTGACCTTGGTTTATACACAAGATACTTGATAATCCTATTAATCAGTTTGTTTTCAAGGGTTTTCATAAGATTCAATGCTATTAAAAACACTTTGAATCTGCACTCGAAAGTTTCTAATCTAGTGTTTGGAAGTGTTTCTCAGTTTGCAATAATTTCAAGTTGCACATTTACAAAATGAATTTAAAACGCTGAGAAACGTTTGTTTAATTAAATCGATTTATCGATTCTTCCTGTGAACATTGCGCCATCATCGATAATCGTTTTTTAATAATCGCACATTTCTGAACTTTCTTAATCATCACCAACCTCGTGATCAAATTGAAAGAGCGGGATTTAAGTTAACGCGCAAATTTCAAATAAGAACTAATAAATTATAAAAATGAAAATTGCATTGTATCGTTAAACACATTAATTTACAATGATTATCAATAAAAAATTCAGTTAATAACTGACTACTCGAAATGGGAATAAAGATTTAATAGAGTCATAAACTTTACTACCAATCTGATGTTATAGAATAGTCTTGAAGGTAGAAAGAAGTTAACAGAACTCACCTCACATTCAGAATTATTAACATATGTTCCATTGGGATAATTGTCTTTAGGACAATCAGTCCAAGGTAAAGGTGATTCAAAGCTATTAAGTAGATAATATATACACCAAGCAATAATTGTATTATAATAGAGAGCTACATTGAACGAGACTACAGCTGAAGCAATTCCAATTCCTCCCATATAACTTGAGATGAGATTCCAGGCTCCAATGGCACCTTTCCTTAGCCTCTGGCCAACAGCAAGTTCAAGGTAGAAAACAGGTATTCCCATGATAGCCAACATAATAAAATATGGAATGAGGAAAGCACCTTTTCCATTGAAGATCCATGTAAAAGCAAGAGAAAGGGAAAGAAATAAAAAATAATGAAAATGGCATTAATATTGTACGTTGTTGTACAGCTAACACATAATTTGTTATATTATTTAACACATTTTATCTCACTAAATGTTACCCTGACTTTTACACTGGTTTATACATTAAACTGATTAAAAGTGAATATGAATAGGAATTGAAAAAGATATAAATCATGTTTTAGATGAGCTTGAACAAGAAGCAAAAATAAAGACACAAAAGAGAGAAATGGAAGAAAGTGAAGCTTCGAGAAGGAAAAAAAACAATGACAGTTACAAAAGCTTTTCTTCTGTAAAACATTGAAAGTATTACATTGTAAAACATTTGATTTTTTGTCTTGGATTCTATCAAAGATTGAATCAAATCAGGTGAACATTTGATTCTGTATCATGAACAAAACCTTCATCTTCATGTACAACATGTAATAGCAGTTTAAGTATTGATTGAGCCAACAATTTACAGCCATTTCAATTGGTTAACTTTATACTTTCAACTAACAATGTGCAACCTGAAAATTGGTTAATAAACAAAGGAAGGCTTTTGAATTTGAATGTCAACCAAATCAAAAGTGGCTCAACGAGATTTATCATCAAATTAGGATAAATGCAATGTTGACTTAAATGATTTGAGAATCAATTTCAACCATTAAACCAAATCTAAATTAAATTTAATGAAACAAAAAAAGGCTCAACAATTGTAATACCAAAGCTAATCCCATTTACCGTCGAAGCAAAGAAGTAAATTGAATCAAAATGAAATGATTGGAATCAGTTGATACCTTTTACCACACACTCCTATTGAATCTATTAAGCCTTCAAATGATTACAAGTCTCAATGATTTGACCAATTGTTGATAAAAATAGGAAGAAGAGGCGATCACAAGAAAAAATGATTGAAACCTCAATATTTGAATAGCCAATATCAATACTAATAATGAGCAAAATATTGGAGTGAATTTATATCAACTCTATCATAACAAATGAAGTATCAATCTATTGATTAGATTGTGAAGGTTAAGGTTAAAGGTATGATGGTTAATCATGTAAATATGGGTTAAAACTGGTTAATTGTGACTTACCTCCACCATTTTTTTGTGCCAAATACGGAAACCTCCAAACGTTACCCAAACCCACAGCATAACCAATAGTTGCCAGCATAAATTGTAATTTATTATCCCAAGATTCTCGTCCATCTTCACAATCTCGGAATGCTTTATCATCAGCAGTTACCATGTCAAGGGTTAACTTTTCAGTTGTCTGTGAATCAGTGAAAAAATGTGATTAATTGGCAATAAATTGACTCAAGAATCGGGTTTATGGTTAGACAACCAGAAATGAAAACAACAACACAAGGATTCTTCTTGAAACCAACCTAATTTGTTGATTTAGAGCATTAAATTGCTGCCAACTTCACCCAATAATTTACTAATTGTCGCATTTTTTCATTCACTAAATGTTGCCTTCAATTTCAATCCAAAACTCAAAGAAACATTTTCAAAGGATTTTTGTTTCATCCTTTCAACAGTTTGCTTTAATGCTTTCACTAAATTGTTAGTTTATTAAAATATCAATTATAGTGGTTTGCAAATTAAATTGTTGGCTTAATCAATAAACCTGGAAATTAAATAGACAATGTAAATAGTAATTCCTGACAGTTATAATTTATATTAACTTTTCACTCCATCAACTGGGAATGCTCAGTGAGTTGGAATGAAGATGAAAAGTGAAAGGAAAGGAAAACATTTTTCAATCTTTTTTAGCTTCTTCATCTTTCCCTGGTTCAAATGTTACAATCTGATTAATCTGATTACAAAGTTGATCAAATCAAAATTCAACTTGCATTCCCAATGAAATACAATGTAACAGTTTAACCTTTCAAAGTTTCCCGATTTAATCAACATCTTCATACTTCAATTTAGATCGATAACTAAATGAGTTTTTAATTTCTTAAATTTAAAACCTTCTTTCAATTGAAAGTAAATTGTAAATTGATTAAAAGCTGAAAAGCTAAATTAAGTCACTTTGGACCTTCATTGTCCAACTTGTTAACAGAAACCAGTTTTTTAATGGATTCAAGTGAATGCTTTTATTGATTGTAACATTTATAATGAATATAATGATGAAAACAATGATTTGTGTTCAACATAATTGTACCGTGAATGCTGAATAACATGGGAATGCTTTTTTCAGAACTTATTTCAAATCATTTCCGAAGACAACAATGATTCAAATATGGTCATGTTTTATGATTGGTAAAAATGGTTAACACTGAATTTAGTATTTTATTCAACTCATATTAATCAATCAATTGGTGAAACTAAACTGTACATAAATTATTGATTATCATTTGTCAGTCTGTTACCTTATCGATTGGATAAATTGTAAATCTAACAATAACAATAGACTGTTGTTTCAACCTTCTTGTTTAAAGTATAGTTAATCATGTTGATTGGGTTATTCACATTTACAATCAGACATTCAGGGATCATTACAGGAACGGTTTCACCGTTCAATCTTTAATCAATATTAAGTGGATTTGGTCAACAATTAACTGATCATTAGTCCAAGTACATTAGACAAGAAGTAAGGAATTGCAGCTTCAGTTATGGACTCATTTTTCAAAATCAGATGCAAGAAGTTAACCTGAATTTTCTGTAATCAATCAAACATTTTATCCAGTTTATGGACATTTTTTTGCATTTGCATTTAAAGATGCTTTTAAACAGACAAGAGCGTCACAATTTGAACTTAACCTTTAGTAAAGGATCTTAATGGCTTTATCTCAGTGGTTACAGGATTGGAAAGGCTTGAAACATTTTCAGTTGACTTTATTGATCGAAAGTTGGAACAATCTAATCTTGAATAATTATCAAAACTGTGACTGAAAAGTGTTTAAATGACAGTGAAATTCGGGTTAATCTACTGGCATTGATTTCGGTTAGCGAGAGATGGACTTCGTTCCTAACTAAATTAGAAACCAGATTTAGCATTTACTGAAGCATTACCAGAAACTGGTACAAAAATATGGTCTAAAGATCTAAAAAGCGAGATATTCTTGGTAAATCTAGAGCTCTAATGACAGGACTGGCAAGTTTTTAATGTTAAGCCAAATAAAGTTATTGATGTTAAAGCATTTTTACTGGTTTTTCCTTTGTTTTGGATTTGGATGTTTGGGTTTAAATTGGTTAGACATTCATTGATTGTTACCTCTGATCCTAAGGGTGAAACTTCATCGTTGAATGCCAAGTTACTTGTCCCGTAGAGTTGGGCTCGACCATTTTCCTTAACCAGACGATCTTTCAATTCCTTCAGTTCCAGCCTTTCACCAACTGGAAGCTCTGATTCAGACAGTTGTTTCCTCATTATATTCTGCATTTTGATGATAAATTGTAGCAATGATCAAATTAACACACTAAAGACACTCATTGACACTAATTTGTTGAAGGTTAACAGCCATTGAAACAAAACTTGACCACAAAAAACAGAGTTGAAGATGTTTAAAAGTGAAAAGTTGATTGGAAAATATTGCACAGAATTTGTTGGTTACTGTTTGGATCAACCTTCATAGTATCCAATTGCAGAGTAATTAAATGTTTCTCTAAAAGCAAATTGAACCGAAATCGACTTGAAATGATCTTTTAAAACAATCAATGGCACAACAAAAGTTAACCCAATTCCTGGTTACTGGGTAAACTGTAGTAACATTATTTTGAAGTGAAAACACTTGAACACGAAAGATGAAATGTTGGCTGAAAATTTAAACAACAAAGTAATTACTGTTGGTAAACAAGAAAATCAAATGAAAATTAAGTTTAACCAAATTTATATGATGATGATGTTTGATTAAATTTGATTGAGCATGGCCAAGTGTATCTCTTTGGTGGGTTCACGTCTATTGACTATTCACTCAAATCGAGAAGTCGATGTTATTCAGTTCAACTCTCTTTTTTACTCACTCCATGAGCATGGCTTCTGGATTCACTAGTTATAACCATCCATTCAAGCATCGAGTAATGTCACATTTGAGGCTTGCATAGGAATAACAACAGTTGAATGAGCAAGAGTCGCCTTCTGGAGTTGACATTTCAATTGTTTTTATTGATTTTTAACTGTAAACTTGATACGATCATTCCGTTCTGGTCTTTAATATGAATAATTTAATTATATGGATATTTCATTGTTGAAGATAAAATATTAATAGAGTTTATTGGGTTTAAACTAAAAATTTTGTACGATTACCCCATTTATGCACAAATTGACACAAATGATAAAAAACGGGTAAAAATTGTTTTCTTTTAAGTTGAGACTCTGTTGCTTTGTAGGGACATTAAAACTGTATCCATTTGTGCGATTTGCAAATTCCTCTGATGAACAGCTTTAGAGGAAATCGAGATCAAAGTTGAAACTTCGATCACTTTTTGTGCAATTATTGAAGTAGATTTTTTCATATAACTCATTCATCTGATGTACCTTTTAATGATCATTCAGAAAATGCACTTATTTTGAGAAAAAGAACTTTTCTTTTTCTGCAAAATAGATTAGTTCGATTTTCAGTTAAACCGACAGCATTCTGTAACCGTAAGAAGTAGCGACCTTAGACTTACACTGTGATGCATGGCATTAAGGACACTGTTTGATTCTGGTTTATTAATGATAACCTATGATAATTAGTTGTTTATTAGCAATTTTTGTGTTGCTTTAGTTATAAAATGTTATTGCACTGAGTACAAACCAAATCGGTTGGTTAGTTTGAATTTAATTTACATAATCAAAATTTATTATCACAGATCTTGTTGAACGGCATTAAGGACATTCGACAATTTGATTAATTTAGAGCTAATAATGAGTGCTGGCACTATTTTTCGCAATAACCTCAACTAACCTATCCTTCATTAATATTAAAGAAAATTACTTTTGACAGAGACATCTTTAAAGAATGAAGAAGACAGTGCTAACATTGAAGAAGACACTGGTCGTAAAAGCAAGTGTAACTTTGAAACTTTAATCCATGGGTGAGACAATTTTAAGAAAGAATAATTTCATAACCCTTCCATAATACAGATAGATGGAGCATGATTTTCCTGGTGCGGTTTTGATAAAAAATCGAGGTTTACTGTATAAACTGGTTAAATTTCACGCCTGCAAATTAGCAAAGAGGTTTTGCTAGAAACGTATTGTCCTCATAAATTATCGCTTACGGATAGATCATGGAATATGATAAGTTGAAGAACCAATCCTTTTTCGCCAATATGCAGTTTTTGGATGTTTTCATAATAAAACAAAATGCCATCCAATAACTGTAGAGTCAAAACCTCTATATTTTTACCCTCGTTCTTTTAACGCGAAAGTTTTGACAGATAAGACAATAAAATTGGTTATTTGGAAATTATGATAATTCAGAAAATTTCAATTTATTTCATTGCAGATAAATATTAATTCTTCTTGGCATAATTATCGAAGTTCAGGACAATAGCTAGATTTTATCTAGCTATTGTCATTTATTAAAGGGGATCAGTAATCAGTCAGTTTTTACATTGATTTTTGTATTGGTTACAAATCGGTTTAAATCTTGAATTGCTTGAAGTCTTAACGTTTGTACATAAAGCTTTAAGTACCGGATTATTGCAATCCGTCTTTCCTTTGCCTTGAGCGCCAATAAAATTAATACATGAAGAAATCATCATTAATACAAGGATTGCTGAAAAAAAATGAAGATTCATTTTTAAACATATAATAATAATGAGAAACTTAAAGCAAATTAAACTTAAAAATAAATTGACTGATGAAGAAGAAAGAAACAATTAATCTGCAGTTTTAAAATTGATTCCTTTTATATACTCATGAGTTTATTCAGTCCTCCAAAAAATTTTCAAAGTAGCTCAGTTAATTCAATTTAACTTGACATTTATTTATTTAATTAGTTATATTTTACAGCTTTATAATGAATTTATTCGTTCACCAATCTACTGTCTACGTATCCACAGTGAGTAAGAACAAATATTTAGATGCATTTTAAACATACTCATGTTTTAACACATTGCAGATATCACATATCAATTGCATTTATACGTTTGCAAACGATTGTGTGTATCTCTAAGTTAATGCTAATTTTGATATATTTTTCTAACTTTTCGCTTTTCTTTTCAAAAATTTTCACTTCAAACTTTCTAAAAGTTATAAAACGAGATCAAAATTAGCATTTGACTTTAAACTCAAATCATTGAAATCGGTTCGGATGACCTCGGGTACCCCCTTGTTAGAAATACACACAATCGTTTGCAAACGTATAAATGCAATTGATATGTGATATCTGCAATGTGTTAAAACATGAGTATGTTTAAAATGCATCTAAATATTTGTTCTTACTCACTGTGGATACGTAGACAGTAGATTGGTGATCGAAGAAATTCATTATGCAGTAAAATATAACTAATAGCCTAAAAGGCGTTAGAAAATTCATCAAAATGCACCTGTTTTATTCTGGACTGACATAAAAACCGTGCATCACTCATCAGTCGTATTGCATGGTTAGCAAGGAATCGGTTGGCATCGAATTTGTTGGAACGGTCTCAAACTTTTCAAATTTACTGCAAGTTTGACCTATTGAGAAGTTCTGGGCATTGTCTAAAGCTGAATATGCCAAGGAAAGAAACAGGCCTCAAATCTAGATGAATTCAAAAAGCCTTGGACGAAAATATAAAAAAATAGCCTCACGTTCTGGACTTGATTTAATGAAAATGTTCTACCAAAATTGTACAAAATCTCCAAAGACAGAGAATTTAGTGTTTAATAAAGATTTGTAATAATATTAATCTGTCAACTAATCAATTTATCTGAAAAAATCCATTTTGCTTTGAATAACATTCATTCTTAGAAACCCTTCGATATATCGATATTTCATTGTTTAAAGTTAAAATATTGGAATGTAGTTTGTTTAGTTTAAACTAAGGATTTTGTACAATTACCCCATTTATGCACAAATCGTTACAATGGGCAAAAACGGGACAAAAACGAACAACCAGAAAATGGTCCCTTTTGGAGAAATAACATTTTCTGTTTCTTTAAAACAGATCAAAGGCAACTTTTAGCTAATCTGATCGATTTCTATGACCGTATTATTTAGAGATCAAACTGATTGCAGCAAAATCTCGCTTATTTTGCCTTTTTTGAGGGCGGACCCCTAACGAGCGAAAAAATAGAATGAGCAAATTTTTAGTTACGGTAACTGTAAGTTACAGTCTCCGTTATTAGTATCCGTTAATAAGTTTTTTTCAGTTTGTCGAGGTTTGATTGTATTTGTCTTCAAAAATTATTGGGTCACATCATGGCTTGAATGATTTTTCAAGCTATTAATAGTTTTCTCGATTTTTGCCATTGGGCTTTAAACTTTGAACCTCAACCTTCTAGTTTTACTGAAAATTTAACTGATATGTTTCATAGAAGAACTAAAGTTTGGTTTGCCAAAATGAGTGCATTTTCTGGTTCAACATCAAAAGTTGGATTGAGTTTCATGAAAAAATCTGTTCTTATAGCTGAACAAAAAGCAATCGAAGTTTAAACTTTGAACTCGATTTTCTCATAAACTGTCGGCCGAATTATTTAACAGCATTAATTTAATTGAACTCAGTTTTTATTTCCCTACGAACCCAGCAAGAATCGAATCTCAACTAAAATGAGTTTACTTTGGCATGATAAATTGTTTCTGGTATATTTACAACCCAAAAATCATGACTTAAATGCCCTAATTGAAATTTTTTGAAATTGCATTGAATTATTAAGTGAGTTATTAAGTTATTAGTTATTGAGTGATGATTGTAGGTGATGTTATAATGGAAATATCGAGGCTCGAGCTTTCAAGATTAATGGCCAAAATCAATAGAATTATTATTTAATTGTTGAAAGAATTCCAACCATGATATGGAGCATTAATTTTTATGGGCAAATAATACACTGTGATGCATGGCATTGAGGGCACCGCATTTTCTCAGGAATCACTAAATCTAATCCAATTGAAAGGATTTTTCTTTCGGAAATATGTTTATTCACACATGTGAAACCAGATTAGAGACTCAAAAGTAAAAAAATACACTAATTAACCTCGCTAATCGTTGCCCTGCATATTTTGCCTATTTTCACTTGATGCATGGTATTAAGGACACTTTATTTTCCGCTATAAATGACCTTCTATTCGAGTATTCTGAGCATTCAAAGTTTCCTATTCTTCCTAATAACATAGTTCTTGAAGTTTTTGTTTCATGTTTTCAAAGTTGATTGTTTGAAACCCAGTTACATAATGGGTAAAGGTTCAGATATTAATGATCGTGAAATCGGTCAAATCATGGCTTATCGTGATCAAGGTTTATCGATAAGAGTGATCGCAGAGAAAATTGGAAGGTCTAAAAGTGCTATCGAGAGAGTCATCAATCATCCCGATCAATATAATCAAAATAATCGAAGTGGACCGTCGTACAAGTTGAACGATCGTGATACTCGACAGGCTTTGCATCTATTATCAAACGATAAAATGGCATGTGTGGAGGTTTTTCGAATGATCGGTGTTGAGCGTCATCGTCCAACTGTTTACAGAGCTGCAAAAAGAGCAGAACATGTCGACTTTCGCAAGCCGAACACCAAACCACCATTATCAATGGAGCATAAGAAGGTGCGTTTGCAATTTGCCAAAGACCATCTCGACTTTGGGGATAAATGGTTCAAAGTGATGTTCTCTGATCAGAGAAGATTCAATTTGGATGGCCCTGAAGGTTACAAATGTCACTGGAGAAACTTGAATCAACCTGAAGTGCAGTTCTCCAAGTTCTCTCAGTTCGGAGGTGGTGGCGTAATGATATGGGCTGGAATCACGTACAATGGTACTACTGACATTGTACGTTTTTTTCCTAAAAATGTCAATTCAAGTGGGTATATCGATATTTTGGATACATTCATGGTCCCATCAATCTTTGAAATGTGTGGCGTTAATCCAATTTCTCAACAGGATAATGCAGCGAGCCATACCTCTAAAGCGACTAAAGATTAGATCGCATCAAAAGGAATCGAATTACTGTCATGGCCATCAAGATCACCAGCTTTAAACCCAATTGAAAATGTTTGGTCCATTTTAGCTCGTAAGATCTATGGTAAAGGCCTTCAGTATAATTCAATCGACGAACTAAACAATCGATCGTTCATGAGTGGCATCGGATCGATCATGTTTGAGCACATTGCAGATATGACGAATCAATTTCATTAATACGCTTCCAAATGTGTTGTTGTGTATTTTTGAGTTGAATGTCAAATGCTAATTTTGATCTCGTTTTATGACTTATAGTTTTAAGTGTTTTTTGAAAATAAAAACGAAAAGTTAGAAAAATATATCAAAATTAGCATTTGACATTTAACTTACGAGGGAAGTATTCGAGGTCATACGAATCAAAGTAAATATTTTTATCAGAAATCAATTAGGTTTCATGAGTGTTTAATTGTCTCGAAATCTCCCGGGTACCAAATTAAGGATTAACGAGAAACCCACAATCAAAAATCATTTTTTTACATGTGAAGTATGGTGAGAGCATGCAAAACAAAATGAGTGAAACAAAAAGGCTCATCGCAATGGGTTCATATTATTGCTTTCACATTGATCTATGCATAGCGATAGACCATAAATGGCGCTTTTCTGCCCTTCTGTCCATTTGCTACTCAAAAGAAGACGAATTATATTGTTTTTTAATAAGAAGAATTCAATAAAACCCTAATCATTGAAATCGGTTCGGATGACCTCGGGTACCCCCTTGTTAGAAATACACACAATCGTTTGCAAACGTATAAATGCAATTGATATGTGATATCTGCAATGTGTTAAAACATGAGTATGTTTAAAATGCATCTAAATATTTGTTCTTACTCACTGTGGATACGTAGACAGTAGATTGGTGAACGAATAAATTCATTATAAAGCTGTAAAATATAACTAATTAAATAAATAAATGTCAAGTTAAATTGAATTAACTGAGCTACTTTGAAAATTTTTTGGAGGACTGAATAAACTCATGAGTATATAAAAGGAATCAATTTTAAAACTGCAGATTAATTGTTTCTTTCTTCTTCATCAGTCAATTTATTTTTAAGTTTAATTTGCTTTAAGTTTCTCATTATTATTATATGTTTAAAAATGAATCTTCATTTTTTTTCAGCAATCCTTGTATTAATGATGATTTCTTCATGTATTAATTTTATTGGCGCTCAAGGCAAAGGAAAGACGGATTGCAATAATCCGGTACTTAAAGCTTTATGTACAAACGTTAAGACTTCAAGCAATTCAAGATTTAAACCGATTTGTAACCAATACAAAAATCAATGTAAAAACTGACTGATTACTGATCCCCTTTAATAAATGACAATAGCTAGATAAAATCTAGCTATTGTCCTGAACTTCGATAATTATGCCAAGAAGAATTAATATTTATCTGCAATGAAATAAATTGAAATTTTCTGAATTATCACAATTTCCAAATAACCAATTTTATTGTCTTATCTGTCAAAACTTTCGCGTTAATTTAACCAGTTTATACCAAAGAGTATAACAAGAGAGAACACTTAATGTTAACCACTCTTATCAGTAAATTGTTAAAAAAGTCACCACAAGATGGCGCTGAAAGAAGAAATAAATTGTTTTTCAATGTAAAATATTGGTAGCCACGAACAGAGCCATGCAGTGGTGATGTGCCTGAACTAAAATTTTACATTAAAGTATACCTTAATTTTTGTACCAGAGGCATCGTGTGGTGACTTTTTTAACTATTTTGTGATAACTATGCTTCCATAGAAGTGAACACTCTTCTTACTCTTTGGTTTATACAGTAAACCTCGATTTTTATCAAAACCGCACGAGGAAAATCATGCTCCATCTATCTGTATTATTAAAGGGTTATGAAATTTTTCTTTCTTAAAATTGTCTCACCCATTCTTCCCCACCCTAAAGTTTCACACTTGCTTTTACGACCAGTGTCCTCTTCAATGTTTACACTGTCTTCTTCATTCTTTAAAGATGTCTCTGTCAAAAGTAATTTTCTTTAATATTAATAAAGTTAATTAACTTAATTTCATCAATCGTTAATCGTTGAACCAACAGATGTCACTAGGTACAGGAAGATACATGTTTAAGGAAAATCTGTTTGGAAGATAAAATTGAAAGTTACACGCATTTATTTTAAAGAGCTTTTGTCCGTGTTTTGCCAAGTTTAGTTGCTGCCCATGTTGAAAACTGCTCCTTTATTGAAAGTTTTGAATAGTTCATTGAATATTGGAAGATCATTTCAAACTAATTTAAGTCCGAAAATGTCTAAATACTGTTTTGTTGAAAAGGGTACTCCTAATACTTCATCCTACCGAATGTTTATAAGTAAGTGTTTTATTATTAATCATTTGGTTTTATCAATCACTTCGTCCTTGTTTATAGCAGTTGATAATTATGGTTTTATCTTATCCTTTTAGCAAACTCCGATGTACCCATTTCACCATTTCATGACATTCCCTTGCTTGCTAATGCTGACAACAAAATTTACAATATGGTTGTCGAGATTCCTCGTTGGTCCAATGCAAAAATGGAAATAGCCACCAAAGAACCATTGAATCCAATCAAACAAGATACCAAGAAGGATGTCTTGCGTTATGTTAAAAATTGTTTCCCTCATAAAGGATATATCTGGAATTATGGTGCCTTACCCCAAACATGGGAAGATCCTAATCATTTAGATGACTCGACTGGATGTCGTGGAGATAACGATCCTATCGATGTCTGCGAAATCGGTGACAAAGTACACAAACGAGGAGCAGTTATTCAAGTCAAAGTATTGGGTGTCTTTGCTCTAGTTGATGAAGGTGAAACTGACTGGAAAGTGATAGCCATTGATGTTAATGATCCCTTGGCCAAACAACTTAATGACATCGAAGATGTCGATAGATTGAAAACTGGTTTACTTAAGGCAACCCATGAATGGTTCAAAATCTACAAAGTTCCTGATGGTAAACCAGAAAATAAATTTGCTTTTGACGGAAAACCCAAAGACAAATCATTTGCTGAGAAAGTTATTGTCCAAACTCACGAACATTGGAAAAAATTGATTACTTCTGCTCCTGATGCCATGATCAATACTTCTGGTCTTGACTTGAAAAATATTACAATAGGTAACTCACCTTACAAGATAGACAACCCTCAGGCCGTTATTGACGCAGCACCGGCTCTTGCTGCACCAAAAGAAATTTCAGATTCAGAGCAAGTAGCAATTGATAAATGGTATGTTGTTGGTTAGGATAAAAATCCAGATGACGTTTTCAGAAAAAGAAACTGCAGGCTTCGATCTGCACTTCATTTTTGAAGTCCAGATGACTTGGGAAGGAGAAAAAGCGAAATAGTTCGTTAAATTTAAATAAAAATAAAATAAAAATCGTTTTGACATTCAATTTTCTTTATTGAACTTTTATATGTATGTGTTCATATTGAGCATTTTAAAGTGTAATTGAGATAAAATACGAAAGCGACGGAGATGGATTATTTGACAATGAGCGAGATGATGGGTGATAGAACGAAAAACAATTTAAATTAGGGCACGAAAAAAACTTAAATAAAGTACAGATAAGATGGTGATTAGTGAAAATTCAGGGATAAGAACAAAAAAGAAACAAATTTTCAACAAAAAGGTTACAGTTTAAATTGTGAATAGATGAACAATGATTATTGGTATTTATAAATATATTAATCTTTCTGGCTTTCGCTAAATCCTCTTTGGTGACTTTTTAAGGTATTATTTATAACAGTTGATCGCATGACGGTGAATATAAGGAGATAATTAGGCCAGAAAATGGACTATCGAATTTCCTATGCAGGTAGTGACGGTGATGATGATTTATAAGAACATTCATTTTCTTTTTCTTGTGATGAAACTTTGTTTTTTTGAAGATGCAGCTTTTTAAAATTATGAATATTTGTTCGCATATTATTTGTTGAGATTGTTATAATCGATAATTAAGCTTAAATTGCGATTAAATGAATACTTGAAATTTCATATGTTCGAGTGACCACAGTGAATGAGGCCAGCTGATGATCAACCGATTATCATTGGGTTGGAAAGAGGCTCTGAAAAGCTTAAGATTATGATGTGATAACGTTGAGTTATTTCATGTCCAGCAATTTTTTGTTATTAATATTTGATTTAATTTGCCTAATTATTAACCAAATACATTTTAAAGGTTAACTGTGCATACACAGTTAACAGTTTCCATTAACTATGAGATTAAAAAAACCAATAAAAGTCTATATTAAGTGTGGGTTTAAACGATTTAACCATTTGATTAAATCCTGGTTACCTCAAACATAGTGGTTTAAATTGCGATTAAATGAATACTTGAAATTTCATATGCTCGAGTGACCTTAGTAAAATTGAATGAGCATTTCTTTGTAGATTCCATAATTTTACATCGTATAACGATAAATAAGCGTGCTCAGGTCTAATATATTAATAGCTTTGCGTTTTGCCAATCAAATTCATTCACTGAATGAACTGTTTGATTGACTATAAGTGCAGTGTAAGTTATTTTAGATTCAGTGTTCAATATATCTCCTATGCTACTTTAAATGGTAGTTTGTTTAGATGATCATGAATTCCCCCTATGAATCACTTTTTCGCAGAAACCGTGGCTTTGAAAGCTTTGAGAAGAAAGCAAATCTTTTCATGCTCGAAGATACAGAGGTTGCTGTGGGTTGTGATGATTTTGATGTTGATGCAGATGCTGATGTCGACGATGAAGATGTTGTCGGGAAACTTCTATTACTAGTAGTGTTAGTAGTTTTGCTAGTATTTGCATTTTCATTTAACGGAGGATTTACCAGCTCAAAGCGGTGATAGAAGATATCAGATAACTGTCAGAACTCAGGAAATCTGTTCGGATCTTCGACGTAATCACTTGGAACCTCGAATAGATCATTTGAAAGGCTGTCGTCAAACTGAAAATCCTGGAATGTTATCCGAGATGTCACAAATGGTGGGATTGGAATATCTAAAATGAAACAAAATCAAAAGTTAATAATCTGATAAAACAAATCATTCGAGTCTTTATAAATCTATAATAGACAATAATGAAATCAAAATTTAACCCTATCACTCAAGTTTAAAAGAAAAAATATTTTCGTTGAAGGGCAATAAACATAAAACATGTAATGAGGTTGATTAAGATTTTTTGTTTTGTTGAAAACATCAATAAACAATTGGAGAATGAGTAATGATTGCAAGCTGAGTAACACATTGATAAAAAGTCTCAGCTGGAGCCTGAGTATTCAGACAAATAACAATAGGGAAGTAGTATCTCATTATTAATCGACAAGCTCTTAACAAGTAATGAGATGTAAACAGCAGATTCAACAATCATTTCATTCCTGTACACAGATCCTCATTTGAAAGATCATGTCTTGAGGTTTTATGACAGTCTAGTCAACAGAAAATGAACTCAATTAATAGCATGATTTACCTAATTTAACAGGAAATCCTGGCGGTAACTTCATTTGGACAAATTCTCTCAATTTTTTGAAATGTTTGAATGGCGCGATAACTTCCAGAACGTTCAACAAGGAATCGACTGAGAGGGGAAATTGTTCATCCTGCAGAATAAAAAAAATAACATTAAGATTCAACAAGTTAAATGCAGTTGAATAGTAAAATTACCATGGCAAGAGTTGCTTTGTAGCCTTTGACGCTTCCTTTGCACTTTATTTCTCGTCCAAGATTTGGGGGTTCACCAGGGGGAGAACTTATATATTCCTCCCAAGAAACGGTACATTTAGGTGGTGGAGGAAGTGATCGTCTTCTTGGAGGAGGTTCGAGGTAAGGGTCGATAGCTATAGAACCGGTAACTGCTCCATGAGCAAAATTTTCAACCATAGCTCGATTTCGCTGAAGATCTTCTGCTGTTAAATGTTCTCTTCGTTTTCTAGATTCCAGATAAAGACCTCCAATGTAATAAAAATCAGCCATAAAAGGTCCAACCATTTCAGTTTTATCTTCACGAAACAGCCATCCTGACTGTGCTCGTGTAAAGGTTATACTTTTAGTTGACATTTGAGCAGCAACTATATCTTGTGACATCAAAATATCAACCTCATCTTCGATTTCTACTTCGGATTCTTCATAACGTAGCCTTTGATATACTTTCATTTTGTTATCCATGACAGTCAGAGAGTGTGATGGTTTAGCATCACCGATGAAAACGAAACTTATATCGCCCCGTTCCCATTTCATATCACTAAAGTCGACTAGAGTTGTGTCTAAACGAATATTGCAACCTTTCTTTTGGATCCTACAGACATCAGATGGCAAATAACGGGAGACTAGAGGTACCCAACTTTGAAAATCCCATTTCAATTTCATACTGAAATTTCCCATTTGGTTAAGAGCACGTACAATATCCGGTCTACGAATTTCCATGGCTTCTTTTGATTGTTTTTTCAGTTTTCTGAGCAGACATGTAACTGTAAATAAATAGAAATAAATTTGATGAATCTAATCAAAAATAAAAGTCAAGGTAATGCAAACATGATTTGACATTTTTATACCATTCTCTTCAAGGTACAACTGATTCGGATAGCGGTTGATAAAATTAATACTATACTGAACATACTATACTTTGCTCAACAGTTGTGATGGTGAAAGATAAATAATAACCCCCGGCTGTTTTTGGAACTCTTGATAAACTTCATAATCTGGACCTCTCTTTAATAAAAATCAGGTGACTGATAAACTAGCTGGACTAATTAATTTCAGATAGTAGGACAAAAAGATTATTTTGAACCAAATAAAATTTGTAAAGAAAGGCACGAATAGACAAACATGAAAACAGATGAGTAAGAAAGATAGCAAGTAAAATAAGGAAATGTAAGGTAAACAGTTAATCGATAGGAGGATTGAATAAAGGGAAAATAGAACCATGAAATATGGCTTGGTGAAATATTGATGATCACTAACTTGTCTGTCGATCCCCATAGCTAATTGCTTCAGCTAGTGGACTCCATCCTTGGTTATTTTTCACTTTGACTGGAGCTCCATGGGCGAGGAGCAATTGTATACATTCCTTGTGGCCAAGCATAACAGCTAAGTGAAGCGGCGTATTACCTAAATTTAACATAACAAGCAAATTATTAAAACATTTGGAATAATAAAAACGATCAAAATTTGATCTTAATAGAGCAATTGGTAGAACGTATAAATTAAAGGGATTTTTTGGCCATTATTAAAGGGCAAAGTAAAAAAGTAAACAGCTAAAACATTAAGCTTACCATGAACATCTTTGGCATTTATATAACGTGGTTTGAGAAGCTGGGGAATCCGTTTAAGATCATTAATGAAAACACTCTTGTGAAGAGGATATTCATCTTCATAAGACATTGTAAGATGGCTGTGAAAGGTTAACTAACTTGATTAATAAATATAAATACAATTTTCATTACAAGAAAAGGAGAGACTAAAGAGGGTTTAACATGACATGAAATTTACAGTATAACTTAATACTGTAATAACTTTGCCTGACAAGTTGTTGTGAGTATAACCTCTCAAGCTATTTCTAGGGAAGCTATTTTCACTATTTCCACATCAAATTCAAACAGTAAAACAAGTTGCTTGATATTTCTTTTTACGCTAATCATATAATTATATTGTTATACTTATTTTGCTTCTAATTTGTTAAAATACTTTTTATTATTTCTAAATTGATCGCTATTTGCATGAAAATTAAGTATACTTTTTGATAAAATATTTTCTTTTAGAAATGAGAGTCAAGCGAAAATCTCCCAAAACCAGACGTCTTGATCGTTTGGCGTCTATTAAACTTAAAATTGCTGAAAGAGATTCTCTTGTGAAATCGCGGTCTCGTAGTGAACCCAAAGATGATCAAGTTGCTGGAAATCACAATCAAGCTGTTGTTGAAAGTCCTAACACTTTGCGTTCTGGTCGCTATTATGGTTCAAGTAAAGGAGCTGGTCTGAAGTAATGGTTCTGATTCTAGAACAAGAAGTAATTCTGGTTATCTTAATCATAATTCATTAAGTTATTCATTATGAAGCTTACAGACACAATTGGTATTTGATTATGGTTCCATCCAATGATATGTTTTGATTTGAAAATTAAAACCACTCAGCTGGTTTACTCGGCGAGGTGAATGTATCCACAACTGAACACTTTTATATTATTAAATCACTTAATTTTTATGTTAATTCACTACTTGATCAATATTTTTATTAACGATATGGTTTATCAAAGGTTTAGTTGTAAACGGAGTAAATGAAAAATTGCATTACTTGGATAACCTCGTAACTTAAAATGTACTTCAAAGTGAGTTAGTTTTCTGAACTTTTCTGGATTCAAGGTTTATCTAAAAAATAATAACCTTGTCAATGATGACAAATAGTGTTCAATAAACGGAAATAATGTGACTGGTTTCACAGAAACAGCCAACAGAAGCTGTAAAAATCATTGAAGGTTAGGGTTACAAATAAGCGGAGCAACGCGTTTGAATGGCAAGCATTGGTATATGCACCAATGTATGCTCCACAAGAAGGAAAGATAATTTTGGGAGATAATCTTTTCTTAAATCAGGATAACCTCGAATTATCATTTTTTAATCATTATAAATACAAATTAACTTCAATTCACATGTCTAAAAATTGAAGGAAAAACAAATGGATGCAATGAAAAATTACAGAAGCCTGATGGTCTCTCACTTTGGTTAAGCAAATTTCATACTGGATAACTGTTTATAATGACCCTTGAATTATAGAAACTTGGTTATTGATTTAAACACAATTAACTTTTGACTCCCCGATGGCCCCTGAGTTGCTCTAATATTACCACAAGTAATCGCCAAGTTGAATAAGACTCTAAGAGACAATCGGCTGACCATTGATCAACTTTCTGTAAAGGTACTGTAATCTATTATTGAATCATTTCAATACTACTTAGGCTGGAATAATCTATGATATCAAGCAAAATTGTACAAACATTGATGCACGTTTAAACCACATTTGCTAATAAGTGAGAATCCTAATTTGAGATTTCAGATTTCTAATGATATTCACTGGTGAATCTAATTGATTGATAATGCACCTAAAATTGGTTCAACCATCAGCTTACCCAATGACTTAAACAGGATTTAGCTAACAGTGAATGTGTGACAAACCGATAATCAATTAAGACCAGGTTAAAGCTTAAAATACTGTTTAGTTTCACTTGATTATCAATCGGATGGGCTGTTGAGAGATTTAATATTGACTTTGATTCGTGATTAAAGTGTCTTAAGTTTAATTATTTCATTTCATTGAATTGTATAATAGCTTAAAATACCTGTGATTTGATTTAGCTTCTTGCATTTGACTTGAAATGAATAATAATCATCGTTGAGATTGAGGTTTAAGGCCAGTTGAGGTTTCCAATTCACCAAGTCAGGTTAGACTTTTAAAAAAGGTTAATTCCCATAATTTCAATTTAGCTCGAGAAATGAAATTTGTTTGTACATTTTGTTGAATCGTGAAAACGGTTGAATTTGGTAGCACAATTTAGCTAATTGATGACGCGGCCATGTTGTACCATTGAATAGGCGAAACAATTAATTTAAAATGATTAAGTAGTGAATATTGATTGAGATTGTATTGTACATTGAATCGTATAAGTTTCTCATTGTCATTCAAATGATTTAGGGAATTAAAATCTTACTTAATTGAAATGATCGGAAAAGTGTTGATTTTACAATTGGGTAAACAAATTGGTGCGACAAGTGTGATTAAATTATTCATAATACAATTCCAATTGTGAGTTAAACTCATTTGCTAATTTACAATGGACAAAATAACTTTTACATGATATTAACTTCATTTTAATTCCATTGTCACAGGCGATTGATTGCCATTATTAGTTTTCTTCCGTTCCGTGATAGCATTGGAGATCGTTGAAATTGCGCTTCCTTTAGACGAATCTTTGCCATGAAGACTTTGCTGACCAGTCAACTTTGAGCTTCTTGTCGATAATGTTGAGAGTGGATTACTGGATGAAGTCTTTGATACTGATGATACTTGTGTTGATGGGAATTTGCCAGAAACCATTCTGATTATTGCAGGACGAGCTTTGCTGTTAGTTACTATCTCGAAAAGGAAAATGAAAACACCCTAAAATAAAAGGTAAAATAAATTAATATCATTGATTACATTGAATAAATTATGTTTGAAGCAGCTCTACTGCAAGCGCACTTACTTGAGATCCATTGACAACGATGAATGCATATGAAAGCCAATTTGAATATTCATGGAAATAAAGGAAACCAATTGACCAAGTGATTCCTAGTAATATCATGAGTGAACAGGAACCTTTTAACCAGCGTCTAACCAGATGATTGTCTTGAGACTTTTGATCGGGTCTCGTCCCTCGAGCAGCCCAATTTTTCTTCTTTAAATTACTCAATAAAGCGATCTGGATTGATTTACCATAGATAAATGTATTTAACAAAATAATTAGAGCAACAGGGCCAGCAAAAAACCAAATCCGAGAGGGATTTATTGGGTTAGAAATCCAACAGCTAAAAGAGTAATTAACAAAATATAGATTAATTGGATGTTATATCAATGAATCTTGGCTGTTGCATCTATAAATTAGAACGATTAAACATGGAATTGTACAATACTTACTAATAACTTGTGTCATCATACAATCCCTGTGGACCCAATACTGCAATAGTAACACCCAACCAGATGAGGGCTAGTCCATAGCCAAGCAAATACAGCCAGCGACTTCTGAATTCAAAATTTAAAGGAACCACAACAATCATTTGATATAAAAGATACCCTTCGAGTAACATCCAAGTGAATGTGGCCGCTAAACTGTAAAATAGGGTTGCAGAGATGACTCGACACCATAGCTGAAAAATAAATTGAAAAATATTATAAATATCGCTTTTGAGATTTTTACATAGTTTTTAAAACATTTTTCATTCCTTTAGGTGCAAAATAATACTCACTATACTTTCAGTGTGTTCAACACCAAACATTAGAATGAAATTGCTGACCAGCAAGCAGATGCAGAGATTTGTGGTTATGGCGACTCGCTTATTTGTGATTGGAGTGCTTTTGACAGGAGGCAAAGTTATGAGGAAAAAGATGGTTAAAATTAACGAAATAACTGATGCTGTCAAACAGATAAGGGATAAAATGGATTTGGCCTGGTCATCTTCTTCGCGTCCTGTCATGTCCATTAAGATGGCAAAATTGGTTAAATGTGTACAATGACAAACAGTTTTACGGCGAGTCGAAGCAACTTCATCATAAACACATCCAGATGAGTTCCACGCTTTATTTACAGAGTCCCAAAAGACGCATTGAACAACATCACCACGACGTTTAATAGATGAATGTGCCAATGATACTTGAACGTTTACATCCTCCACAGTTTCACCAAAACTGAATGAAACAAGTTGAGAAACGATATCTTTCATTTCTTCTGGCGGACTCATGTAAGTTGTTATCTCTTTAATGATAGTGCCAAGTCCAGTTGGACGACCACACGGCGATGCAGCCATGGCAATGCCAAAGTCGATTCCTAAGAAAAAGGCCAAAAATTAAATCATAGCAACTTGGAAATGAAGCAAATCATCAATGAAATATTTGCGAAAATTAACCATGAAAAGGAAAATCTAAATTAGCTTAGTAAAGTTTTATTATCATGACAACTAAATAATTGTTAACATGATAACTTTCACAATCACCTTCCATGATCTTTCAATATAAACAATAAAACTGTTTACGAAATGAAACAGGTTCATCAGTGTAAATTTAAGGTAATTCAATGCTTGTTATATGAGACGGTAAAAAACCAACAAACTAACAAATCCAACAATCAGATAATGTACAGTTTAATTGTATTTAGCCTGATCAACCATGAAACCTGGAAAACAATTATTATCTTGATTCGCTCATTTCCCTCTTAATATAAACAAAACTTACCTTTTGGAAATTTAATTTCAGCCAGTTCTTTGCCAGATAACTGTTTACTTGGAAAAGCCAATTGATCAATCATTTCAGTTTCATTATCAAAAGCATAGACTTCCATTTGAATTGAATCGGCATCAACCGGAATAACGGCACTTCTGTCCAATTCACAGGCCAAATCCAAGCCAGCCTTTTCCGTTGTTGTAATGATTGAATTTGCCTGGACTTTGGTGTCTTTTGTGCCAGTTTCATTCCAACATTGTTCATTTCTGTCTTCCATTAGAGTTGAAAAAATGGAGCAAACTTGTTTAGTAAATGTAATTCGTTCATAAACGGCAACGGTTTTATTTCCAATAGTGGCCAGATCAACTCCAATTTTATCAACCAACTCTCGAGCCAATTCTACAGTTTTGTCCAAATGGTCGGAGGTCGATAGGACGAAACTATCATTTTGCAAGTTTTCCAATAAAACTTCAGTTACTTTTTGAGCTGGCTGTTCATCTGATTTCAAGTCAGCAGTCAGTGTCACTAAAATGTTATCAACTTTTTTCTTGGTTTGATCGGCATCAGAAACGTTTGTCTTGATAGGATCTTCAGTCAAAGGTTCAACCGATCTATCTTCTGTTGTTGGTGGTGTTTCAGTGATCTCTGGTGGTGTGGAAATTATTCCCCTGAAAGGTAAAAAGAAATAAAGTGAAATTAAAAGGATTCTTTACTCACTTTACCAGATGTAAATCAGCTATTATTCATTTTTATCTCTGCAAGTTGTAACCATGTTATTGTTGCTCATTTTAATCAATATATTCTTGAGATGATAATCAATCAAAACAAAAGTATGAGATGTTTTATTCTTGTTAATCTGGTTGTATTAAGCATGAACTAATCAATAATGATTGTTATGATAAGACTAGTTTCACGTGTTTAAGTAATTGCTCTTTGCCATTGATCTTCGTATTCAACAAGTTCAGTTACTGGAAAATCTTTTGCTAAAATCAGTTCTATTTTGAACATTTTCACCAAAATTTTCTGCCAAATTTGACTCAATGAATGTAACCAAAATTGGTGATAAAAGCTAATTAATGTTACCAAAAACAAATGTTACCAATGATTACATTTTGACAATAAAAATTGTCACTGACGAGTTGAGATACAATTTCATGATTAAACTGTGTTTTGATTTATCTCTAAATATGAACAAAATTCTGCTGAATTTTACTCTGATAATCATTTTTAGCACCATAAATCAACTTACGGAGTGAATCTAAATTCACACAAAGCATGGCCACTGTTATCCAAGGAACGAGGAACTAATCTGCAATTAAAATTGATTCAATGACGTTAAATGGTAATGATTGATTGTGATTAAACTCACTTTGGTGTTATTGTTAATCCATTAACCAGGATAACCACAACATTGGTGCCTTTTGATTGCTGAGTAGAGTCGACATTTTTCCAGCAATCTTTAGGTATATTAGAGGTTTCCTTGGTATTCAAATGACCATTCAAATGTTCCATGACAGTTTCAGGAATCTTGGTGTCTTTAATTCTTGGACCAGAAATTAGTTGAGTCCATATCCAATCAGTTGACCCTTTAGCTTGTTTAATTGGTACAAACTTTTGCATAAGATCGGGAATCTTGTTCCATGCATCACAGGACTCTATTGAAATGAGATCGGCCTCTCGAATGGCACTAAACTTTTGTCTACACCAACGCCTTGCCTCATCGAAAGACTTTTTTTCAGTATCATAAACATAGATACGGCCTCTGTCCGGATAACATACGGCATTACTTTCTGGTATCGACGCTTCTTCACATCTTTCTTTGATCAAATCGATGTCATCTGTTCGGACGTCTGTAGAGCAGAGATTAAACATTGATTAATTGTCGGTGAAATTGAGTCAGCTTGAGTCTTGAATTTTTCTCATAAAACATTAATTACAAATACAATCATCGGCTATTTCTGGATGAATGCAAATTATTTATAACTTATTAATTGCTACTAACTATGTTTGTAACTATTAGTAGAGCTATTATTGTTTTTATAACTTCCTTACACCAAATAAAGCCGTGCATCCGTTAACCATTTCAATTTAAGGAAACACTCAACGGTCACACGAATAAGATTGATTCAGCGAGCGTTTATAATCAATTATTATTAGATTAGTAGATATTGATAGGAAATAATTTGATATAATTTGTCATAATTATCCATCAACTACACTTAGAGTTTATTAAGAGGTTGGCAAAGGATGAAGACCAAAAGAATAAGGTAAACTGCCTAGAGAGAAATCTTTTTGTTATAATCATTTATGATGGGAAATTTCATGCTGAATCCATTACTTGAATCCATTTTTCGAAATAACTTCGACTACGATAACTTGTACGATATCACGAAAAAAGTTGAAAATGCATGAGCAAGAGTATCACAGTAACCAGAGGTGAAAGCCATTAATGCCTGTTAAGGAAAAAATAGCTAAATTTTCATATCGTTTGTCAAATATCGAGAGACATTCACTCAAATCTGGAGCTCAGCTAATTGAAGACAAACAATCTGATAGCTTTAAATGATGAACAACTTTAGGTTTGACTGATCAAAACTATCCTGATTCAATCTCATCTAAATCAGTGTGAATTGGATGAGATTCCTTCTGTAGTGGATATCACCTTGTAGCTGACATCAACTTGGATTAATAATGTACACTTAAGATATGGGAAAAAATTTCATGCCAATAAAGTAATGGGATAATGTGATAAAATGTAATTATACTTGAAAATGTTAACTTTTCAGTTTTCAACCTTTTTTTTGCTTGACATATACCTTTCTTTAGGCCGTTTTGATGGGCTGTTTCCATTAATCGAGATATGAGCCAAGCTATTATATTTTTACTAGATTGACTTACTCAAGATTGGCGCAACAAAAAGCATACAAGCAAAATGGTAGACAATATGTGATTTAATGATAGCGATTAACAGTAAATTGTTGCCTCATGCTATACCGATAGCTTTAACAGATAACAATGAATGACTGATAAAACTAATATAAAGCTAACATGAAACCAGCAAGAAACTAAAATGACTTTGTTTAACATTATTAGTGTTTCATTGCAATCAATGATCAAAAATGACAAAAATAAACTCAGAATGAAAGCGATAAATGCCGTTTCAAGTTACTTACATTGTGACGAGAAAAGGATAATCAAAGTAATTAACGATGAAGATGAGTCAGTCAATCTAACCATTACCTAGATGAAGTTGAAATTGAAAAATAAACATTAGTATAAATAGTTGAGATAAAGGATTCAAAATAGTGAAGAGGTGAAACTGAAAAGCGATGCAAATAAGCCTTATTGGGTAAAAGTAGGCAGTAAAATTGATAAATGTTTAGTTGCATTTTGATGGAACAATTGATTTCGGCAGAAATTTAGATTATTAAAATTAAAATCTGTCGACTACTATTTTTGGCAAGACTATCAAAGACCATTTTAGCTTAATTTAAGGTTAGATGTTGAGGTTAGACTACAGGTGAAATCGGACTACAGGAGTTTGTGCGGACAAAGGTTGTAAAATGAATGCATTATGTTAAGGTATCAGGCATTTTTAAGTGTAAGATAACATTAAAAGTAAGGAAAGATTATTATAATCAATGACTAAATCATTGACATTGAAAGCAATAAAATTGTTACTTACGGAGTTAACCTGGTTGATCTTGAGTCCAAAATGATGTTAGATCAATATGGAAACGATGAGATTTAATGGATGAGAAATTGAAATGAAACAAAATTATTTTCACAAAAACTTACTTTCAATTGACTGATTGTTAATCCGTGAACATGGAGAAGTAAAACATTTTTATCGTATGCTTCCTTTGTTGAATCAAATCAAACTGATTAATGATATTTACACAAGTTTACTGTTTGATATGTGGCGTCATCTTCAACACCTTTTTATGTTCACAGTTGATTATTTTTCAAAATTTTCAATTGCAAGTTTATTGTTAACAGTTAGGTTAACTGAAAATCTTGCAATGTTGTCCGAGTTGTTACAAATAATGGAATTGAAATATTTGAAGTGAAACTAAAAATCAAACGTTAACAATCTAATTAAACAAATCATTTGAGTCTTTTTAAATCTGAAATAGACAATGATGATTATTTGCATAAAATGAATGAAATCAAAATTTAACCCTATCACTCAAGTTTAAAATGTTTTCGTTGAAGGGCAATAAATATGAAACGTGTAATGAGGTTTATAAAGATTTTTTTTTGAAAACATTAATAAACAATTGGAGAATGATTATTATTGCAATGATCATTATCGTACAAGATTTGGAGGTTCGCCGGGAGGAAAACTTGTATGTTCCTCCCAAGAAACGGTACATTTAGGTGGTGGAGGAAGTGATCTTCTTCTTGGAGGAGGTTCGAGGTAAGGGTCGATAGCTATAGAACCGGTAACTGCTCCATGAGCAAAATTTTCAACCATAGCTCGATTTCGCTGAAGATCTTCTGCTGTTAAATGTTCTCTTCGTTTTCTAGATTCCAGATAAAGACCTCCAATGTAATAAAAATCAGCCATAAAAGGTCCAACCATTTCAGTTTTATCTTCACGAAACAGCCATCCTGACTGAGCTCGTGTAAAGGTTATACTTTTAGTTGACATTTGAGCAGCAACTATATCTTGTGACATCAAAATATCAACCTCATCTTCGATTTCTACTTCAAATTTCTCATAACGTAACCTTTGATATACTTTCATTTTGTTATCCATGACAGTCAGAGAGTGTGATGGTTTAGCATCACCAATGAAAACGAAACTTATATCGCCACGTTCTAATTGATGAACGACGATCCTCTGACTGTTTGAAAATCCCATTTCAATTTCATACTGAAATTTCTCATTTGGTTAAGAGCACGTACAATATCCGGTCTACGAATTTCCATGGCTTCTTTTGATCGTTTTTTCAGTTTTTTGGCTGTCGATCCCCGTAGCTAATTGCTTCAGCTAGTGGACTCCATCCTTGGTTATTTTTCACTTTGACTGGAGCTCCATGGGCGAGGAGCAATTGTATACATTCCTTGTGGCCAAGCAAAACAGCTAAGTGAAGCGGCTTATTATCTAAATTTAACATAACAAGCAAATGATTAAAACATTTGGAATAATAAAAACGATCAAGATTTGATCTTAGTAGATCAATTGGTAGAACGTATAAATTAAAGGGAATTTTTGGCAATTAATACAAGGTAAAGTGCAAAAGTAAACAAGTAAAAACTTAACTTACCTGTTTAGTATAAACTTATCGTGCCATGGATATCTTTGGCATTTATATAACCTGGTTTGAGAAGCTGGAGAATCCGTTTAAAATCAAATATGAAAACACGCTTTTAGAGGGAATTCATCTTCATAAGACATTGTAAGATGGCTGTGGCAGGTTTAATTTATAGATATAAATATAATTTAAAATTAATAATTTTAAATTATTAATTTTCAGTACAAGAAAGAAAAAGTAGAGACTGTTACAGTCTGACTGTATTACAGTCACTGTAATAACTTTGCCTGACAAGTTGTTGTGAGTATAACCTCTCGAGCTATTTCTAGGTAAGCTATTTTCACTATTTACACATCAAATTCAAACAGTAAAACAAGTTGTTTGATATTTCATTTTACGCTCAACACATGAAATTAATTCTGTTTTTTTTTTTCATTTTGTTGAATCGTCAAAACAGTTGAATTTGGTGGCACAATTTAGCTAATTGATGACGCGACCATGTTATATCATTTAATTCGCGAAACAATTAATTTAAAATGATTAAGTAGTGAATATTGATTGAGATTTAATTGCACATTGAATCGTATTCTCATTGTCATTTAAATGATTTAGTAAATTAAAATCTTTCTCAATTTAGATGATTGGAAAAATGTTGACTTTACAATTGGGTAAACAAATTGGTGCGACCAGTGTGATGACATTTTTCGTGCTAAATCATCGAAAAATATATCTATCGAAACACACTAATTAAAAAGCTACAAAATAAAGTAGAATTGAATTATTTATTAGATTTCGGTAATGTTTACACTCAAGTTTATATCCCTTGAACTCGACTACGCATTGGTTAAATTTTATTTCTGTTTCTAGTCAAAATAAAAACATTCTAGGCTTAGCCTGTTGTTTAAAATTGACCAAATTAACTAATTCATTCTTGATTTCTCATAACTTTCACTACTCCTGATTTAATCCAAGGAATGGTCATTACACACTAAATTAAATCCACAATGTTGTGTTTCCTATGATTTGTTCAATTCAATATTTACCTTTTTTGTTTATTTGTTATGTTACCATATGTCAACTCTATTCGACTTCCTCAAATACTCTTCTATAATTGTTGGACTTCAATCTTATCAATAATAAGAATTACATTTATGGCTATTTATTAAAGGTAATTAATCTGTTTTTTTCGTTTTTATAATTAACATTTATCGATAATTGTCTAAATTAACTGAAAGTTCCATTCACAGTTGTGGATGTTAATACCAAAATATGTGAATTATAAATGAACAGCTCTAATATTCCAACGAGAATGAGCCTTATTATAATAACATTATAATGGTGGCTGAACTATTTAATTGTGATTTAGAAACATGCTTACAGATTTATAATAACATCATAAAATAATATACATTATATTTTTTGTAGCAAAACCTAAAAGCTATTCAACTGTCTAACCTAATTTTCTGTGCAATACTATCCTTTTCCCACAGTTATCTTACACATTTTATTATTTGATTTCTGCAATCAATCATCCATCAATAATAAACGACTGTTAATAAATATGGCAATCTCATTTATGAAATCATTGTCTCTTCGAGGATCAAGTCATGACGGATACATAAATACATTCAATCAAAAACCAGATACTGTGAGTGATTCAGAGGATGAAGACAACTCTTCCTCAGATCCAAACAATAAACCCGTTCTATCTACTACTGGAAATAGTTACGTTGGCCATAATGTATTTGACTCATCTAAACAAGGAACATCTTTAATCCCTCATGCTGATGGACCTTTCTCCTTTTTAACACCATCAATGTGGCCTCAAGACTTATTAGCTGCTTTCTCTCAACCAGAAGACTCTCACCCAGCTCATAAGTTTGATGAATATGGGTTTATCATTGCAAAAAGCAACGAGGAAAAAAGCAGATCAAAGCTTCCAGAGGATCCAGAGGAAGGTACCGAGGAAGAAAAATTGAGAAACAAATGGATCGCTTATCTGGAGTTTACTTACAATGAAGCAGTTTTACCAAAAATGATGTGGTCTCAAGTAGAGCCTCAAATAAGACATACTCGAGTCCTTGATGAACTGGTTAAAGGTGGTCTACCTGGATCTATGCGAGCACAGTTATGGTTAAGATTCAGCAAAGGGATGGCTCTGAAAAACAACAGCAAATGGACTTATGCTCAAATGTGTGACCAATCTAATCATGTGGGACCTATACCTGATAAACAAATTTTGAATGTTCTCCCAAATAATGCTTGTTTCATGGACATTACCTCAGTCGGTATTGAAAGATTACGAAGGATTCTTCGAGTAATTAAGTGGCTTCATCGAAGTGGATCCAATCCCCTATCTACTTCATGTGATTCTGTTAATATTCCAATCATTGCAGCATATCTCTTGCTTGTTTGTGATGAAGAGGATGCTTTTTGGTTAACTTTATCCTGTCTTAATGAACTAAAAGCCTTTGATCATCAACGTATATTAATCAAATTAATTGTCAACAATTGTTCTTATTTGGATGATCTTCTTAAAAAAGACGATCTTGATATTACATTGATTACCTGTCATTGGTTTTCAAGTTTATTTGCTGGCTTTATTCCTAAAACGTTTGTACTTTTCCTTTTCTGGGATCTTTATTTCTATTATGGATCGATTGTGTTATTTCAGTTAACAATTGGATTATTGTTGGAAACAAGACATTTATTAACTGATGGTACTGACGCAGCTATTATATTTAATAGGTTGTCTGATTTACCATCCAACATTACATGCCAGGAAAATTTACTTTCCTATTGGAAGTCAGGAGCCCAATACGTTGATTATATAAAGAAAGACATGGCCAGTATTAATTTGATGAACCTTAATACTCATGGAGCCTCATTTTTGGCTCTTCCTTCGTTTACCAGTGACCAATTCGATCAAGACATTAAATCTAAAAACATCCGTCAAACCTCCATCTTAATGGAACTACATGAAGCTATTGTAGCCATCGGGAAACATTTTGAATCCTATGATCATAATTTCAAAGCTAACTTGGAGCCAGATTATTCAAAAATTGACAGAGACGATTTTGATTACGAAGAAGGTTATGACAATTACAAGAAGGCAAAGAACCAATTAAGACGAGCCAAAGCCTTAATTGATTTCCAAAGGCATGATTCAGATGAACTTGGTTTTTCTAAAAATGATATTATTACGATTATTAATGAGCGAGATGAACATTGTTGGATAGGTGAATTAAATGGCCAAAGAGGCTGGTTTCCAGCTAAATTTGTTGAGCTGTTGGATGAAAGGCATGGTGAATATAGTATCGCCGGTGATGATAGAGTCGTGCCTTATATTAATGATCTTGTTAGAGGACGATTTTGTTCCATATTCAAAGCAATTCTATTTCATGGACTTCGAAGGACACTTTTCATCGCTATGCACCCTTGGAATGTTATCGAAACAATCGTTTCATCTTGTATTGAAAGTGACTTTAACTCTGTATACTCTCGTCTGGTGCTTACTCGAACCTTTCGTTTAGATGAATTTGCCCGTGTTCTCAGTCCATGTGAAATTTTATATAGAAGTGTTGCCCACATTAATCAAAACCTTGAATATGAACCAATGGACGTTAAATTACGATCATTAGTTTGTGTTGCTTTAAATCAAAAAATTCTTCATGAATGGTTCTCAATCATTTGCGGAACTCAACCTCACATATTAGCCAAATTTTATCACAACTGGAGTTTTGTTAACAGTCCAGTTTGGAAGATGATTAGAGCCGAATTAAAGTAAGATTACTTAATTTATAATTTTTAATATTTATTCATGTCTTATTTTAATTTACTTGTCTTACTATTTTAATCACAGACTCTTGACGCAGTTCTCGTTTAACATGAACATCAATGCCGAAGTCCAAGAAAACCCTACTCCTAAGTCTCCAGTATCCAAGGAAGGTGTTAAAGATATGCTCGTTAAACATCATCTCTTTTCGTGGGACATTTAATTCCATGGCATTCAATTGAAGAATTTAATCTTAATTCTTTGGCAATGGACATTGAAATCTTCAATTTGCATCCCTGTCTTACCTCATAAAAATCAATCAAAGAACTAGTCAAAAGAACGGGAACAAAACTGATAAATCTAATTATCAATATTTCCATTCCATTATTTTATATCAAGATTCCTTCTTGTGTTTTAAATAACAAATGAGCAAATCACCACAATAAACAGCAATTTATTTAATTCTTCGTATTTTTCTCTGTGTTCTGTACCTTTGAATCTATTTAATTATTTCACACTTGTTAATAAATTTCAAGATAATAATAAAATTCAAACCAATTTCACCTCTGATCATTTCGCTTTAAATCATTTCCGATTATGCTATTAAATATTGCACTATGCTATTAATAAATTTTTCATTTAGATATTGCAATTTACTCGGCGAGGTTAATGTATCCACAATTGAACACTTTTATATCATAAATCACGTAATTTTTATGTTAATTCACTAATCATTCACTATTCACTTGATCAATATTTTTATAAACGATATGGTTTGTCGAAGATTTAGTTGTAAACGGAGTTAAAGAAAAATTGGATTACTTGGATAAACTCGCAACTCAAAATATACTTCAAAGTGAGTTAAAGGTTAGGGTTACAAATAAGCGCAGCAATGCGTTTAAAAGGCAAGTGCATATGCCAATGTGTGGATTACCAGAAGGAAAGATAATTTTGAAAGATAATATTATCAAAAAATCGGGATAACCTCGAATCATCGTTTTATAATCATTATAAATACAATCTCATTTAGTCAGAAATGTCTCTTAACAAATGGATGTATTGAAAGCTACAAAAATGGCAACCCTGATGGAGAAACTCTGGTTGAGCAAATTTCAGACTGGACTGTTGATAATGACCCTTGAATTATAGAAACTTGGTTATTGATTCAAACACAATTAGCTTTTAACTCCCCGTTGGCCCATGAGTTTGCTCTAATATTACCACAAGTAACCTTTGTGAATTAAGTTGCGACGGCGCTTCTAACCTATTAGTTTATTATAAAATTTACAGCAATCTGCCTGAAATGAACCATTTACAAATTAGATCAAGTGTTATAACAATCCAATATCTTTGATCACAGTTATAGTTGAAATCGCCAAGTCAAATAGACGCTAAGAGACAATCGGCTGACCATTGATCAACTTTCTGTAAGGTAAGTCCCACTTGTTATAAGTTATTTTACAATTTACTTTGATCTTATGTGATTGAAATCACATCAACACTATTTAGAGCAAATTTCAAGCTAAAATAATCAATGATATCAAGAAAAACTGTACAAACATTGATTAACTCATAAACCTCAGTTAGCGAGGATCGTAATTTCACATTTCAGCCTTCTGTTGATATTCACTAGTAAAGCTAATTGATTGATAATTAGAGCAACCATCAGCTTATTCAATCACTTTAACCAGGATTTAGCCTAAAAGTGAATGAGCGACCCACCGATAATCAATTTAAACCATGTTGTAGCTTAAATACTGGTTTCCCTTGATTATCAGATGGACTGTTGAGAGATTTAATCTTGACTCTGATTTGCAATTGAATTGTCTTGAGTTTAATTATTTCATTTGATTAAAGTGTTTAAGTAATAGCTTAAAATACCTTGAATGCTGTTTTTGAAATATCAAGACAGGTTGAGATGGAATAGCTCAAGAGAATTGTTTCCATAAATTAATGACAATATCTAGTTAAACATAATGATAATCATTTACTAGACTCACGGAGTAATTTAAATTTGTGATAAAAATGTAATTTGATTTAGCTTCTTAAATGTGTCTTGAACACTAATCACAGTTAAAGGCCACTTGAGGCTTCAATTTCATCAGGTTAGACTTTTGAAAAGGTTAAACATTAATTTCCATAATTTCAATTACGCTCATCACATGAAATTAATTCTGTTTGTTCATTTTGTCTGATTGTGAAAACAGTTTGCAACACAATTTAGCTAATTGATGATGCCACTGAATACCATTGAATAGGTAAAACAATTAATTTAAAATGGTAAAGCAGTGAATATTGATTGAGATTGTATATGTTTCTCATTGTCATTCAAATAATTTACTAAATTAAAATGCTTCTCAATTGAAATGATCGGAAAAGTGTTGACTTTTCAATTGGGTAAACAAATTGGTGAGACAAGTGTGATTAAATTATTCATAATACAATTGTGACTTAAACTCATTTGCTAATTTACAATGGACAACTTTCAATTCAGTTTCACACCATTCTGTCCAATCGGATCTGAATTAATAATTTAATTAAACTATCCAAGAGGCAAGTTAAATTGATGGAGAAAAGTCTAATGTAATTAACAAAGTGATGAGAGATGATGAAAAACTAAACATTAAATAATAGTAACCAAAGGTTAATCTCAACCTTTACCTTTGCCATCTCATAAATTATGCATATAAGTTAACAGAAAAGCAATTTAGATGAAGCAATTAGAAACAATGATTAACACTTGTTATAATTATAAAATTAAATCAACAGAAAGTAACATTATTTACATTTTTACCCTCATTTGAAAAAACCGCTTCAATTAAACATTTACTTTTCAGTAATCAATTTACATAAAATGATGTTTTGTAATAATGAAGATGACACTTTTTTCAGGTTAACTTGACTATTGAATTTTCATGTTTCAACATTCATTGCTTTCTTCCAGGCTTACATGGAATTAACATGTTGCTTTAATGAATGAGTGAAGAAAATTAGAATCAACAAATTGTTAACATTTCAGTCCAGGGAATAGATACTTGAAATTACTCAAAGAGGATGATGGAAGGAAAAGTCATTAATTTAGATACATGGAAGTAATTTACATGAATGAATAAACTAATATCAGTTTATAGAGATATGAGTTTCTCAGGAAATTTCAATGGACTTTTCATTTCTAAATGCTGTTATCTTTGAGTATTTCAATCTTTAAACTGTTGTGGTTATGCTTTTGATATCATTGGGTCCAAGTGACTTCATTAGTCTTTTATAAAGTGAGGTTTTCTGGTTTTGGGTTGTTGTTACTCGGCTTCAGGCTAAAGCTGGTTTCATTGAATAACCATTTCTAAATGAGAATTGAATTAGTTGATTGAAAACAATTGTGGTGATAGGAAGGTTTTGATTGTAATCATACATTTTGAATGAAATTTAGACTCAGGTTTTGTGGTTAGCATTAGGTTATTGAAGTACATCTTGCAATATTAACCAGATTTGTCTTACCCAAGTTTATAATAAAATTGAGATGTTCACTGATTATTGTGTATTAATTTTTTACTTGCAGTAATCAATAATTAGTAGCGAGAAGCGAGGATAAAAGAAGCAATAAAACAAAATGTTAAGAGTTGAGTTGTCATTAATTATCGTCTTGGTTGGATTAATGGGCTTCATCATTCCCATCGATTGTCGTCATATTTCAACTCCTGAAGGATCATCCAGGCTGACAAATACTATGGGTTTAGCTGGTCTTGGTTCAGGTGGACCAATGTCTGCCTCTTTACAGCCCTCATCGGAGATGAAACATCAATTTTTGATGATTCCGTCTCAATATTTACTTCGATCCCAAGTGTTTGATCCTGAAAGATATCAGCTGTTAACTAATTTAAGACGCGAACGAAGGAAATTCCCAGAAGTTGGTTCCAAGGGATTCGAGGCTGACATCTTTGATGAAGGATTTGGTGGATTCTCGACCATGAGATGAACTCACATCAACTCATATGAATTCAAATCAATTTTCAAAACCAATCCTCAATCCATATTGTAACTTATATTTGTTTTTTTGAATGCATTTTAACTCTTTTTTTGCCATTTTTCATTTTCACTTGCTTATCTACCTTTTATAACTCCAAGTTTTCCCTTGTAACCCAAAAGTTATCTTATTTTGCTTCCGTCATTTCAACCAGCGATTCATTGTTTGACTTAATTTGGTTTGTAAAAATTGAACAAATATATTGCAAACAAGTGATATTCATTCACTTGTTGTCTCAATAAATTGATCCTGAAAAGGTAATTAATGACATCAAACTTTTTTCTAGACGCAATATTCAGTTTCCAGAACAAATGAATTGTTTAAATTTGTTTAAGTTTAACATTCATTGGCTGTTTGAATAAAGCTTTAATCAATTTTCTAGTCGAGTTTCGAGTCAAATCGAAACTTATTTTCACTCAATAACCTGATATATCATCAGCATCTTCATTTATAAAATACATTCGAGTGTTTTGGTCATAGTTATGGCTTCCATAATTTTCTCTTACAACAGAAGAGTTCATGGCTTACATGAAAGCAAATCGGATCGTAAAGTTGAATAATTTTTAAAAAGATTCATTAAATAAATTCAAGTTTTTTCTGAATTATTTTCACTCCTTTTCACCCGGCATTTCTTGAAAGCAGTGATGCAAACTTGCTTAAGTTGTGCCTAACAAGTCGGAAAAGGTCGATCATTGGGTTCTACTTGAAACCAAGCCATTCATGCTATTTTCACGCCACACACTTTTTTACTCCTAGGAACAGTCACAATCCACACAGCTTGAGACTAAAGAGCCAACTGACAGGACAAACAAGAAAATGAATATTAATTTAGTTCTTAAACCAGTCAACAATTGTTTCAATGTTTAACATATATCTCGCTATTTTCTCGTTTAAATGGTTAGACTGGAAAGACTGGCTATAAAGGCTTTAGCATTTCCTGATGCCACTCTTCTCAATATTGGTAAAGTAAATGTTGCAGCCTTGACCAAAACCCAGGCAGACACTCTGAAGTTAGCCTTCCTCTTCAACTAAAGGATTGAAAGATTCCGTATTCCAAATGTTTTCTTCATTGATCGGCATCAGAATATCTTTTATAATATAATATATTGTATTGAATTTAACAACGGCCAAAACAAACATGTTGGGAATAAACATCTTTGATCTTTAGCATGACCCCATATAGTCCGATATGATTAGTTCATGATTCAAATTATCATTCCGGGATCAATCATCTTTGCCAGACAAAAAGATAAACCTTTCATACCGTCTAATATTTCACTGCTCATTTTATCAACTTAGTCCTTAACAGAAATAACTGATTTCCATAAATTTCTGTTGATCCGGTTAGATTCTTTCTAATTTACATGCATTATTCAGGTTCATCTGTTTTTATGGTCAATTTATATTTGTGTCAAATGGCAGATGTATCGAGCACATGGAAAAAGTCCATACAAAGACCAATGTAATCTTGGTTCCTAACTTAATTCAATATTAAACACAGATTAACTGATGAAAAGTTCACCGATGAAACTTCAGAGCGACATTAAAATTATTTTAAATCAAACTGATAAAAAAATACACAATAACTAATTAATTATAATTAAATAAGAAAGTGAAAATGTTTGGTTACCAATTAAATGACAGCTGAAATTCACAAGAAAGACAGACAAAAGGCAAGCAGCGACATTTGTGGAGATAACATTTAATGGTAAGGTATCACGTGATGTATTGTATTTGCGAGAGTGCGTTAAAATAGTAAAAGTAAATTTCAATTCTGATTCTGAAAATTGTAATGTTTGTGTTGATTTTGCAATTGGAAATTGGTTAAACTGTGCTTTAATTGCAATTGTTTGATATTTGTTAAACCCGAGTGAATCGATTGGTGGTCTTTTCTCGTTGCTAAAACAATTTAACTTTCCTTTGGAGCATTTTTGCTTTGTTCTGGAAATAGTAGTTCCATGGAGCAAGAACAAACCCAATTCTATTGGAACAATTCTTCACTATATGGTCCTGGTTCTGATTCAGTTGTAGGTGGACCACCGATGACACCTAAATCTCCATTGAGCTCTGTTGTTAGAGCTCATCTACCTAACAATGAAAAAACTTCATTCAAGGTAAAAGCAGGCCAAACAGTTGGAGAAGCTCTCAAAAAAGCAATGGACATCAGAAAATTAACGCCCGAGATATGTGATGTATACACATATACCACTCACGCCCGAATCGATTGGAATCAAGATATAAGCACTTTAGAGGGAAAAGAGATTGTCGTTGAAGCCAGAGCTTCTCCTATTAGGACTTCCATATCTCATAATTTTGTAATTGCTTTTTACTTTTAACCCTTATTGACCACTCAACCTTATTGCAAAATTTTGCATGTCTTTCTCAGTCTATTCCTTTTGTTCCCTCTGCTCTCATTATTTTATCAATTTGTTGACTTTAATCATTATTTACATTGATTTTTCTTTTCTCATTCTCAGGTTCGCAAGACCTTCTTCTCACTTGCCTTTTGTGAGTGTTGTCGCCGTTTATTATGGCATGGTTTTAGATGTCAAACCTGTAACTTTCGTTTCCATCAGAGATGTGCTAGCCTTGTGCCCAGCTTATGTTCACCTTTAAATGTTGACTCTTCAAACTACTATGGGCATCTTTTAGCACTAAATAATACAAATTACTACAAGGCATCCTCCAATCCTTCAAGTGGACCTTACTTTCAACCACCCAGTCAAGTTTCCCAACATGGAGTTTCATCATCATCTTCATCTGCATCAGAATATCAACCACCATTTAATCAAATTCGGGAATCTATGAATGGATCGACTCGGCGTAAAGCACAAACATCAGGATTCTCACAAAGAGAAAGATCTACATCTGCTCCTAATGTTTATTGTGTTAACCAAAATAATCAAAGTTTTTCGGAAGAGTTTCACAAATATCCAACATCATCATCGGGTTAGTTTGTCTGAATAGCACTCATTTGGATTGCATCTTCTCCAAACTCATTCTTATTTTACTAACATTTTATTTGTCCCATCACTCTAACCTCTCCAACCTTATCTTTGCATTCCATAAATTTGTTCAAATACAAACCTCTACCTTATGCTAATTTACTTTGTTGAATTTGGGTTACCTCTATTGCTTTTCATTAACTCAGTCTTAATCATGACCTTTTCTTTTCTTTCTCTAAATAGGTTACAATAGTATTTACACTAATAACAGTGAAGCGGCAAACAATGCAACAAGTCCTACGAGAACTCAAAGTGCTGGAGGTTCACCCACTAACACACGGATCGGAGGTCAACAATGGCGTCCTAGAGCACGATCAGCTGACGAAAGTTCAGCTAAAAATTTAGTAAACAAAGGAAAACCTAGCACAACTGGAAGGGAACAAATTGAAGACTGGGAAATAGCACATGACGAAATTTTCACTGGACCTAGAATAGGTTGTGGTTCTTTTGGAACAGTATATCGAGGTCATTGGCATGGACCAGTGGCACTTAAAAAATTGAACGTTACCAATCCAACTCCTGCACAATTACAAGCTTTTAAAAACGAAGTTGCTGTGCTAAGAAAAACTCGCCATGTTAATATACTTCTTTTTATGGGCTGTGTTTCTAAGCCTCAGCTTACGATAGTTACTCAATGGTGCGAAGGTTCATCTCTTTACAAGCATCTCCATGTACTCGAAACCAAATTTGAACTTGCCCAATCGATAGACATTTGCCGGCAAACTGCCCAAGGGATGGATTACTTGCATGCAAAAAATATTATCCATCGTGATCTTAAAACGAACAGTAAGTATCTTTTTCTCAATCATCTTAATATTTTGTCGAAACAATGTTTTTGAATCATTTTTAACTCATTACATTTTTGTTTCTTTTCCTATTTAGATATATTTTTACATGAAGATTTAACTGTAAAGATAGGTGATTTTGGTTTAGCAACTGTTAAAACCAAGTGGAACGGATCTCAACAATTTAATCAGCCTACGGGTTCCATTCTATGGATGGCACCAGAAGTTATCAGAATGAAAGATGCAAATCCATTTTCCTTCCAATCCGATGTTTATGCCTTTGGTATTGTCATGTTTGAACTGTTCACTCAGCAATTACCATACAGTAACATAAATAACAAAGATCAAATCCTTTTTATGGTCGGACGAGGTATACTTAGGCCCGATTTAACCAAATGCAGAAAAGACACCCCTAAAGCAGTGATACGCTTAATAGAAGACTGTATTACATTTGCAAAAGAAGACAGACCTTTGTTTCGTCAAATCTTGGCTTCACTTGAATCCTTGTCCAGATCATTGCCAAAGATACATCGATCTACTTCAGAACCAACATTGAATAGGACGCATATACAGTCAGAAGATTTTTGGGGACCCGTTTGTGCCTCTCCAAAAACTCCTATTAACTCACAATATACAGCTTTTCCCTTCTATAGTTTTACCTAATTTCTCTTAATTCATTTTATCTCTTTATTTCTCATCTTTCATCCTTCTTTCAGTAAATTACTTCTATTCTTTCAAAATAAAAAATTGACGATTTAAAATGAAAACATCAGAGTCTGAATGTCTTTGAAAGCCGATTTCAAATCAAAAATCAAAAAAATTAATTGCTTACATTATTGTCAGTACATTTTTTGGTTTTGTGCTTTATTTCCACCTAAATTGTTTTAAGGAAAACAAATGAATTCTAGATATTGATTTATGTTTTAATCATTTGAATCCGGTTGATTTATATCTTTATTGCATTATTTTGCAATAGACTAGGCATTTTTCGACCAATTCCGTTCTTAATCAATCGATTTTCCGTAATTATGCTCCATAGACATTTGCAAATTCACTGTTAATTCACTGACTATTTGAAAGGCGATAAACTTGAATACTTGTACAGTAAAGAGGCATTTAAATGTTATTTTTTGAAGAAGACAGTGAGAAAAGATGTTTAACTTTGAATGGGCGCTGGAAACGCTCCTGTTTAGCCACAATCTTGTCAAGTAAAACTGTTTTTGGCCATATCCCGTGGATTAGGAATACAAAAGGACAATTCAGTATACTGGCTGATCTTATGCATATGCACATGCTGTACAGAAATGAACTCTTTTGTTTATAACAGTAGATCATTTTCCGCTGCAAGATCGATGGCTCCAGATCACACTCTACAACATTTTTTAATTGGTCAAAATGCTTCTTTTATTTGCGTTTATGCCCGACACACGATTGTGTCTATTTAATTTGTAGTTTAGCAGATATCAGGCAGTGGTCTCAAACGAGCGGAAAGTCTATAATACAGTCGACTACCTAAAATTTTCCCTTTTTTTGTGTGACGAAAAAAATGAGCGCGATTTTCAATGGTAATGAAAATTTGAATTCATGATTTTGTGCGTAAATTTTACCGAAATTTGTCTATTTATGAACACATGATTAATGATTTGCAATTGTTTGCGATTGGATTTTATCAAAAAAATTTTAAATTAAATTTTCCAGAGAAGGGACTCGATGGACTATTTCAGGTAGTCGACTGTATTAAATTTAAGTACAGTCTGCTTTCGGACAAGATTTTGGCCGAACAGGAGCGTTTTCAGCGTTCATTTTTCTATGTCCTCTTCACAAAATAACGTTTGATATGATTCCATTGGACGTAAGTCCATTTTGATGAAATATGCCTCTTTACTGTTTAAGTTTATTCACCTTGCAAATAGTCTTTTAGATCATCGAATTAACGTAATTACAGTTGAATAAAAAAGCAGGTTAAATAATATCTAGCATGCATTGAAATCTGTAAAACAAACAGAAGACAATTGTTAGCGTCAAAACCATTGAGGTATCAACTGGTTATTTGTATGCAAAAAACAGAGCATATTTCAATTGATGACTTTAATTCAAAGATAGTTAATGGTGAAAAGATTTTCTTATGGATTAAATAAATCATTTATATAAAATATTTTCTGATTTTAGCAATAAATGAACCTTAAAAAAGATTCTCACTCAAAGTAAACTCCATGGGTAAGTTTGAGTCGGCCGAGTTCAAATTCAAAATCTAGATGATGCACAAATTGTGGTTTTTATATTATAATAACTGAGCAACCAGGTAAGAACTCAAGTAAGTTTATGATTTGAACAGTAACAAAACCAGATGAGTACATAATCACAACAATTAACATTATCTGATGTTCAAATTCGCCAGAGTTCTCGATTTATGACTCGAAATTAAAAATCAAAGAATGACTTTTGAAAATTGAACAAAAAAATTGTCAATCAGTCAATTTCCATTGATTCATGAGCATCAATTCTCATTCGTTTCCATATTTTCATTTCGTTTTCACAAACTAACTTTCTTTTTAGTTGTGTTTCCAAACGTAATTGACTGAAGAGCATACAAAGCTCATCCATTCGATAGTCTTGCATTGTGTTTAGTTTTGATTTCGTATTATTATCAAAATTTATTTTCGCGTGAATATGTACACCAATATATACCGAGCACAATTATATCGTAAAATAGTAAATTTTTTCCAATGAAATCGATCCAGTGATGGGACTTGAAATTTAGCAAATCGTATGACCACTGAGCAACTTATTTATTCAGAGATAGAATCGTGAAATCGACTGAACAAAATGGTTGAACCAGGTATAGACAGAATAATGATACTGAGCAATACTGGTTAGATATGAAAATCGTTGAGAATCTAATCTAATGCATGTTAATTTGTTAATAATTGTTATACAACAAAATGAACAAGTGCAATAAACTTCCATCACACAAAGAAACATTTACTCATTTACTAACGCAGATGATAGTTTGTTGCTTATATTTAAACCGTCTTTTAAATGATGTCGTTGATTATATTTATTGATTGTTATTAATTTAACACGTTAACCAGTCATCAGGCTCCATTCTTTAACTGATTACAATTACAAGCTTTTAGAGACCAAGTTGCTAAAAGCTTACGATTAAACTCGCCATGTTAATACAATTCATTTTATGGACTGTGATTCTAAGCCTCAGCTTACGATGACTACTCAAAGATGGAAAGGTAAATCTCTGTTCATGTATCTACATGATTAACTTAAATTGTAACCAAATGATCAACATGAAGATTCAACTGTAAAGATAGGTGATTTTGGTTTAGCAACTGTTAAAACCAAGTGCAACGGATCTCAAAAATTTAATCAGCCTACGGGTTCCATTCTTTGGATGGCACCAGAAGTTATCAGAATGAAAGATGCAAATCCATTTTCCTTCCAATTCGATGTTTATGATGTTTATGTTTACCAGTCAGTAACACAAATATAATACTTTTAATGCTACGACGAACGAGGTAAAACAAGAACGAGTTTGGAGAAGATGCAATTCAAATGAGTGCTACTCAGACAAACTAATCCGTTGATTTTGCTAGATACTGTGAAAGTATGTGAAAGTCTTCCGAAAAAAATTTGAAATTATTTTGACTGGTTGGTTTAAACTAAGGTCGAAGGATTGGAGACTGTCTCACAATTGATGCAATAATTAATTAATGTTTAATTGCCATACAGAGAAACTGATTGAGAGAAAAATGGCGCGAAAACCGATGGAGAAAAACGCTTTCATATTCACACCTACCCATGTTGCTGTATGGTAATTGCAAAGTTCAATGATGAATATACGATTAGTACCGAATTTCAACTTTATCGAACTGATGGAAATTAGATGAGCAAAGTAAATTAAAACTAAGGCCAAACTCAATACACTTTTTTCTATAAAATGTAGAAAAATCACAATAAATTCATGCTACTGCAGCAGATTCAGATTATATGAGTAAATAAACAAAATGAGGAGAAGAGAAGATTCTGATTGATGATTAATTTCAGATAAAAAGCAATCTTTTGTCTGTGAGTGCTATGAGATATGCTCATTCAGTTATAAGCTGTCAACTCTACCACTTTCCTAACCACAACCTGAAAACTGAAACTGACTCTGAAACTTCATCTTAAAATATATATAATAATAATTGTATCAATTCTCTTCATTTTTTAAATATCAATAATATGTGCCACGAATTTGATGAAGTTATGGACTGGTGTTATACACCTGATAATAATTCGGATAACATTGAAAAAGATGAGCCAATGGATGTTCAAGAGGATGCGGTAAAGGAACCAGTTAACGAAGGCAAAGAGGATAAGCCAGTGGGTGAACATAAGGACCTCGATAAAAAAATTGGTAAACCTTCGAACCTCAATGTGACAATTTCTAATTCTAACTCTGCTAATTTTTTTATATTTATACTACCTGGAAATGTTTAACAAATTATGACATTATATATAAACAATTTACCTGTTAACTGCACAGAGAAAATTTAATAAACAATTGTTAAACCGAAATCACCTGTCTTTTCAGTTAAATCTTCGTGTAAAATTATAAAAGTTGTATTAAGAATGGAAAAATTGAAACATTGATTTTATGAAGGAAAGATATTGTGAAGATAATCCCTTTTTCCCTCACTTCCTACCCCCTTTTCTTCCTCATTTTCCTTACTGTTCGTTGTAGGATCACGAATAACCTCTGGTGCCATTCAAAAAAAATGGAACCAGTAAGCTAGTTAAATTGTTGAGACCCGTTCCACTCGGTTTAACAGTTGCTAAACCAAAATCACCAATCTTTACAGTTAAATCTTCATGTAAAAATATATCTAAATTGGAAAAGAAACAGAAATGTAATGAGATGAAAAAGATTCAAAAACATTGTTTTGACAAAGTATTAAGATGATTGAGAAAAAGATACTTACTGTTCGTTTTAAGATCACGATGAATAATATTTTTTGCATGCAAGTAATCCATCCCTTGGGCAGTTTGCTGGTTTGGTCTATCGATTGGGCAAGTTCAAATTTGGTTTCGAGCACAGCAACAGCAACAGCTTGTAATTGTGCAGGAGTAGGATTGGTAACGTTCAATTTTTTAAGTGCCACTGGTCCATGCCAATGACCTCGATATACCGTTCCAAAAGAACCACAACCTATTCTAGGTCCAGTGAAAATTTCATCATGTGCTATTTCCCAGTCTTCAATTTGTTCCCTTCCAGTTGTGCAGGTTTAACTTCGTTTACCAAATACTAGGTAACATGAAATGATATGGAAGATTTTCGAAATGAAATAACATTTCAGTTTTTTATTTTTTATTTAGATTTTTTTAAAGAAAAAATTCAGGCCAATGTCTTTCATTTGTCAAATCTAACTCTTATAAATTGAAGTTCAATTATTGAATTGAAATATGCATTATCTGTGCTTTACAGAAGTAAATAGAAAAAGTTTATGTGAAAAATTACTTTTTTAGCTGTGTTCACAAGTAACAAACTTAATGCAAACAAGTGTACGGTAATGAATAATTGTTTTCAATTTTTTGCTGTCTATTGAATTTCATTTTCATTTTTTTTCATATCACATGTTTATCGATGGTCAAGCAATTAAATGACAACGATTTTGTTTGAGATTGATTTGCTGATTACCATTAGATACGAAAATAAAGTTGACGGGTTGGTTTTGTTCTTAAAGCAATTATCCACAAAAGAAAATTTGAAACAAAAGTTGGATTTGATGATGATGAACCTCCTCCTCCTCCTTACCATGAACATGATGATTGACAAAAACTTCCTTTACTCTTGATGAGTAACCTGTATGAGCTTCTTGAGAGAGCAATGGAGATTAACTGATCGTAATACTGATTAGAATATCTGATCAGATATGAAATTCATTGAGAATCATTATTGAATTTTACTTATTGATTGATCCTTTTTTTGATAGTCAATTTTATCATTTTTTGTTCAATTTTTAAAGGTTTGTTATTTTAAGGGTCAATTTTGATTTAGAGTCATAACTCGGAAACAGAACAACCGAAAACACTTTGCAGGACATCATCTGAATCAGAGAAATGTCGGCTTTAATTTGAAGGAGTATCCTAAACCGGTCTAGGGTCATTTTAGCAAAAAGTATTCGAGCGAAGATCAACTGAGCGAAAGGCATTCGGGAAAAAGTCACTTGAGCGAAAAGAAAAGGAATAAGAACAAAATTGATTCCATTAGGGCTATCGAATGATTTCTCCGATCGACAGTTTGCGAGAAAATCGAGTTCAAAGTTGAAACTTCGATAGCCTTTTGTACAGTTGTGTGACCAGATTTTTCATTTTTCTGATATTACTTTTAATGGCCAACCAGAAAATACACTATTTTGTGAAATAAAATTTTAATTTCTTTACAAAAGATCACTAAGATTTTCGGTTAGACCTGCGTTTCGAGTGACCATAATAGTTAGAGACCTGAAACTCATTTTTCAAAAGTTTCAGATCTGATCCAAGATCAACCTGGAGATTGAAGTTTCAACTTTGACCACGATTTGCTGATTTGACTCATTCATTTAGACATTTAATCAGTTTATTCGAAATGATCAGCTCAAAATCTTCAAGTTGAATTTTCGCTCAAGTGACTTTTGCCAAATGATCCATGCCCCTGAACCAATTCCTAAAAAACAAGGAAAATCATCCATAGTTGGGAAAACTCAAAATTAATTTACTATTGATTTAAAAATTCAAAGCTAAGAAGGATAATCATTTGATGAAATTTTCAAAGCTCCAGCTACTTAAAAAATTACACCCACAGTTGATAAATGCATGTCGATTGGGCCGGAATTGTTATTTAATTGAATGAAATGAACAATTGGAATAAGATTGCATCACACATCAATGAAACATGCTCAGAGTCACGTGACACTCACACAGATGATAGTTTATTGCTTAAATTTGAACCATCTTTTGAATGATCTCGTTCATTTTATTTATTGATAGTTATTACCTTTAAATTGTTTGTATTATTTTAATTTTTTTGTTCACTATGGAACAGTTAGATAGAGTCCCATGTATTCAAGTTAATTCAACCAATATTATTGCGTGTTGGCCTCATCTTATGAAAGCCATTGAACAGTCACATTTTTTAGCTATTGATTTGGTAAGTATTAAATATCCTTTTTAGCTTTTGATTATTTTTTAAATTGATGGCTCATTAATTTTATTTAATTTTGTGTTTTTCTTAACTATGGATGACTTGAAAATTATCCATTCTAGGAACTCAGTGGATTAGGTGACAAAAAGAAACTCATCTTGAAGTAAGTACAATGAAATATTTTTTACCCTTTGTTACATTGTTTTCACTTTATTTTGTGTTTTTTATTAGAGATATTGAAGAAAGATATAAAGCGATTGGTGAAGTCGCCAAAACTAGGAGTATATTATCTGTGGGTCTGTCATTTTTCCGATATAACCGTAAATTGATTAATGGCTCTGACCAGACAGATTGGAGAAACAAAGATGAGTTCTGTGATTGGAATTTCAAAGTTATTAACTTTGAACTATTAACTTTGTGCAATGAAGAAAGTGTGTTGGAAGATGAGTCAAGATCATTTCTTGTTTCCCATGGATTCGATTTTGACGCTCAGACTTCAATTGGTCTTCAATACTTGAGAGCAGATCAGGTTAGTATACTTTTTGTATACCTCTCTTGGTAATATGCTAAAATGTTTCATTTCTCTGATTTTTTTAGGAATTGAATCCTGATGTTCCTTCAATTAGAAATCTTTTCCATCAATTGGTCAACAAGAAAGTACCATTAGTTCTGCATAATGGATTGCTTGATCTAATCTTTATTTATCACAATTTTTTAGCCAATCTTCCACCTAAACTACCTACTTTTGTCGCAGATCTTGATAAATTATTTCCAAAAGGTATTTTCGATACAAAATATGTGGCAGAACACAATTTTAAGTCGAAAGGTTCATATTTGGAATATTTATTTTACCAAAGGTATTTATTTGCTTTCAATTTGTTATCCAAAGAACGATGTATTAACACTTTTGACTTTTTATCTCTTTATGTAGACAACGTCGCAATCTAGAGAGGAGAGTTGCGAACAAGCCTTTTATTTCCATCAGTTTTGGCTCAGATGATTCCATTCGCGATTTCGTTGTAGAGAGGTCTATGAAAAGTATCATTCTCGGAGATAAGCCAGAAGGATTGAAAATTTGTGATGACTATCGAGTAAATATATTTTCTTATAGTTTTTATTTCCGTTATAAATATCATTTCTAACTCTTAATTTTTGTTTTTTAGCAACATGGTTGGTGTAAAAAAGGAGCTTCATGTCAAAAATCTCATGACATAGATTTCATCCTGGATGATGAAGATTTTTACAAGGAACCTAGTAAAACTAGGAAAAGGATTTTAGCTAAAATGAATTTAATAAATTCGCCTAAAAATGATGTGGAAATGGGCGAAGTCGGTGACTCAATAGAGATAAAGGAACATATTAATGGCCAAGTGAAATCTGGTATTCATCGGTCAGGATATGACGCTTTTATGACTGGATATTGTTTTGCCACTTTTATCAATGAGCTTTCAAAACAGAAACCGGGTAAAAGTGGTAAGCTTAACTTTTCAACCAGTGAAATGTTGAAACTTAACAACAAAATATTTTTGACCGGTAAAAAGGATCCCCTACAAATTCGTTATAGCCAATATTCCAAGCCAAGTTCAAACATCAGCAAGCTAATTACTGAAACAATGAGCCCTGAAATCACCAAGGAATGCGGTATCATCGATCCAGAGAAAGTTGATGGTTCAAATTCAGTTACATCAGAGGAAAGTAAATCTCTCAATTCAAGTGGTATATCCGACTGCGATTTGATAGTTACTTCAGAAACTGATGAAATTTCTGATTCCTTAGATGGAACTAATGGCACGGAAAGTATTGATGAAGAACAGTAGAAAAATGCCGGATTAATATTTTTTCGACCAAACTGGACATTCGAATGTTGATTGTATTAACTCATTTCCTCTCACTGTTATTCTGGAAAACCAAGCACTATTCACCCGAATCATGATAAAAGCACACTGTTTTAGCTGATCTGTAAATTTTCAATTTTCAATGCGATATTTTTGTTGCTAATACAATTCTCATAATCACCTAAATTACAGACTAAAATATTCATCGTTAAATGTATACACTTTTACGAGTAACATTCCCCTTGCAAATTTTAAATTTGAACTTCAAATAACTTATTTTGTCATCGCTAGTTTTAGTCCCACTTCACAACCCTTTTATCTTTTTCAATTAATTTCTCTGTCAGTCGAGACTTAACTATTGATTGTTTAAACCCAATATTACCAATTCACTTTATCAAGTATAATTTTGGAAGACATGCTACAGATAATGCTACTGTTATCAATGCCTGCAGAATTTCGCTCAATTAAAGTAAAATCATTTACTATTCATAACCAAGATTTATTAAGTTATTTCATTATGCTTCTCATAAGAATAAATTACGGCTAATCCAGAGTAATACGGCTTTTGGTCGAGTTTGATGTAATAATCGATATTTTTGAACTCACAGAATGTTTGTCCTATCATAGAAAATGAATCGCTGATTGGTCTAATTTTTTATACAAAAATCCATGTTTAATCAGCTTTATTTATGCGTTGCGAATAAATAATCAGAGTGATTGGTGGTTTGTATTTTTTATGTAAGCAATTTTTATTTTGAGCCAATAATACAGTAGCTCGAAATTTTACCTTCAAAGAACACGAAAAAACCGAAGACCTCATGCACGCTTAATATGAAAATACTCTCATTTATTAATTAAAATCTGTGTAAATATATTTTTTCCAAACAATTTTTGGGGAAATATTGACAATATGAATAAATCTGATAACATTTTATCTGCTTTTGTCCATAAAAACATTGTTTATAAATTAATATTTCAATTTTGTATACAAGATAATTCATAATAGGCGCCTAACTCAAAATGCTTCAGGTTGTCAAGACAAACGAGCATAAAAGCACAATAATCAACAATCGTTTTGTGTTTGACTAACCGCATAATATTGATTGTTGTTTTTCGCTTTTCCTGTTTATCGTACAGGAAGACTTAACAACAATCTAAATCATGGCTTTGCAATCAGCTCGACAACTCCTAGACGAGCTTATGGGTCGTGAAAGAAATTTAAGGCCAACTGAAAAGACAAGTGATGCCAAAGAAGATTGGACTCATCCAAGGGTAAGATTGAATTACACTAGTTTTTAATGTTGCTTTTCGTGAATTATCTTGATTTTGATTTATAATAATCTTGATAGTGTCAACTTTCATAATTTCAATACTTTTAATGTTTACCGCATTTTATTGATTTTTCTTAGATCTGTAAATTTTTCCTTGTCTACTTTTGTCCGAATCAATTATTCACTAATACTAAAGCTGATATGGGTCCCTGCCATAAAATTCACGATGATTATATTAAACAATGTTACGAGGAACATGCCACTAGGAAGCAAAAAGCAGTCTACGAAGATGAATTTATTAGGTAATTAGTTTCGGCATTTTCAATGTTTCAAAAGTTGCTATTCTTTATTTACTTTTTGTGTTACAATGTTGTAATATTGATTCAAGTTTCATATTTCTATTATAACTGTAACATCAACGCTATGACAACTGCAACCAATTGTTATGATTTTTAAGTTTAAATTACTAATTGGTTATCCTCTTTTAACTCTAGATTTTGCCAACAAACCTTAGGCGATGTTGAAAGACGAATCAAAAGAGCTCGACAGCGTTTAGCGGCCAGTCAAACAGAAAAGGCCGAAAATTTGACGATAGGAGGAAATTCAACTTGTCTTAGTGATGAAATTCAAGAAAAAATGCAAGCAATTAGTGATAAAATAGAGAAATTGCTTACAGAGATCGAAGAATTAGGGTGTGAGGGTAAAGTTGAGGAGGCCCAAACACTAATGACTCAAGTTGAACTTTTAAAAGAAGAAAGGACGGCATTGAAAAGAGGTAACTTGTCGATGCATTGGATTCAAGCAAGAGCAGAAATGGGCGCCGCACAGGAAAAGCAAATGGAAGTATGTGATGTTTGTGGTGCTTTTCTAATTGTTAATGATGTTCAACAGCGGGTAGAGGACCATTTAATGGGAAAACAGCATGTCGGTTATGGTAAACTTAAGGCTGCCTTAGACGATCTACTCCAAAGGCGTAGAGCAGATAGAGATGTTGACCGTAAAGATTCAAGAAAAAATGATTTAAAAGAGGAAAGCTCTAATGTCGAGACTGATTCACCAATTGACTCTCGATCTCCATCTAGATCTCGGCCTTCTGACTCTTCTACTCGTAATGGTTCTCGCGATAGAGTTAAATCTCGTGAAAGATCTCGATCAAGAGACAGAGGAGATCGTAATGGGTATCATCGAGGTAAAGATCATGATTCAAGACACCGAGATGATCGACATGACAGAGGACACTCAAAAGATAGTCACAGACGACACCATGATAGACATTCAAATAGAGACGACAGAAGATCAACTTCTTCTAGACACAATGAAAGGCGAAGAAGTCGAAGTCCCAATCATGTTAAAAGAAGTGATTCTGCCAAAGATCAATGACTTTTGATAAATTTGAGAGATAACTCGTTAACACACTGGGAGACGAAACATTGTTATCAAGCTAAAATAAAAAAAAAGACAAACTCATTACCTTATTATGAGAAATCACTTTCATAATTTACAGACATATTCAGTTAGAAAAGTACATTGTTTCATAACTTTAAATCATCTTCATTTTCCATTGTTTATTTCGTCTCTAAAACCTTTCTCTTCTCTGTCTCTCTTATTTGTCTTTATTTTGTAAAATATGTATTTTCAATTGTCTGCGAAAGGGTTATCCTTTCATATTATCAGTCTGTAACTTACTCTGTTAATTATGTTTACAAGAAAAGCCTGATGGTCTTTCTCGTTCAATTAAAAAGCTTCCTTTTTAAATATTTATTTTGTTCAACGATAAATTCAGGAAACTATTTCAGAACCAATTTTTAATTTTCTATCTCTTAAACATGTGATATTCAAATCTTTATCAATCTCGATCAACTTCAGGCTCATTATTATAAGCTAATTAAATCTTGGTGAGAAATAGAATCTGAAATAAATTTCTTAAAAAGATATCTCCACTTAATCTTGCTAAGTAAAACTGGATTAATTTTCAGGTATCAATCTAATCAAAGAATTCATTTTTCAAATGTGCCCTTCAGCTTAATACTCAAACAAACTGCATCAATTGAATCAGTTAAATAAAGTTTCAGTTTCAATGTTTGTTCTTAAATTGATTGTTAACCTGATTTGGAAGAAAATCCGGAACAATTGTTAATAGATGAGTTGAAATTAGCTCTGTCAAAGATTTCATAGATGAATAGATGAATAGATGATGTTTGTGTATTAATAGTTGAATGACTGTTCCATGATCATTAATCAAATGATAATGAAAGTGGTTCAGCAACAAACAAAAGAAATAAATGGCCATTCATTATAACAATTAAAATTACGTCTTTTTCTTTACCATCAAATTAATTGGTGTTTATTGTAACATTTAATGGACAATGAAAGGCTCAATGTTGATTATATCTCTACTTTTTAATCAAGTAGACGAAGGTTTACTCTTGCCTTTAGCCAAGAAGCTAATTAATAACACGTTTTCATAATGAAAATGGATTTATTGATATTTGAAATTAAATGATTGACAGTTAGCCTAAATAATGATTTGCGTAAGTTGATTGAAAGATATGATTCACTTTCAATTGATATCAATGTTATTAAACTGGTTATAATAAATTATGGCCAACTCTTGAAAGACAAACACTCCAATTGAATAAACTGTTGAAGAAAGGATGAAAGAAAAATTGTGAACAAAAAGGAGTTAAATTTATTAATAAAATATTGTTTAGAAGAAAAAATTCACTCATTTTAGAGTTGATTGAATTTCTTTAATCAAAATCAAGGATCAATGGTCAATGCAAAGGGAACATTTTTATAGGATCATGAGAAAATTGATGTTTTATTAGTTTATATTGAGACGATGAGATGGATGATTGGCAACAATTAAGAGTAAAAAGATAGTGAGAAAAGAGTTTGGAAAGGTAGGGAGAGGTAAAAAGAGTGAAAGATAGAAAGGGGAAGTTAAGAAAAGGACAAAGAGAAGAATTGAAGAGGATGACGATGAAAATGATGATGATGGTGGTGATGGTGATGATGGTAATGATGTTGATGATGATGGTGATCATTATGATGAGTGAATGAATGAATTTATTTTGAAAAGATTTCACATCGCTCCTTATTTCCAGGTCGACAGCGACCAACATCTTTAACAAATACTTGATCGGCTGGACAATGATGAACAAATGCTTGTAAATCTTTATTTGCTCTTGAGGCTGGAGCACAAACAACGAACTGGCCGCAACTATCTGGATGACCATGAACACCACGACGACTGCATGTAACTTTACCAGCGGAATCAATGACAACTGCTGGTCCAGAACTATCAGCTTCAGAAGAGGGTGATGATGATGGCAATGATTCAGTAACAACTCTTCGTGGCTTAGGTGTTGTTACAGTCGGTGAAGAGGTTTGAGGTGGGTTTCGAGGTCGACTACGACGGGTTTGGACAGGGACAGGTCGAGGGGTAGTTGAGGTGGTGGTTGTTGTCACTGGTATAACATCAACTGGACCTGAGCCTGGGTTGGTATCACGAGGATAATCAATGAATGGATATCAGTGTAAATATCTTCATAACTTGATCTAAGTGGTGAAGTTGCACGGAGATTTGGTGTTGGAGTAGTTATGACTGGTCGCAATGGTAAATCAGATTCTCGAGGTCGACCTGGCAATTGGTGTCTTACTTCTGGTATATTAGGTGGTAAAACTGCAACTAAAGCGTCATTTGGATTACCAGAGTTTTCACTACTAACTTCTTCCTTGTTTATAAGGTGAGCTCTTTGGGGTGGACGTTTTCTTAAAGGTCGTCGAGTTGTTAATGGATCATGGGACACAAATATTGGTGGTGGTGGACGGGCTGATAATTGGTCTGATGGTGGAGATACTGGTTGAGCTACTGCGACTAAATCAACACTTGGTGGTACACGTCGAGATGGTTGATTAGGATTGGAATCAATTTCAAAATTACCAGGTTTTCGTCTGTCACCTGCAACTGAGAAAGCTGATTGAACTCGGACTCGGGTTGGTCGACGTCTTGGTCTTCCTTCTCCACCTCCTGGACCGACGAGAGCAGCTCCTGACTCTCCTACTGGTGTTGGATTAGCATCACCTCCTGCTTCACCAGGGAACCTGAAAACATTTCCTGCTGAAACTCTGATAGGGACACGAACATCGTCTCCAGAAGTCTCACGATTGGCCTCAATTCTTGTTATCGGGGCTTCAGTAGCAAAAAGAACGGACCGAGTTGATGATTGTCCACCAAATCGACCAGGAGTATTGTAAACAAAGAATCCGTCAACTGATCGGTTATCTGGTTTATTTTCGCTTGGAATTGATGCCAACCCAGGTTGGTGAACTACTGAGCTTCGGGGTGCTGAGGGAGATGAACCTGATCGACCATCTGGATCATTGTAAACAAAACTGAATGGTGAATTGGTTCGTCCAGAAGGATCAACATTTTGTCGTCTAATATCATCTCTAGCTAGTTCAGGTGCTGATGTTGTTATCAAGCCTTGATCATATTGTGGTCGACGAGGGCGAACTTGATTTGATGGTAGATCAGTGGAATCAATTTCACTACGGACACGTCTAGAATCATCAGGTCGATTACGGTTAGGTGTGACATATGAAGGAGCGAAAAATGATGATGTAGATATTGCTGCATCATCACGAGCTAGACTGATTGAAGAGTCAGTGTCAATTAATGCGTTATAATTTGAGGAAACACCGCTGTTATCTCTGATTCTGTCCCCTGAATCAGTGGTACCTCCATTTCTAGATGAGAGAAGGGCTTGAACTTTATCAACACCTCCTAAACTTTGGACGAGTTGAAGAAGCTGGTAAAGGTTATCGTTATTTGGCTGAGCTCTAAGCGTTCCTTGGTTTTGAGCTTGGGCCAGTTTTAATGCTGCTGCCAACAACTCTGGGGTCAGTTGATCAGATAAACTCGCTGATTGATAGAGAAAAAAGTGAAAGGTACAATTAGTACTTGAAAATAGCTAATTTTGGCACCAATTTTTAATTGAATTGCAATCATTGATTAAGAAATAGGAAAAATTCCAACTTGTTTTCCCTTTTAATTCGTCTTCAACTTTTGCTGGCACAAATCACATCATCTCAACATGTCAAACTAATTTTGCCATTTAAACGCTACAAAATCGTGTTGACCGTATTAGACTGTCTACTTTCATCTTCCTCGTCATCCATTCATAACTAAGAAATCTTTTCTTTTATGTTATAGCGATTTAACTAATACTAATTTACTGCATTGGGTTTGAACGTAAAAATGAAAATAATGATTAACACATTTTCACGCACCTGAAAACTAGTCTCAACTAATCAAAGATGAAAAATGAGACACCAACGTTAAAATCTGAAAATTATTAAAAAAGAGTCATTTCTTACTTAATCTTTAAATGATTTGAGATGTTAATTGTCATTAGCAAAGTTAACCAAATAAGATTGATATGGATAGTTGGAAGAAAGATCATTAAAATAAGGTTGAGATATTCGTTAATTTTTACATTCATTCATTAGATTATTGTAGACTGGCATGAAAGTAAAATTAATTGGCAATTAATGTTTGATTAGCTGATACAGCAGAAGAACAAAATTGGTGTTACTATCAAAATAATTGATTTAAAAGACAAATACAAATACTAACCTGGAATATTTGGCAAGCTCGTAGTTTCCGGTGCTGGAGTAGTTGTAGTTGTTGTTGTCGTAGTTGTGGTTGTGGTTGATGTTGTTGTAGGTCGATTCCTTTTAGGGTTTGATGATGACTCTTTTGATGATTTAACTTTACAGCTAACATTCTCGGGATAGTCACAAGCCTCTGTTTTAGTGTTAAAGTATAATCCTGATGGACAAGTGAAAGCATGGGCTACAATTCCTAAATTGGCTGGACCCGAATCAAGACACCAAAAGTATTTTTTACAATCTTTTGGATTCTTGAAGAAACCTTCGTCTTGACATTCAAATGGAACTCCAGGATCAGGGGTAGTGGGCGGCTCTGGGGTCACAAAATCTTTCAATGTTGTAGTTGTAGGTGGTTGAGTTGTTGGAGCTTGAGTGGTAGTTGTAGTTGTTGTGGTACTTGTTGTACGTCGGGCTGTATTGTATCGACGGATTCCAGATAACAATGGTGCTGGGGGTTCAGTAGCAGCAACCAATCTATTTCTTGGTTGATTTGACAAGTTAATTAAATCAGTTGGGCGACGACTGTTTGAGACTGGACGTGATGCAATTGCATTGAATGTTGGAGGAGCTTCAGTTTCGACTTGGGTAGTCAGTAAAGCTGTTTTCAGAGCTGTTATCAATGGACTTTGTTGTCCATGGCAAAGGCCACGGAAATCATCATTATCCAATGTCCATACCATAGCACCACCAAGATTGTTTGATAAAATAAACTTGGCCTTTTCTTTGATTATTTCAGCATCGTCATATGCAACCCATTGTTTATCATGGTAAGCATAAGGACCGTGAGATTCGGGATGTTCATTTTTAACAACCCATTTTTCTTCTTCAATCTTTTGGCATATTTCATAGTAAGCCAGGTAACCCTTTTCCCGTGTTCCAGGTCCAGCATCGCCAGGACCGTCAGCTGGAGCGCTGATGCCAGTTCTACCTCCATCGAGTAATGTAAATGATCTTCCATACGTAGGAACACCGACAATTATTTTGTTTGCTGGGGCACCTTGTTCAATATAATATTTGACGGTCCAATCAACATTCAACTTAGCTGCGTCATCAAATTTACTGGTTCCTGGTCGACTTGTTAAAGGTGAATGATGATCAGTTTCCGGATCATAAGCAGTGTGATAATCGTATGTTAAAACATTCATGAAATCAACATGCCTGATTGGTGAAAAAAAGAAACAAGAATGGATACAAATTGAATAAATATTAGAATAGATTAGGTTACGAAAAGAAGCTTGTATTGTCTTTTGAAAATCGATGAGGAAAAGTGAAAAAAAGTTGCTCAAATGATTAGCTTAACTAAAACTTTAGTGCAAATGGTAGCTAGAAAAAGACAATCCAACAATTACAAGATTAACAGTATGCTGATTTATTCATTTTCTGCTTTGTTTTACAGTTAATCTTTCAATTGTGACATTTAATCGTCAGAGAATGAATTAAGGGTACCTGATATAATGACTATTACAGTCGAAAATACTTACTTGGCAATTTTAGGAACATCAAAGCCACGATCAATGTAATCTTGTCCTGCAGGAACAGCAATTGATAACAATAATCTTTCCCGATTCTTTTCCTTGTATTCATTATCAAAGGCGTGTCGTAGTTCCTTAATAACAATAATAACAATTAAAACAATAAGACAAAGTAGTTAGTTAGTTTATTCATACTGTTTACTAAGTAACATTCAAACATTATCATAGAGTATTTGTAGGTCATCAAGATAGCAAACGATCAACACATTAAAAACCAAATCGCCATTGTTTTCACTTTTGTTACAACCATCATTACAAGAGAACAGTTTAATGAGATAATTTGATTGTCACTAAGACATAATTATGATTTGTTTACTAACTTAATTTGTTTACTCAGAAGCAAGTTAACCATGAAAAATAAATTTGATTAACAATTGAATTAATAGATGAAGACACAATTTAAGAGAACGAAAAAAAAAGAGTTGAAACATAAAAACAAAGAGCTAGTCTAATCACAAGGAAACAGTTACTCATTGCTTTGTAAATCCCTCCATTTTACCCTTTGGAAAGTGAAGCGAATTAAAAAGGCGCAAAAAATGAAAAAGGTCATTTATAATTTGAAAATTAACTTTCTCTTATTACAATTATATTGAGATGTTAACCAGATTAATTGTTAATCAGATAATTGGGACAAACAAAAAGGCTGACAAGAATTCACCAAATTGAGTTTGTTTCAAAATGGCTTCAAAAATGAAAAGCAAAAATGAAATCATCTTTTTGTTTTGTTTATGAGTGAACAAAACAAAAGCTTGGATTGCTGTTTTCACAAGCAGATGGAATGATAATGATGCAAAATTGAGATTAAAAAAAGTGTTCATTCCAAATTGATCCATCCAGGTTTCAGGTTGATTAGTAAATCATCATCATCATTCTCATCTAATCATCTTAAAGGTATCATCAACATCAACATCAATTTAGATAACTTGATCTCAAGTTGAAGTTTGAAAAAACGCAAAGCAATACACACACACACACACAAGAAAGGAACCAAAATAACTTTTCTTACTCTCAATACTTGAAATAACATGCAATCCTGAAAGATGATTATGATGATTATGATGAGCTAAGGAATACAGAGAGAAAGTAAGCCAAAATATCGGCCAAATGAGTATTAAACAGGTACTTGGCCACATCCGATGATGAAGGTAAGAAAGTAATTAGAAGCTGCTTTTTTGTTGGTAAACACAAATATTTATTTTTAACAGTTTCACCAGCTCAACAATAATCTTAATGTGCTTAGTAAACAATTTAAATTTGATATTTATTCATCATTATCATTAAAATTCATTGATTTGTTTCTCATCAACCAATCATCAACTAAATAGACTAAAAGATGACCCAAGTATCAACGATCTATTTAACTCTAAACTCTAGACAGTCAACATTTAGGTGAAACCAGAAACCAGTAAAAAAACTGGTAAAGATGAAATGATTTAAATTTGATTTTGATTTTCAATATTGACCTTTTTTCAAGGTGAATTGATGCATAAAACTGTAGGATTTAATTAACACCAAAATTCAATAGCAATTGTGTTTGATAATTGTGGAGGTTGATCATTATTCAATGTTTAATCATTTTTGGTTAGCTAAGGGTTGGAGATGATGCAAAAGTGTATTAATAATGATAATAGTGATAATGGTGATGATGAAAGGAATGGTTAAACAACAAGTTAATTGTTATAGTTAAGTTGACAAGGGCAATATTGTAATGGGAAATCATCCTGAACCAGAATCGGGTAAAATTGGTAATCTCAAAAATGGTAGTCAGCTTTTGTTTGAACATGTAAAGGTTACCAGTTTTTGAAGACGGTAAACTTGTGAATCATTTAACGTGTCAAGGAGACTTGTTTGTCATCACAACACATTAAAACAATTTAATCATCATCAAGATGATAATTATGATCATCAGTGTTTCAGCAACAATCAAGGAATATGATTCAGGCCCACAAAAAACAAAAAATGGTTTACAATTACCTAAAAATTAATCATTCTAAATACGTTTACAAGAGTTGCAAGTGAAACATCAACATTACAAGCCGAACCCAAATTAACCAGATTCCCTTTTTGCTTCCAATTCAATATCACCTCTAAATCATCTCAATTGTTCATCATCCTCCCTCATCATACATCATGATGCCACAAGCAATTTGGAAACAGATTTCAATAATTTGGATTGATTTTCTGGTTCGGATGGGAAGCTTTTCAGTGGATTTGGTTTTATGTTTTTGGATCATTTCTTTACGATCTAGACTCTGTTGATTAGGGCAAATGATAGGGTAATTACCTTAATTAGTATTGAATATCCTTCCTTGTCTTCGGATGAGCTTCCATCTCTGAAGCCAGGATATTCCCAGTCCAGGTCAAGTCCATCGAAATTGTGTTCACGTAAGAAACGGAGGACACTTTTGATAAAGGTTTGTCTCAATTCCGGATCGGCAACCAGTTTGGAAAACCTACAAAAAGTAAAACAATAACAATTAGACTGATTGTTACAAAAATTACTGACTAAATTAATCAAAATTCATAATTTAATTGTCTTTGTTCAGACTGTCAACTATTTACTAATTCAAGGTGATGAAAATGTTGACAAAAAGGTGAATTAAAATGATTTCAAGATCAACTTTAACCCAAAATACAATTTAAACGAAATTTCATTTTTTCTCATTCATTTCTATTCTTATTTTGATCATTTTAAGTATAAATTTCATTATAAATCAAATTTTTCATGTCAATTAAAAGCTTGAATGAACAAATTGTTGAGATGATTTAAAATCTTCCAATCAATTCATCACTCAATTAACGTTTCATAAGCTGTTATTTCACCATTAATTGATTAATTTGTCGACAAATTTAAATGATAACAAATAATAATTAAGCTTGAGTACGGAAATCAAAAAGATGATAATTAACTTACGATATCAAGAGTATTGATTGAAATTTAATTTCCGTGATTCCGGTTAAATTAAATGATTTTTCATGTGAAATGAAAATTTCAATCATTTTTTATTTCTGGTAATCTTAACCAGTTTTAATCGTATTACAATTAATGATAGATTAATTGAAAAACATTACAAATCAAGTTTGATTGAAACGGAAATTGCCATTAACAGTTTAATGAGAATCATTTATCCAATTGAAATATATTCAATCAAATCACAATTATCCTTAAGGTTAACAAAACAAAACCATGCTGTTAAATCAATCTTTCAATAATTTACTAATTAAAGCATTTGATAAATTTAATTGTTGATTGAACCCACAAAAAAGCAAGAAATGAAACCCAAAAAAAATGGAAATGAAAATTTCGGTGTAATGATAATAAATTGAATCTAATTACCGGTCAACTTCACAACCAAGATGAAGATTGAATGGATAACAATTATTATTGTTATAAGGGGCCAATTTAATGTAAATTAAATTGTGATTTAACTTATTATTATGTTGGTTAACATTAGCTTTACCTTTACATTAAACATTTTTGTTGTATATTTAAAGAAAGGTTAACCTTTTATTTTTATAAAAATATACTTTAGTCTTTCGGTTTGACCCTTTTCTTAGCATCAGATTGACCATCTTAGGTTAAGTAGGTCTTGTAAAGGCCAGGTAACATTTCAAGGTCAACTTTATCATGTTTATAAATTCAAAATTGCAAGAATGGATGAAAAAAAGGTGAAAAAATTAACTCCAATCATGAAAATAATTTTACTTTTCCGCAATTGTTGCGATTCCTTTTCTGAATTTGATTCACCATCAACTTCATTGCTATCATTATTTTAATAATAATGTTGATGATGATGATGTTGGTAATGATGATGGTGATGATGAAGATGTAAATAAGATTAACTTGTTTACCTGACTTGTTAAATTGAAAGTGTTGAGATGGTTTAATATGAATAGTATTTGCTACTTAATGGTGTTACCAATAAGACAAAGAGTATTGGATAATTGAGTGGCACACAATTCAATTGAAATCAATGCGAATCAATTTGAGTCAACCTTTTAACCCGATTCATCTTTTATTGTTGCTTCATTTTGGGTTCATCCATTCATACCCATTTGACCAACCAACTAACCTAAACCAACATTTGTGACCTTCATTAACCCGTTAACCATGTTCATGGAAACAAGTGGAAACATGTTCAATTGTTTCATTGAAAGTGGTCATTAGCAAGATTTTCATCAAACATAAATAAAAATACATTTTCTCAACCCTTTTCTCAATGTTGATAAACAGTTAACCTTAAGGCCTAACCTTTCCCTGTAACATTTTTTTATGGAAACATGATTAGCTTTGATAAATGTTTTAAATTGATCATGAATTATCTTTTCAGTTGATATCCTTTGATTGTTAATCAACAGTTGAAATTGTGATTCTCAAGCCGATGTTGCAGCTGAAATTGTGACAATTGAAATTGAAAGTTAATGCTGATTATCATGATTATTATGATTAATATAAATATCTATTTCTGGTTTATCAAATGGTTGCATCTGGTAAAATTTGAATAAAATGTTGTTATGAAAAAGGTTTGGTTTGAGCTGATTAAGTTGCTAATTTAAATGGTTCCGTAAAGCTATTTGACTATTTTAAGAAATATGATTTCAATTTTAAATTTTAAGCAATCAACGGAAGCTAATTAATATATTTAACCATTAAGTTGAACCAATTAAATAGGATCCATTGAGAGTTGAGTTTACTTTCAAAATGATCAGCAAAAGATTGGGTAAAGAAAGCTGAAACAAAGCTAATGAATGGTGAGATTGAATCAGATTTAATCAACTGCCATTTGATTATCAGTAAACATAATAACGATGTTAATCTTGATGTTAATGAGGATGAAAAATAAAGATGAGATGAAGGGTGAAGATTGAAGAGAAATGCTGAAAATGATAAAGAACGACGTGCATCTACAGACTATTGACTGAGTTAATCAACATCATACTGATGATTGATGTTATCATGGTGATATTGATGAACAAAAGAAAGATGATCATCAACAAGAAGAAGATAAAAGTTGAAACAAATGGAGCTTGAGATGAGAAGTCTCAACGACAATAAAAGCATCATCGATTGTTAGATGGCTACAAAGCAGTTTAACCTAAATACAGGTATCCGTTACGGAAATACCAAGCCTGAGCATCGGCATTTTTTTCATCCTCATCTGTTCATCTGGTTTCACTGATGTTCAATGACACCTTGAGTCTCTCTTTCAATCTTTCACTCACTTTCCGCTCCAAATTTTACCCCAAAAAATGCCTTTTTGTCACCATCCATCAGACATGAGAAGAAAGACCTAAATTCTTGGTGCAAACATTCCTTTCTCTTCTCATCATTTGTCTCACCATCTTCATCACTCTCACGTTCATTCATCCTCATCTATATCACACTCACCAATATCATAATCACATCAGGAAAATATCATAAAGCACTTTTTGTTCTTGAAAAAGAGAAGCACAAAAAAAAGGCCAAAAAACGCTGACAATTTGTGCCAAATTAATAGCGATTCAATCATTAAAAAAAAGGGTTACATTCTTACTGATCATCTAAAATTAAAATTGTCATCAACTGTCTTTTAGAGTTTAAATAAAATTTCAATTTTCTGGTCAAATATGAATATCAACCATTGACTTGGAGACAATTGATTAATGACAATTAAACGGTTGGAAAAGATGGAAACCCAGAAATAGATGTTAGAAGATATTAAAAACGCTTTGAAAACATTTAACCCAAAAAATACCCAAACAAAAGGTCAACAGCTGAAAATGTGCTAAACTTGTGCTTTATGGTGACATTAAAAATTGATTTTAAATTAAACATCCGAACCTCTTAACTACTTGACAAATGTTTTAATGTTTAGTTAATCACTTGAAAGGTGAACGGCCAAATGAACGTGAAAATAAATATAAAGTAATCATGATTAAACAAATCACTTTGATTTACTGATCAACTGATGAGAGTTGAACAATGATTAACCTTGGGTTTACTGCTGGTTTAAACCTAAAAACAAACCAACATTTGTTAACCTTAATTGTAAATCCATTGATAGGAAAAGCGAGAAACCTTTTCCGCTTTAATTGCTACAGTTAATAGGTTTTAATGAAACCAAATTATAATCTGATATAAATCATAACCATTTATATCAACATTATCATAATTTTAAAATGAAATCAACCCAAAACCATTCGAGTACAATATTATTAAAAACTACAATCAAATGATGATTAGCATCATTTCAATGTTTGGTTAATTGTTAAACATGTTTCCCTGAAACATTAATATCAGCTGAACATTCTCATGTTTATAAATATAAATATCATCTTCTTAACGGTGTTAATGTTAATCAATTGTGAAAATAAAATTAAACTATTTATCCAGTCAATTAACTATCAACTGGATTAAATGGTGAACAAAAAAGTGGTCACAAAACATTTAATCCAGAAAATGATGATATCGATGAGATTGGGTTAAATGTGGGGTAAAAGTGACAAAAAGATGTTAACAATTTGATTGAAAATTGTGTTCAATGGTGTGTGTTGAGAATCATCATGAGAATCATTACAATCATCACAATTAGATTCTTCTTCAACTTCTAATCAACTTTCCATTTCCATCCAAATCATTAATGCAATCAAAAATGAACATTAAAATTAATGTTAAAATTAGAATGACAATTAAATAGTAAAATATTGAAATCAACTCAACAATCAATATTTACCTTTGAGATCCTTCATTCCAACCTCCAATGGCAATCATTGTTTTCAAATTTTTATTGTAACTCTTGAGTCCAGTAAATTTTTTGTAGTTTCCTGAAAATAACAAAACATTGGTCAGTTTATTATTAAAAGAAAGGTCATTAGAAGGGACATTTGGTTTAATTGAAAGTAATCAATATTTAGATGATTTAAATCACGTAATGAAGTAAATTAAGAACTGAATCAAGAGAAAAGCAGAAATTTTAATGTCTTGCTTTTCTTGTGATGTGCAAAATTTTTGGCGTAATATAAATATTAATACTTGATCATGTTTTAAACTACACTTTTAATGGCATGCGAACGGAGTTGCCGTGTTTTTTAGAGCCGCTTTTGGTGGCCTTCGAGCGTCTTAAGCTTAGTACAAAAAAAGGGCTTTAAAAGGGAACACATTCAGTAATATTATCATTATTATGATATTATTTATTATATAAATTACTTTGAACCGGTTTCAGCGTTTAGTTGATGTTTTTTTTTCACTTCATCTTGAGCTTATTTTACTTCATCTTTCATTCATAGCCGATTGAGCTTTAATTGAAGCAACCATCAAAATGATTGTAATTGATTTAATCAAGTTAACAGGTTTAATCAAGGCTAATCTAAGTGATTAATTAAATCTATGTAATCAAAGGGAAGCTTGTTGTGAAAGTGAAAACCATTGAAAATGATTGGTTACACTTTAAATGTTTAACCATTGATTTGGCTCGCTTTGCCTTTTCTGGTTTTTGGTTGTCTGGTTCACCGAGTTTCTGGTTTTCTTAGGTTGTTATGGGTAAACTGGTTCAGTGTTTTTTTTTGTTTTGGGTGAAATTGAAAGTACATTTACTAACCTTGATTGATATCATTGTAAGGATCAAACGCTTTGAGCTCAAATTTGGAGCTTAAACCACCAAATGCGTAGATCAAGTGGGTACACAGGTAGGGATTAATGTTTTGAGGAGTAAATTTGGCCAATCCTGGTCGGTAAACAGCCCAATTTGAATAATAGCAAACTATTTTCAGGTCATCGGCACCACGTTTTTCAATATTGTCTAAAAATATCGTAAACAAAATGCAAGAAGATAAAATTTAATTTAGTATTTTTCAAGTTGCCGTTCAAGATGATCATTATGATTGGCTATATGTTGATAAAAAAGATGAGGAAGAGAAATAATTTCTCATAAGATATCCTTGACCATTATTGGCTTAAATTGTGCTTCTAATTGAGGTCACTTTCATCTTCAATGGATATTTGTGTCTATTGATTGCGGTTGACACCGGTTTAGGTTAATTAAAAGGCCACTTGTTTTGGTTCCTCTTTTTACGTTCATTTTAAATGTTACAAACCCAAACTGGAAACTCTTATTGATATTCAGTATTTATAAATATCAATCTTTCAATAATCAAACCTTAAAAAATGAACCTTAATAATCAAGCTTTGAAAAATGATGCAAAACAAATCAGTCTTTTAAATCAAAAAATTAGCTTAACATTAAAATGCAACTAAAAAGTGTCTTTTTGAATGTATTTCAAGATTGTCTAATCATTTTGCCTTTCAATTTTGCATAATTCAACTTTTAACCGACAATCTAAATCTATCTTTGGTATTGTTATCGACAATTAATGGCCTGTTCAGGCTGTTTGTCCGTGCTTAATGGTTTAACAATATGATTAGAGTGATTCAAAGGAAAACCTTTTGATTGATTTGCTTGTTGAGTCAATAAAATTTTAATCATTTCAACATTTCTGGTTTACCAATTTTTAACAATTGATCAATTTGAACGACAATTTAGATTATCTTTTAATCCTATCAATTTAGCAAAAGCTGGTCCATTGACTGACCATTATTTGGATTAATAGTTGAAGTGGTTAGGCTTGAATTAAGGTTTGGGTTGAAATGTTATTTAATGTTTAACTTACGTTGAGCATTGCAATGGATTGCGATGGTTAAAATTGTAATCACTGTTACAGTTAATAAACCTTTTGTATCCTTATGGACTTTCATTTTTAATTTATGTTAAATTGTCTCGATGTTAATTGTTGAACTTCAATGATCTGGACGTTGTTTAAACATATGATGATAAAATGGGTAAAACACTTTGAGAAATTTCCAATTCGCTTTTTGATTATCACAGATTATGACACAAATTGAAAGAATGGTTGTTGGTTAATTTGTTGGAATTAGATGAATCCAATTTAAGTTAACTTGTAATTTGAAGATTTATTTGTTGGTCTTTAATCACGACATCAACACATTGTCCAACTTTGGTGATTGAGATCACCTAAATGAAAAAAAAGATCAACGGAAAGTCAATCGGTAAACATCGAGTATCTCAAGACGAACCCAAAACTGAAATTGGTTTAAAATTGAAACAAAATTACAACTTTTAACGTTATGTTGATCCAATGAGCAACTCAACAGACTAACGACGTTTTCACTTTGCTTTACCTTCTTTATACTGAAATGTGAATCAAGAAAAAGTTCAAAGTGTGCTTCAACACTATTCTAACGTCGAACCCAAAAAACAGGTTCACTATCAGGTTTGGATGGCGCTTTAAACGTTCCTGTTAACCAAAAGTAAACTCATTGATGGAGATATTAATTGAATGGCTTCAATGCAATCATTGGTCAATCTTAAGTTGACTCGAGTCTAATCAATTAATCAATCTCTATGTCCAACATAGGAATAACCGCATTCCTTAATCAATCCTTGAATTAAAATTAAAATGAAAACAGCAACAATTGTCGACACCATTTGAATTACTGGAGTCATCTGGTGTAGTTTAAACCAATCAATTCATCTTTCAAATCAAACACAAGATTACATGATTTTTAAATGAGCAAACCTGGAAACAAGCCAAGACCATCGGAGCAACTAATCTAGAGCTAAGTTTCACAAAGGTTACAATAAAATAACCAAAATTAATTAATGATTCACACCATAAAAAGGGTGACATAGCAATTAATGTATGATAGTCAACTCAAATATGGCAATTATGAAGTCAACAAGTGCAGCAGTCGATAATTTAGATTCAATAAGAGCGGTAATGAAGTTAAAATTGACGATTTCCTTCATTTCTTGAACATTTGGATCCGGACGCACCTAGACACAATAAAAAAAAGTGTCAGGATGGCCGAGTGGTCTAAGGCGCCAGACTTAAGATCTGGTCCTCAATTGAGGGCGTGGGTTCGAACCCCACTTCTGACAAATTCTTTTTATTTTTTGGTGAAAATGAGGACAATTTATTGATTTATCAGTGTCTCATGAAATATTCACACTTGACTTTGATTTGGAACTTTACATTCAAATGCTTTCGATCACTTTTTCAAGGTCTTCATGCATTATCTCTATTTCATTTTTCAACTCTTCTATGGCTTTTTTTAGGGATTCCTCGTCTGGATCGAAAGTGTACGAAGCTAATTTGTCATCCGTTTCTTTTATCTTGTCTTTTAGTCGCAAGTTATCTTTGGCTAACTCGTTGATTGATTCTTCGCCCAGTTCATCGTAAAATCCAACATTCACTAACAGATTTTCAAGCTGCTTGATTTGTTTATAATATTCACTCATCTTGTTGTCGTAAAATAACTGGCTGGTTTCACATTTCCTGGTAAAGTCAACTTCTTTCTTCTTGAAGGCCATGTTCCGTTCATATTGTTCCTTTTCTTGGTCTGTTGCTTCGGCCAATTCCTTAGCTCGTTGCCTCAACTGCTCTAGGGATCTTTTCTTGTCAAATTTTCCACAAATCTCAATACTTTTCTCGGTAATCAACGTTATTAAACATCCTTTACGATACTGGTTACCATCGGTCATTAAAAGTGAAACCAATTTTGTTAAGATTTCTAAATTTTCACTGCAATTTAGTAAACTTTGAAAGAAAGTCTGGCCATCTCCACGCAAATTTTCAAAAAGATGTTTAACAAAAGGATCATCGATTAAAACTGGTTGTCTATCCTAAGAAAAAAACAAGAGAAAACCCAATAATTAAAACACAAAACCCAAACGTACCAAAACAAAAATACTAACCATAGTAGGGTGAAATAAAAGTAGACAAACAAACCAAAAAATCAAAATTAAACTGTAACATCCAATACAAAACAGACCAACAAAAAAGTCTGAACAAAATTCAAAACAAAACAAACTGGGTTGAGGTTATATGTACACAAAGATACTATCCGATATCTGTATCTGATACCACCAATAATAACTAAAAATTGTAAATTTTTCGTTTAATGAATAGAAAAGCCTTAATCTGAAGTTAAAACAAGAATTTTTGAGCATTTTAATTATGTTGATGAATTGAAGAAAGGATTTAAATAAAAATTTAATAATGGATTAAACTGATCTCAAATCATTCTAACAGATATCTGTTTCAAATTTTGCGGTAAAAAAATTGCACTCGTCTAAGTTTCTAGAAACAAAAAATTTATCAAAACTAGAATCGAACCCTGACCATAACCTTTGACTTCTCTACACTCTAACCACTGAGCTAGGATTTAATTTTCAATTTTGTTTAAATTTATTAACTGTATTGTTCAAGCAGGCATTCTTAAATGAAGTCAATACGTTAAACTCATCCCTCTGGCGTTAAGTTAGATTAATGTATGCATTCTTTGAGTGGGATTTAATAAAATTTGATCAAAAAATTAACTTTTAATCAATTATTAAACTATTAATTGATTTTTTCCATTCAACATCATTATGTGTACGGTTAACTTAATAGTTAAAGATACACAGATTTGTGTACATATAACCTGTTCCAACAAACTGATGTTGAAGCACGACAACACAAAACAACTTGGCGCTTCTTTTTTTTGGCGCACACTACAAATGGGTGAAGGGAAATTATTATAAATTAAATAAAAAATTAAAAGAATCGAATCAGATAAAAACCAAAATTAACACAAAAAACAATCAAATGAATAGAAACCCATAAAAAATCATCAAAAAATATCTCCAGTGAAAAAGAGTTAAAAATATAAATCCCAAAAACCAAACCAATTCCTCTTAACATAATTTTATTTTCCCTGTAATCCTGATCAAGATTTTAAACCACAGATAAATGTAATTAAACAACTAAACAATAACTTAATCATCAGTAAATTGTAATACGATAATGAGTAGGAAATCTTAAGAAGTTCATAGAAAGAGCAAAAGTCAAGAGTCAAGAACAGTAATTGAAGAAACAAACAGTTACAACAGATAAAAATATGAAGTCATTGGTTCCATTGAAGTCTCATCATTGTCTTACCATGGTATGAACTATAAATGATTCAATCATGAATAGAATCGCAAAAAACAAAAAGATGAGTCGCCATCGGGTGGGCTCGAACCACCAACCTTTTGGTTAACAGCCAAACGCGCTATCCGATTGCGCCACGACGGCTCTATATGTAGTTCTGGAATAATTATGTATTTATTCACATGTGCAGTTATCGGTGATGCTGCCATCTATTAGGTTGTTGATCGTTTATGGGGTCATCTGTTTTTGATTTAATTTTTGAATGTTGATTGCATTGCTTTTGGATGCAATTTTGATGAGCAGCACCCGATAGTTGTTAATGATGTTGTTATTTTTCTCAATCAACTTCCTTGTATCCTGAATTATTAGATTGCTTATTCAGTTTGTTTTATTCTTAATCTTGTTGTCTCTTCCAGTTATGAGTTCTTCTTCATGACTGTACTGTAAATTTAACATTTTCAATTTCTGTTATTCTTTACCAATTCTCTGTACATCTCCTCTATTCATCAATTGTTGATGATATAATTAGCATTGTTGCTTAATAACTTATATCATGTGTTTTTTGATATCTCTCTAGTCTTACCACTTTCTATCCTCTTTTTTATATCACTTGTGTTGGCTGTACGATTTTTTTTCATTGTTTACTCTCTGTGTTATGTAAAAATAGAGGTTTTTTTCATTTGCTCTGTATTTGAAGTGACTATTGTTTTATTTACTGTGTGATATACCAATGGGCTTTGTTTTCCATTCTTTTAGTGTTTAATCGTTGTTTCCATTGATCCTTGAATGTTATTGACAGGAAACATGATTATAAACGGCAATATTCGTCATATTACTCACTCTAATGAATGCTATTGTTGCCATAAGTGTCATGTTAATCTTGATTTCAATCTTTCATCTAGTTTATCAGTGTTAATTCATCAGTTGAACTCTTTCTCTTCTCTGTTGATTTGTTTTTATTTGTTTAATTTGTCAAAATGAATCCTTTAATCATGGTTGATTTAACGTAAGTAATTTCCAATTTAACCTTGTATTGTTTTTTTAAGTCTTGTATTTAAGCTTTTAAGATTCTAAATTTTTCCTCTTTCCTTTTTCCAGATTATTTCTGTTAACTTGGAACGTCAAAGACACCGGACCAGACAACGGATACGGTGACTTACTTAATTACGCATTCAGCTCATCAAATGGCACAAAGGAACCAGACTTGATTGCAATAGGGTAAAGTTTAAGTGCCCAATATCTGTGCTTAGGAAGTGCTAGTTTTTTCGACATCGAAGGATCGAAGTCATTCAAACATAGTTACAAGGATGCAAATCTTGATGTCACTTTGTGTTCAACAAACTGAATTTAATTACCTTTTACGTCAAAATACGTGAATCTGTCGAAATATTATAGAAATTGTTATTGCCTTAAGCCTAATGAAAGGCCTTGATGAAATTTCTTATTTCAGAAAAATTAATCAAGATAAGCTTGATTTTATTTTATTGTCGGAATCAGTCTTATTGCTTAAATTATTAAGAATATTTTTTCTAATCCCATTTTCATTTTCTTTTCAGATTACAAGAAGTCTCTTTCAAAATTCTTGGTCCCGAACCATGGGTTACACGAACCAAAGAAATCCTAGCGGAACGTGATTATGTCATGGTTAAAAAAAATCAGCTTGTGGGTATTTTATTGATGGTGCTCGTGAAGAGACAATCACTTCTTGATTTTACCAATATCAAGACGGATTATACACGAACTGGGTTAGGAGGATTATGGGGTAACAAAGGTGCTGTCTCTACCAGATTCGATCACAAAGGAGTTTCTATTGTGATTACTAATTCTCATCTAGCTGCTCATGACTATAATCTGGAGACCCGAATCACTGAATTCAAAAAAATTTACGGTGGTCAGAGTTTTGAAATCAAAAATCCAGACTACCGAACAATGAGCATCGGAGATCATGAGTATGTTGATCTCAATTATTATCTATCTCTGCCTTTTCCGAAACATTTCATAACAACTTTTTTATCTTTATTTGCTTAGCTTATCGCTTTGGTTAGGTGACCTCAATTTTCGTCTCGATGATCTAACAGGACAAGAAATTTTGCAGAAGATTGTTACTGCAGATTTAACCAAGGATTCAAATGAAAGAAAAAACCTTCTTACTGAACTGTTGGACCATGATCAAGTGAGTGAAAAATCATGAACCCATCTTTTACTTGATCTTTCGATTTTAAAATAATTAATATCTATAATTAATGCTGATTGTTCCTCTTTTCTTATTTCAGTTATCAAATTCTATGAGACTTGGGAAAGTATTTGTTGGATATACAGAAGATCCCATTAATTTCTCACCAACTTACAAATTCGTTGCCTGGTCAAATGAATATGATCTGTAAGTGTAATTTAAGTCAGAAAGTTATTCTACATTATTTAATTTCACTTTTATTTCACATTCTAGTGGTCGTAAACCTGCCTGGTGTGATCGGATATTGTATAAAGACAAAGGCTCAATCAATCTTGAAACCAACAATTATCGCAGTCATCCTGATTTTTCTCAAAGTGATCATAAACCTGTTTCCAATTTCTTCTCTCTTAACCTTCCTAAGAGACTCAAGAGAGAAATTAGTCCGTCAAAAATTAAATTTATTATTCCTACAGACTGGAAAATTCACCATGATTCTTCAGCCTTTTATACTTTTGATACTCCTGAAATTAACTCTCGGCAAATGCACTCATCACAACATGAGAATACACCTGATCGAGAATTAAACCTCCAAACAGGAATAAACAGGAGAAGAAGATCTGCTTCTAGAGATAAAACAACAAAATTATCTGAATTTGATTGGATAGGATTATATCCAGCAAATTTCACTGATATTGAAGAGCCAATAACTTTTGTTTGGGCCAATCCAGAATCAATACCAAAACAAAACACTAGTACCATCAGACAAGAAAGGTCTACTTTATCAGCATCTTTTGATCCCATGGCTTCCACTTCGTCAACAGACTCATCTGATTCAGTTCGAGGACCATCTTCATCAAGCGCACCAATTTTCAGAGTAGATTTTTCTGAATTGGTTCTACTTAAACCTGGACAATTTAGGCTTCTATACTTTAACGAGGATGGACAACTGCTTGCAATAAGTGATCCATTTTCAATTCATCGATAAAGATTTCACGAATCATTCATCGTTTTTTGAAAACCGTCCAAGCCTATCACCACTATTTACACCTTAATTCAAAGTACTTGACAAATGGATATCACCTTCAATACGAATCTCTCTTCAAACTCAAAAAGATATATTTTCCAACAATGAATCCTTCGATCAAACTAAACAATTCTGCCTTTGTCCGTTAATCTACCGCCAATTAGTCTCCAAGAGATTCACCATTCTGTCAACTTTTAGATTTTGAATCAAATCATTGATTCGACCTTTCACTGAAATTATTTGAAATTTAGCTTGTAAAATGGTTTTAACCATGAAAATCTAAAACAAAACAATGTACAAGAACGCAATTCAATGTACTTCTTTTATACCATAATGTCTCGTCGATAGTGAAATTTGAAAAAAATGATAATGAGAAATGTATTATCATATATTAAATACCTATTCATCTCAAGTTTATAACAAAATAAAACGCAATTAGAGTTGATGAAGAAAACAAAAAGTCTTGACATTTTTAATCAATTTCAGATGGCTGCAGGTTGGATCAACTGTTGGACAAAAGATAATATCAAAGACTGAAACTGATGCTTGAAAAAAAGAGATTAATTGAACACAATTGAAGGGATGAAAATGGAATCGTAAATTTGAAATATTTTAATATTACACAAAATGAATGCTGAATAGATTAGTTAAGTAGTTAATAGACACAAAGGAAAGTATTTAATGAAGTCAAGTTGTTGAAATGTTTGATTGCAGCTGATCTCGATGGTTATGATAAAGAAACATTAATTACTCACTAATAACAATGTGATAATAAGATGAAGAGTTGAACTGAACAGCCTCATGAGAGTCGCCATGTTACACGTTTTATGTTGGGTTGAAAATGGGAAGGCAAAAAATCGATAAACTGGTTCCAATTTAGTGAGCAATGATTTGTTTTTATTTGGATTCTTACCGTTTACAGTTTTACATGAAGCTAAACATTTCTGTATCTCTTGATCAACACCAGAAGCGGATAACAGTGAACCATTGACCAGTGACAACCAGCATTCAATTCAATTGGAAAGGCAGCAATCAAGTCTCTCAAAATTAACTGTTTAAGGTAAGTCAACAATTAACTTGGACTGTTTGAAAAGCCTTCAGAAAACCAGCCTTGTTTTACCTTAGTAACTCTCACAACAATCCCTGTCAGTCTCACTTTCAATATGTCTATCTTTTTACCCTTCACTGTCTATTTAACTGATCTTAATAGTCAACACTAATAACTGTCGACCATTTTAAATCAAGAATATTCAAGGTTAGATTAAGGTTGAATTAACAAGATTAACATGTTAATCTAAATGTGATACCCAATGTAACCCATTGCAGTTTTCAAGTCAACTCCAAATGGCAACATTCACTTTGGGTTTACCATTGCTTTTGGGTAAACATTGATAACAAGATACCGGTTAGAGCTTTTATTTGTATCAAATTTTGGTCATTTAAACACCAATTCAACCCAATTTACAATAATCAATAATCAATTGTCTGCTCACACAATTTGTAATAAATACGGTAAAATCAGATGTTTAATTGAAAATAAATTTCACTTTTCTGGTTCACAACTGGTTCTATTGTTTGTCTTTCAACCTTTATTGTTGATCAAATTTATCCCATTAATTAACCTGTATGTCTGGTGACAGTTTAGTCGATTGTTGGTTAAATTATTGGTTAGATTGTCAATCAGATTAGTTGTCAGAATGATTGAATTAACTGAATAACAACATTAAAAATAAACAATAAAAACATTTATGATTGATTGTGAAAAGATGAAAAATTGTTTCGTTTGTTGATGTTGGTCGAGTCAATGGATTCCTAATGAATCCAGATTTGTCCAGGTTTCAGGTTTGCTCATTCAATTTGATTACATTAATTATTATCATTTTGTGTCCATTTTTTATTAAAATGATGATAATTATCAATTATATCGTTACAATTTGAAACAATTGTAAATGATTAAATTACGTTAAATGAATGAAGGATAAATGAATAACCGTAAAACATGAAAAAGGAAAAGCATTTTTTTCTTGTTTGATTAACACAAATTTTCAATGTTTTTACACCAACAGTTATTTATAATTAAATTTTTACTCTTCCTTTATTTTGCCAATTACAATCGCATGTTAATAATTAACAGCTAATTTGATTAATTGTTTATTTCCTCACGAAGGAAGTAGATCAAGAAATGCATCTAAATAGAGCAACCTTTCAACCAGAGCTTTGAATAATTTACTTCAATGTTTCACCTCCAGTCAAAACCCAAATCAGAGTCAAAAATTCAGATTAATCCAACAAAATTGATTAAAACACAAGCAATGCCGAGTTTGGTTAGAATTTCTCAGAATTTTAGGAAAACCTCAGAACGATTTGACTAAGAATCGATCAAATCTGAAGATTTAGATTCAATTTACGGAGAGACGATCGATCCAGAATTGATTTCAGTGTTCATCTCTTGTAAATTTATTATGTCTTACACAAGTAATTTGTTTGAATTTTTTTCATCGAAGTGAGATCGATTGTTTTATGATCAGAGAAAAGCGAGATTTAGATCCTTCAATCACTCGAAATGCTAAGCTCTTTTAGCTCAATTGATCAAAGCCAATCAAGCTCCTGTAACGAAATCGATTCATTATGCTTTTTCCATCGTTTTCTTTCTGAAAGTCAAATCCATTTTAATCACCATTACTTTAGATTCAAAGCTTTTACATTAGTAAGAAAAGCAAATGATAATTTGACGATTAGATGGCAATTTTTTCCTGGTCAACGAATTTGGACGAAATTTCAATTCTGAAAACTTAATATTTGCTTTTAAAAATCGTCTAATCTTGGCTTCAATCTTTCAGTTAACTTTCCCAACTGCGTTTCGATCAAAAAGAAGATTTCTCGCATTTAATCTAAAATCTTTCGATTGCAAAGGGCAAAGACAGAAATCCAAAAGAGCGAAATTCGCTGTTCAAATGGCGCACCAAAAGAATTGAAAATCGATAGTTCCTTTGATTGTTTTCCGTTAAATGAATTGCAAGAAACACTTTAATCCAAATCTGTGTGTAATTTGCAATAAAGTTATTGGATATAAAAAGTCCATTAAAGACAAAAGTTGAAATATATTTTCATCTAATAATAATCTGAATATCAAGTCAACTTGAATTGAGATTGGATGAATAAATAAAGTGAATAATGAAACAGTCTTTTCATTGTAACCTTGATTCAATTTCAACTCCAAATGTTGATTGTTTATCAATTCAAATAAACTCGATTTAACTGAATAAAGAAAGGTGTAAGCCAATGTAAACTATACCTTTCATTGTCCAGTGTCATCATGTCTAACACCCAGAGAATCCTGGGAATTAAACAAATAACAAGTTGACCAACATGATAATCTTGTCCATTGATACATTTCCCTCCCAATCAATCCCTTCAAATGATGAGAAAAGATTAACTTTTAATTTCCGAAACTCAAACAGAAGCAAATATAACAGCGAAAACAATCGCTTTTAATTTACTCTCCAAAGTCAATCCTGACCTTTATTGACCTTCCCAAACTGAGTTTCACCAACTGATCCTCATCTTCATCCAATCTCATGAATGAAACGCTTTTAAAACGATCAACATTTTCATCGCTTTCATCAACCAAAATCAATAAACAATTTCATCTCCCAAACCCAATTTAACTAAATTTTAAAAGTTAAAAATCTTTTGAAAAGATTGTTGAGTTAAATGGAAATGTTTCAAATGATTAATTTGTTGGGAAAATTCATTTTTCTCAATTTCTAATTATTCTCATCATTATTCTGCTCTTCATCATCTTCATTAATCTCAACATTAAACATGAAACCAAGAAAATGTTGACTTTTACTGTCTGTGAGTCGAATCGTGTTTACCATGAAATTTTCCTCCTTTTCTTATCATCATCATGCAAGAATGTTTCATTTGTAAAGATAAAGAAGAAAAAAGATTCAGCAAAAAAAGAGTTATCTTGAGCTTGCAAGACACCAATTGAAACGAAACCTGAATAACGATGTCTCGATGATGTCTTGAGAAACTAAATTAGACTTGATTTGATTGTTTAGCATTTCACTTGAATCATTGTCAATTAATTGGAACTGGAAGAGAAGGAAAAAAGTTGAATTCACTTTTGTTTCCATTTTTTTTTGGGTTCTTCTTCTTATCCTCGACAAATCCTTTGGTTTCACACGAATGGTTCCAGTTTTTTATTTGCGCTTGTCAATGTACCTGTGACAATGTTTCCCTTTGTGCTGTCGCTTGAATCGCAAACAAATCATCATTACTATTGAAATCAAATTTAACAACTTGTGACACCTTCAGCTGATTATTCAAGTGAAAAGATTAATATAAACATGTAATTCTTCAATTGATGGATCAAGAATGAATAGATGAAAGATGCTGATGAGAAGGAGAAAAAAATATAATTGGAATAAAAGGAAGATGAAGAAAGGAAGAAGAAAAGATGAGGAAAGATGAGAAATGTCAAAGTAAATTGTAATACAGTTTTTTGTTGTTTTTATTGTTTCTTTTTACTTTCTTGTTCGCTCTCTATATTCAATTTTCAATTTGAACCTACTCGACTGAAACAGAAGCTCAAAGTAAATATCAGATTCACAGAACTCTTCCTTTTCCATGTGTTTCTTTGTAATGAATAACCTGAACAACAAAACAATCCTGAATTGAGATAACAAGAGAATACAAAAGAGATTGAAATTTTTTAGAGAAACACTTTTTTCTTCTGGTTCCACTTTTGTCCAAAGAACTGATCCAAAGGACTGAAAGGCCGAAATTAGACTCAACAAGAACGAATAAAATGGAATTCCGAAGAAACTCCAATTTCAGGGAATTGATAAGTCTCCGGTTTCTTCCATGTTAATTGTCCATGGAAATTTCGTTCTTCATCTTTTAGATTAATATTGATTTTTGGTTTTTTTCACTTTTTGGATAAAATTATTGAAAAATTTTCTCAATTTTTAACTTATTGAACCTTAAACATGATAAATGGCTCAATTTCGGATGAAAAAGGATTCCTAAAAATGCTATTTTTAATCAATCGATGAATTTTGTATGCAATTGGGATTGAAATGTTATTTGGTCTTCTCTGTGTTTTGGTTATTTTAAACCAACAATAATTTGATATTTTCACAGTCGAACTGGAAAAGGTCAAAGACTTATTTGGTTACTTGATGATAATATCCATTACATGACCAGTGTGGCTGAAAATAGATAAATTCAGATGATGATAATATTTCTAATCTAACATTATATAAGAAAATCAGATCGATCCAGGAATCGAAATTAAAATAACATGGAAACAGAATATTTCGAGGATTGTCTGGTGAACATCAAATTTTCGAGTTTCTTGGTTCATCCAACGATCCAGTCAAATTTAATGGACAATTACTTTTAGTTTAAAGATTAATTCATGCCAATCAATCTTGTGAAACCTTGAATTATCTTTGATAACATTGAATGTACAGGAGAGAAAAGTTTCAAATTTGAATGTCAAAAGTGGAAACATGAAATTGTGATGATTGATGGCCTATTCCAGGGCAAAGCTTAACTGGTCAAACAAATGTTTCAACAATTTAATCGTTTAACCTGTAATATTAAATAAAATGAATGGGAAAAGCTTTTGTCGATCAAGAAAATGCTGAACCAAACAAACAAACAGTTTTACAATCAAAAGTTACCTTTCAATCTTATTGATGATCCAATTAGCCATTCATGTAAAATAGATTGCTATCGATTCTGAACTGCTTCATTATCGAGCATTTCTTTTCGCTCCAATCATTTAAATCATGAGTCAATTGTTTCCAATTATCCAGATGAATAACCATTAAAGACAAAATTTTATTAATTATGTTTATCCATTCACCAACAGCTTTGATAAAGACTGCAATTAAAAAGCAGCTTCTAATCAAATTCATCATCTAAAGCAAATCCAAACGAGTTGAGCTTAAAATTGAAACTTAAACTAAAACATTGAGTCAGAATTTACAGAAAAAGAAAAGTCTTTTTCCATGAAATTTCAAGATCAATGATAAAGCATCAATA